AGACTTTGAACATCCATTCATTAACGTCACATCACAAATAGACAAGCCCCTTTCTTTTCTTTTCATAGAGTTAACCAATTTCATCATCGTTTACTAAAATTACATGTTATAAAAAATCAAATTGAAATACATTCAATCGTTGTTGTGTGAATCAGTTTATTAGTCTCCAAATAAATAATATAAATATTTCAAAAATATTGATAAGATCGCTGAAAGGAGCAAATTCACGATAAATTTCGCTGAATCCATGGCAAAAATGCTGAAACTCTCTGTTTTAACGAGAAATTGCATGAAATTACAATTATTGCAAGATATGTATATGATAATTTAATGACGTACTGTATAAACGCCTGGGAAGCCATCTCTTGCACATTCGTAGCCGTATGACACAATTCCCACAAGTGTAAAATGGAATCCTTCATCATTTTCCGAGAGTTCTGAAACCATCAAAGGTCCTCCACTGTCGCCCTGACAAGCATCGTGTAAACCATTACCAGCACAAATGATTCTCTCGTCAAATATTTGCGATGAAAAAACAGTTTTATAGCTCTGGCCGCATTCAAATGTTGAAACAATTGGGACTTGCGTGTCTTGAATTGAAAAAACAAACCAAGTCGAAGAAAGCATATGAAAAGGTAAGTGACCAGTGCAATTACCTTGTAGAATTGATGATTGTGGCCCTTGAAAATGTGTAGAGCCCCAACCAGCCACAAATGGCCGGTAGCCTGTTAAATCCGCCGACCGTAGCGGTTCGAATAATGGCAAACAAATGGGTCGAATGTTATCTACAGAAATATTATTCATTTTGAAAAAAGATTCCATTTCTTTAAAACAAATAATTTGCATTTTACCATTAACTGGAGCTTGATATCTCAATTTCACAATCGCGATGTCGTTTAAAATTATGTCGGGCACATATTCTTCATGAACTATACTCCGTTCGATGACAAAATCAATGGGGCTGGCCCCATCATTTCGACTGTTTAAATCATATTCGCCTAGCCGGGCAACAGCCAAATAACGTGTGATGCAATGAGCACTTGTTAAAATGTGCGATCTAGTTATCTGTGTGAAAAACAATCGTTTTCGGGAATGTGTTCAATTTACAATACAAATAAACTCATTACCAAAGATCCGGCACAATAAAATTGCAGACCAATTATACTCGAATTTGGAAAGCGATATCCCAGCGCTGCTATCCATGGGTATTGACCTGGTAAAGTAAATATAAATAAATTGAAAACGATTCAATCCATCAAAAATATCCATATCGATTTCCCACCGAGTTGAGTAATCATTCCTCCAACAACGCGTGAACCGGTATATTTGGAAATGCCACATTTGGACGTGGGATTTGAAAATGGTGTTTGGTGTGTTGTTGGTGGCACTATTGACAATGGTGGTTTTTGTGTAACTTGAGGCACCGCCTGATTAGTATGATTGATTTGATGATTCGTGGTAGAATTTACAGTTTGCTGTGGTATCGGAAACGCAGTCACAAGCAACGGGGCAAACATTAAACCACTTGATGAAAATGGTGATTGTGGTTTTGCAGGAACTTCTTGTATATGATTGTTTGTTGACGACGACGACGACGACGGCGAAGTACTGAATGGATTCGAATTAAAGTCCAAAACATTGTTTACATTGGATGATTGTGGTGCTGGCTCGAGTGGACGTGGAACATGACTCGAGATGCTTTGCATTGGCTGTGCAATGGAACCATGTGAATTTATGCTGCTGAAAACAATGCCATGATTATTTGCAAAACCTCCATCGTACGTTGAATAAATATCAATCATTGTTGGTTGATTTGTTGTTGCTGTAGTTGTTGTAGGGGGTGTATTGTTTAAGTTTGCCAATGGACAACAAATCTGAAAAATATTGAATTTTGATTATATTATCTATGATTAAAATGTGAAATTCACATACCAAAATATCAAATCCATCATAGCCGCAAAACAGTTTTCGTAGCTCTTGTCCCACCGTCAGTGCATCAATACCCTTTTCAATTAAACTCTCAAAATAAGTGCAGCTAGTTAAACGTGTGCATTGATGACTATGAAAGTCACAATTGTTTGCTATAAACGAAATTAATTCAGGTTTAACCACATTTTTATTTAATACAATACGAAATGATAATTACAACTAACAATTACAAAAAAAGTGTGTTGGACCAAAAAGTCATTTCAGATGATTTTGTGTGAATTTATAAAAAAAATACTAAACTACATAGGTTTGTTTCATTCCACTTTTACTTGATGAAACTGCCGCACGACTATATCTAGGAAATTGAAGGGGTGCCATTTGAAGCGCTGCTGGTCTAGGTATTATAGCGCCAGGAATTGGTGGTGGTCCCAGTACACCAGATGGGATTGGTCCAGATGGGATTGGACCAGCGCCAAAAACTGGAGCGCCCGGTGAAGAAGGCGGCATCGGAGCAACATTCATTGATTGTGCTCCTGGCAATGCGTTTGCATTGCGTGGATCCATACATGGGCAACCGTTGAATTGTCGAATAAGACCTTTTCAAACGCAAAAGAAAATCGACGTTTGTAATTTTCTCGAGATAATTCATGTATTTTTCCGTTTCACGACAAAAAAAAAAAAAAACAGAAAAAATAATAGAGAAAAATAATTGAGTACCCTGTCGCGGATCGAACGGTACGGCCAATGCAGCTGGTGGACAAATTGCAATGTTCGGTGGACACTGTGTTGTTGATGGAATTTGTACTGGTGGAAATGGTTGATTTGGAATTATCGGAATCGATGGATAGATTGGCACTTGAGGAACGCTTTGCGAAAATGGACGAGCTGTAGTTGTGTAAACCGTTGGTATTGTATAGCTCGGAGCAGATGTGGATGGATTAACGATTAATGGAAAGGGTGCAATTTGCACAACAGAGCCAGGAATTTGTGAAAATGCCGGATACGAATACGGGCCATAAATATATGGCAAACAAAAATTTGAATATTTAAATATCGAACACATTTTCCAGTAAAAAGTTCGTGACTCAATCTTTGGATCAGCACACACTGCTGATTTGTAAAAAATCAGTAGTATTATCAATTTTATTAGATTTTTGATATTAATTGCCATTTTAACACTTTTAATAAGTTTGATTTTTATCAGATGAAGATTTTAATGATTTACAACGAATAACTAAATGAGACACATTATTCACTGACGACACTTAACCGACAAATGAGCTGCTTTCAAAGGCGTTTGACAATTTTATTATGGACTTATCGCTTTTCAAAAAGGGAAAGTTTCGTGAAAAAATGCACTTTCATTATGAGATAATAGAATTGGTGTAATTCAATTCGACCTTTCGTTTTTCATATTACAAATGTACTTGAAACCATTTTTCACTGATTTATTGTGATTCACACCAAACGCGGTGATGGCATATTCAAATTGTTTTGTGAAACCCGACGAAAAATTATTAGAGCATTGTGTTACTGTTTTTTTTTCTTCTTCTCATAATTGAAATTGCACACATAGAGCATACATACGCTCGATAATGTGATTAGATTTAACTCAATTGTAGAATAGTTTTTCTCTCTTCATAATGATCGTCATGGTTATGAATACAGACATTTCATATCAAACGGAACTAACACATTTCCAAATCAGGCAATGGCACTTAATAAAATTTATGTGAAGTGGTATTCGTTACAGTTTTCTAAATAAATGAAAATGATGCGTATCGTTTTACATTTTATTTTATTTCAAATTGTTTGCAAAATTCATCTTCTGCAAAAGTCAAAATTCATGTTGTGAGTCAAGCCCATGTTTAAAAAAAAAGAATGCAGTGCTAAACAACAAGTGTTTAGACATTCGAAAATACTTCTAATCTCATGTTAAATGCGACAGAATCAAAATTGAGACATATTTATTTTTGGACATCACTATGCAATGCCTGTTCCACATATAAAAATAAATATTTTGTCACATATTGAGATGTAAGTTTTTTTTAATCGAATGTCACAAAATCTAAGTTCATACGTTATCCCACTTAGCACGAAATAGGATTTAATTTATGCCCCTGTCTCATATGTGTCATTTGAATCAAATGCGGATCACAAATGCAATGAACATAAGCAGTTCCGTTGTATTTCCCAAACGAGACCGAAATCTAGTCACTTAAAATAATAAAGTGATTGAACTTGCAAGACCTTGGTATATAGCGAACTTTGTTAATCACTTTAAAATCATATTCAAAACATGTCTATCAATGTTGAATTGACAAATGTAACTGTTCGAGTGACTCAGTTCAGATTCTGCTGAAAGTGAAAAGCGATATTTTTTGGAAAACCCCAGTAAATTATATCAAGAACATATGACATAACCTTTGGAAAAACACTCCATTTTTAACAATTATGATTCAAAATAATTAGCTTTGGCCCAACGACACTTTTACACTGAGTTTGACCTACATTATTTTGCCTTTACGTAAATTCTTTGATTTTGAATTGACTGACCTGTGCTAACCACCGCTACGATTGTTAAAAATATGACCAAGAATTCCATTTCAAGTTTTTTTCTCTTTATATTATATTCCACTTAAAATAATGTTTCGACTCTTGAGCGTCCAAGTCACAAATGAAATCTGAAATCTGCTAACTGCCGGTCGATATTCTAAATAATCGCGATTTGCTGAGCCGGTGCTTTCTATTGTTATGTAATCGTTTTTTTTTTTTAATTCCAAAATGCTTTTGATAATCTAAACTAAACGTTTCAAAATGATTATTAAGCGAAAGTGAAAAAAAGTTAAATGTGCCAATCAAATGAGTACGCGAATGTTTATTTGACGCAGCAGAAAGAATTTCACCCAATTTTTACGCGAGCATGAAATTACCGGAAAATAAATTGTATTTGATCATTTGAAAAATTGCGTAATTTTTATACATTCTATGCAATTTTCCTGCTTGAAATAAAACAAAATTTAAATAAAATGTGATTCACAAAACCCTCAGAACTCAATTCAAAAAAATTGATTGATTTATTTTCGAATTTAATTGGTTGGAAAACAAAAATTATTTCGATTCACGAGAGATTTCACATCGTGAATACTACAAAAAATGTGAATCATATGCAAAAATTAGGTACATGTAGTAAACTCAGCGAAGCATGCCAATAATATGCCATTAAAATATGCACATACTAATATTGGCAGTCGCAATCGTTTATTATAATTGCACGGGGGATAAACATTTTTTACTCGTGAGTCTTCATCTTTCTCGACGAAGTATCAGAGCCGTCATTATTTTAATTCGAATAATTAGGAGTGCATTTTGCACAACTACGCTGTTATTATAATTAATTAGAGTAAGTTTTCTTAATTGAATTTAAATGTTTGGCAAAATATCAAAATTACAACATTGCAATGGCGAACTTGATAGTTTGGACCGGTTTTGTTTTTGGGTGATTCGCGGAAATATTAAATTGCAAAAAATTCACCCACACATACGCAAATTAATGTATTCGATTTCATCAAAGAGAGACAAAAAGCATGCTCATTGCGAAAAGTGACAGCTGCAAAGTGCATGCAAATATTTTTCAATTATAAAATCGAAGAAGCTGCCACAAGGAAGCACGTAAATCATTTCAGGTAGCATATTTGTTGGAAGAAGAAGAAGAAAACAAAATCGTTGTCCGACAATGACGACAAGTGGCGCGTTCACGTAGCACAACCGTTTCGTGGATTTATGCATAAATAAGCGCCGCTTTTAACGCTACTTTCGTTGCGCACAAGCACACACACACACACTGCTCTCTTAGCTGGCCACGACCAAAGACAACCACATCGCACGCGAAGAGTCAATGAGCAAGCAAATAACATAACCGATGCGAATAAAACGGTTGAACGTCGGTTCAGTCAGAATGAACTGATATATAATGATTGCTAATCAAGATTCTACCGATCAGTTTATCTCGAAACGTTCGTCGACGCAAAAACGAAAATCAATACAGTGTGTGTGCCGATCTCTTGCGACGAAATAGTTTTTAGTCGTTATTTAGGTGAATCGGTGTTATTTTTTTTCAAGTGAATCTGTGATAGAACACATCTCATAGTGTTAAAATCGTTCCTCAAAATGGGAAACCACTACCTATTCGGAGCAGTGAATTTTATTCTCATAATTGCACAAATATCGACAATCAATGCGCAAGGTCAGTGCAGGTCATTTTTATTTTGATTGAGTGCATAAAGTGAAAAACAAAAAGTTCGTCGTCTATTGTAACAGAAATCTTTTTCTTACAACACAATCAACACCATCTCCGTACCGATTTTTAAATCATTTTTTCCCGAAAATCAATGTTAAAATTTGAAATTGTTTTGAACTTTAACGCATTGAATTTCTTACGACATTATTTTGGTCGTTACTGACGTCACATTGAATTACACAAAATTAAGGCAGACACTCGAAACAGGTTTAATTGATTGCATGACCTTGAATCAACATACAAAGTTTGAGCGAAAAAAAAATAAGTTTTGCATATCAATATCGTTTGTTTATAGACTTGACTGCGCGTTTACAACGGCAACAAAAAGCATTCGCAAAGCAATTCAAATGCCATCGAAATAATGAAGAAAAAAAAACAAGGCATTCGACCGATTAAATGTGACAATTTTAAATTCACTCTTTTTAGCGTGTGTGGCGGTTGCTTTCGTTTCGCTTCAAAGATTATTTCTCATTCAACAAGTTATATTTTGACACATTTTGTTTCGTCGGAGTAATTTCGTTCTGAATGGGTCACTTCTAAGTAAATTTATACACATTTTATAAAATTTACATCTAAATTTGTTTTGTGAATCATATTTCAATCGTTTGAATTTAATGTTTGTCGTCATTTTGAAGACATTCAGCCAAAGAGTTGTCAGTGCTTTTTTATATAGCACATTCACGGTCAATTAAATATTCGTTGTGCTATGTGACTTCGAGCGTGGCACTTTGGGAAATCCCACACAAGAAGAACTTGTTGACACATGGAATGGTATTCAAGCCATGGAAGAATTCCAAATCACGATATTTGAATGAATGATTCTCTTTCTTTGTTGAGATGCCGTTATCGAAGTCGCTTGAAACAGCACAACTTTTTTACATATTCAAATAACAATGTGAAATAATTTCATTTTCTCTATTTTTCATGCAATTTTTTTTCTGAATGTCACTGTGTCGAATGAGTAAATAACATTTTCATAGCCAGTGACACGTGGAGACAATGAACTATATTTACACGCATAGTTTATTTAATCTGCGGAAAATTAGTCAGACGAAAAAAAACAATCTAATTTTTTTTTTTCATTTACGAATGAGCAAACGTGCAGTTAAGGTCAGAAATTGAAATCAACGCTAATCACTGATTCATACGATGACAAACGCAGAATGCTAATTTCCAAACTTGTTGCAAATAAGTGCTGATTTTTTATAATTTGCTAACTGTTTCATATTAAACGAATGACTCGTATGCATTGTCATCAAGTTATTATTATTTTTTTACATTTCTGTTTGGATGCGTTGATTAGGGGAGCAATGTTTTACACCAAATAATTCATATGGCATCTGTGTGGTACTGCCCCAATGTCCTTCTATAGTCAACTATTACGGTCAAAATCAAGGCAATCCTCAAGTGATCAATTACCTCTTGGCATCACAACGAAATTGTGGCACAAGAAGTATAAGGCGGAATCCACTCGTCTGTTGCGGTGATCCTGTTATTAATCGCCCTCAGGAACCCCAACCACAGCCTTCCACTCCTCAACCCCAAACTTTTAATCCACAACCCGACATTCCAGAAGTCTCAACTGCTCCAAACACAACGCCAAGAACTACACAAACAACTACTTCAACTACTCAACGAACAACAACACAATTTCCAATTCCAGACTCATCACGATCATCTGGTGAATCATGCCGTGATCCAAATGGTATTGAAGGAGTTTGTATGAGCATCAAAGAATGTCCAGTCATACTAAACGAATTTGTTGCAAAGAGCAAAGACAGTTCATATGTGCAATACATCAAAAGATCAAATGAAAATTGTCGAAATATTCAGCCTTACATTTGTTGTCCATCGGAAAATAAGCCGATAATTCAAACAGATGCATCACCTGTTGCACAAATTCAAGGACGGTTACTCACTGCGGACGAAGGATGCGGTATGATATTGCAATTATATGAAATACATAATAAGTGTATTAGCTTTGTTGTGTTTCCCGTTTTGTTTTTCTAGGTTATACGAATGACACAACGACTCGTGTGGTTGGTGGAAGACCAGCGAAAAATGGTACGTGGCTCAAAACGGAAATCGAAACGGTTGACGAAATACTTTTAACACTCTGTTGCTTATACATTTGATTTTATAGGTCAATATGGATGGATGGCGCTCTTAGGATATGTCAACAATTTGGGAGAACAGTCTTGGAAATGCGGTAATTACATCCATTTACATCCACTTTTAATAATTTATAATCCAATGACTTCATTCTATTGTTGGTTATTGATCGTTGAAAGAAACTTTTTCAAACGTGTTTTTGTCTTTTTTTTTATTTCATTCAGGTGGGTCCTTAATAACATCACGGCACGTGTTGACTGCTGCTCATTGCATTTTATCTACACTGTACGTTTAATATAAATAATCTATAAATAAGTTGATATTGATCGACAAACTTGATTTCGTTTTTCGTTTAAATTTGAAGGTCGAACGTTCGATTAGGCGAACATGATATAAGTTCAACGTCTGACGGTGAGGTACAAGATATTAAAGTAATTAGATCAGAACGACACGCTGATTATAATCGACGAGATGGAACGAATGACATTGCAATTTTGTATCTTGAACGAGATGTCCAATTTTCAAGTGAGTTTAATTTGTTTTTAAAAATCGGTTGAAGATATTATGCTTACCTTTCGTTTGGCTATTGTAGAACGAATACGTCCCGTGTGTTTGCCAGTTGAGGAACCCATTCGAAGTCGAAGTTTTGTTGGCTGGATGCCCTTCGTAGCAGGTACTTACATGTTTTTTTTAATCAAAAAAGAAAGATCAAACAAACATATAAAAATGAACTATGAAATTTAAGGTTGGGGTCGACTTCAAGAAGGAGGGAAATCTTCAAATATTCTTCAACACTTGCAATTACCGATTCTGCCCAATGATGAATGCCAAGCGCAATATCAAAAACAGGGCAAATTAATTTCACAACAACAATTTGGCGATGCAGTTTTGTGTGCTGGTATATTGGAAGGTAATTTCACCGTTTACTAAAAATGTCGCAAATGAGTCCAATTCGATTTTTTTTCTTTAGGTGGAAAAGACAGTTGCCAGGTTTTGAAGATTTCCTAAATTTACAAAATACAAAGATATTTTATTATTTTCGTTATTAATTGACACACACATTTATGATTTATAGGGCGATTCAGGAGGTCCGTTGATGCAGCCCGTACGACACAACGAAAAAGAATTCCGATACTATCAAATAGGGATTGTATCGTATGGTATCGGATGTGCACGGACCAACACACCCGGTGTCTATTCCCGCGTTCAACACTTTATCGATTGGATTCAAGAGAAAATTAGCCAATAAGAATCAGTCATGTATAACACTAATTTGTCATGTATATAATATAACGTATTTCATTGCAGTGTGAATCAATTTGAATTGAGTCATTAACCTAACATTTTGTATTTATTTACAATGTTTATATTTTGAGAATAATATTGTCAATTGAGCTACGATTTGATGCTCAATTTAATAATCAATAGATCATTCAGAAATGATGGCATAAACTGACCACAAAAATATTCATTAATTTTTTCTTCACAAATTACTTCCAATCTACTAGCCAGAACACATCTATTTAATCGACGATTAGTGATTGTTGCTATGAATCGGCACAGGGTTTGTGTATTAATGACACTCAACAGTTGTCGCACTCACTGCTTACCTTAGGTGTAATTTATTATAAATTCTATTAATTATTTTCGTTATTATTATTGCAAAACTTATTCAATTTATACAATTTTGCAATTTTATTTGCAAGAAAAAAATATATTAGAACCTGGCGTGAAAGAGATGGCGCTTCTTAAATCGAGTCGCGTTCAAATACATTGTCAATATACAACGCAAGTGATACTCGGGGAAAAGAGTCATAAATTATATTCAACGATTTATAGCGAAACAAAATGACATAGGAATATTCCATCTTTGCAGTGAAAACAACAGTTTTTATAATTTTGGTTGGCAAAATCAATGTATCAGGTTGGTTTTTTTCGATAGTTTTATAAAATTGAGACTCTGTTGCATTGAAATGAAAATAAAATCATGAAATTCATTTTTTAAAAGACCAAATGGTTACTCGATTTATTCGTTTTGGAAACTATAAAAAAGAATCCGAATGAATCCGTTGTACCTTGAAAATGTTTTTCGACAGATTTGCATATGTCCCTGATACACTCATGTAAAATACTTTATTTGGTTGTTATTTTTTGTTCAGTTTTCCATGCCTTCATCCGTATGGTTTTTTTGGTCATTGCAAACATATAAAACAATGTCCAGCTCTTTTAAGTGATGTAGAAGAAAGACAAAACGATTTGCAGTTCAATATGGTATGATCTCGATTACAAGATATTAAAGTAAATAGATCAGAACAACAAGCCAACTACAATAAACACATTGGAACGAATGACATTTGATAAACCAATTCAGTCTCGTTCATTTGTTAGCGACAAACCATTCATTGCGAGCTGGGATCTTTGGCGAAATGAGAGTGGAAGGTATAATAAACCACGAGAAAAATGCCAATTTTGGAAAATAAATTGTGCAAAGAACGTTTTAAAGAATTGGGAAAGTGGTATCAGTTTGATTCAGTAATTTGTGCCGATAATAGAGCTGATGACATTTGTGACATGGAAAGCCCATTAATGGAACCGATTTTGAATAAAAATAAAGGCGATTTCCGTTATTACCAAATTGGCATTGCCTCTTATGGATGTGAACATTCCGAAACTCCGGTGGTTTTCACTCGTGTTCAGTCCTACATTGACTGGATTCAAGACAAAATAAGTTCAAAGGAGTGATTTTTACTACTCATATTCACGAAACAATTTAAAGAGTTTCAATAAATATAATTTAATAAAAAAACATAACCTCTGATCATTAATCATATTTTGGGATTTTTGCTGCGGCAGGATGCTTAATTTCACAGCGTTTCAATGTCAATAAATCATTGTGTGGTTTTAGATACATTAGCAAAAGACACAGAATACATCTATTTAATCGACGATTGGCGGTATACATTTGCATCTCTCGTATACGACTAAATACAGAGTTTGTTCATAAATGGTAGTCAACCGTTGCCGCGCTCGCTGGTTGGGTGTGTTGAGTTTACAAATAGCGAATGCTAATCAGATTCCGTAACTTTTAGTACTTTGACGTGAGCTTAAATCACACGGTGATATTCAGTAGGTTTTGCGCACTTCAAATGACACATCGTTGATATAGTTTGAGACAGAAAAAAACAGTAATCCAAATGTGAACGATATATTGCTTCGACGGATTATAGTAAATAGTTTACAGTGAGACAAAATGAAAAGAGAATATTTAAACATAATTTGTTTTATAATTTTGATTACCAAAATCCACGCATCAGGTTAGTTTAAACTGGCATCGAAATGAAGATACTGTTTTTTAGAAACTGTAAAATATTTTTTCTTAAAAAGTTAAATGTTGAATAACAATTCGTTTGTGTGACTGTTTGTGAAATACATAAATACCGAATGAAATTATATAACCTTGAAAAAAGTCAGAGTTTGTTATTCACATACATATATAATTGTTTAAAAATGCCACATAATCATTGATAATTAATACTTTATACGCGTTTTATTCAAAGTGTTGTGAACACACGCAATCTAAACTTACACTATATATAAATAATATCGAACATTTTATAGGTTTCAATTCAAGATCAAGAGATGTTGCAGAAAGAACTTGTATAGATCCGAATCGTTTTGATGGTGTGTGTAAATCAATAAAAGAATGTTCGGTTGTGTTAAAAGAGTTTATTGCCAAAAGCAATGACACCGCTTATGTACAATATATTAAACAGTCAAATGCCAATTGTGACAACATAAAGCCGTTCGTTTGTTGCCCATCTGATGGGAGAACATATCAATTTCACGACGCCAGTATTCAAGGACGTTTAATTAAACCAGCTGAGGGATGCGGATATTCGAATCAAAATTTTCGCCCTAGAATTGGCTCCAAACATATTTCTAAATTGGGTAAGGTAATATAAATAAATAAAGAAAAATGTTCACGAATAATTTAAAATTTTAGGAGCATTAAATCAATTCGTGGCTTTCTTGATATACACTGATAATAACGACCAGTTCTCTTGGAAATGCGGTGCGTAAAAATCTCAAAATATCAAAAAACTATCTGGAAAATATTTGAATTTATATGTTGCTTTTCATATGACACAGTTGGTTCTCTTATAACCACTCGCCATGTTCTCACGTCAGCCCGATGCGTCAATTCCAATTTGTATGATCGAATGAACTTGATTTTGATTTCTTTAATGGAATGAATATTTTCAACATTTTGTAGATCAATGGTTCGATTAGGAGAATACAACCTTAGCGCATCGCACAATGATGTTGTTCAACATATTAAAATTATTCGATCGGAACGTCATGCTATGAATGATATTGCAATTTTATTTCTTGAACGAGATGTGGGAATTTCTCGTGAGTCAAAAACCAATTTTGAACGATCATTAAAATCTAATCTATTTTTATTTAAATACTCAAAGCACATATACGTCCCGTTTGTTTGCCGATAAGTGAACCAATCCGAAGTCGTTCATTTGTAGAGTACAATCCATTTATCTTTGGATGGGATCTTTTGCGAAAGGATCGAAAATTTTCAAACATTCCATTCGAACAACAAATTACTGTTTTGGACAATAAATCGTGCAAAGAACGATATCAACAACTAGGAAAATTGGTATCAGCAAATCAATTCGATCAAAGTGTGGTTTGTGCAGGGCATTTGGATAAATTTGATGGTTGCATAAGTGAATTTGGCAGTCCGATGCTTCAACCGATCCGCAATGGTGAACTTGATTTCCGTTATTATCAAACGGGCATTGCCGCGTATGGAATTGAGTGTGAAAGAACCGACGGGCCTGCTGTTTTTACCAGTGTTCAGTATCATATAGATTGGATTCAAGAGAAAATAAATTCATAGATATGAAGTTTATGGCTTGTATTCAAGCACCAATAAAAAGAATTGTACTAAAAATATAAAACCTTTATTTTCCTAAATTTATTTATACAATTTTTATTTTATTGTTGAGAAAAGGCATAAATGTCTTTAAAGTGTGTACGATTTTATAGAGTTATAGTTTAACAGCTTCGCCTTTGAGTTTTCTTTTTTTCCAACTCCAAAACTATACGTATAGAAATTTTTCGCATTAAATGTGCAAAATAATGAACAGTTTTTGATTATAAGATGTTGTTGTTTTTTATTGTTCTTGGTCAATAAGAGAAGTTAACGTATTCAAAAATGGAAATTGTAAATGTTATTGCTTTCTGCATATTTGGTTAGATTGCTCACATAAAACACTATTTTGAGTTTCTATTGCATTTAAACTAGGTAAGTCATTCGTTAAATTTCAAAGCAACAAATTATACGGATCTTTTGAAAATGATGACAAAGAAACTGTTGCACGAATCGTATATGAGAGAAAGAGAGAAAATTATCGAATCTGTTAAGGAAATGATATTGAAAGGCAATAACGAATAGAAAGTATGGTTAATATTTAATGAACTATTATTGAGATTAAAAGATGCAGATAATTTGTTGCTTTGTTTTGTGTGCAAAATAATAATTTTGCAAATGTTTTGCAAAATTAATGGTTCGCACTTTAAGAATTTACCGCGGAAAATATATGTGAAAATTATCTATTTATTTAAAAAAAAAATATATATTCATCTAATCATCGGTCGCTTCTCGTTTAATATTAATCGGTTCAACTAGTGTTGGACTGAGCGCCAAAGCTGGATTAGTCACGGCAATGATATTGTTGCCGGAAGCCGATAGCACACGCACACCCAGCGACCCGTTTCCATTTGCATTGATGTTGGCCGTTACAGTAACCTCTTTTTCGTCGACCATTTCACTCAACATCTTATTCTCCTAAAATTGAAAGGAAACAATTGAAGAAATTCAACGTTCTGAACGGACGATGTTTTGGGCGTAATTACCTCTTCAACGTCATTATCTCCACCGTTGGACGACTGAAGTTGTGGCGAACTTGAACTACTGAATGAGAATCGCGAATCATCTTCACAATCGGAACGTGAGTATCGCGTCGAACTGCTGAAATATGGAATGAAAATAAAGTTAATAACAATAGTGCTCATCAAATGAATGGCTTTTCTACGAATACATACGAGAAACGGGCCGCAATATCACCGACATCGAACGATTTTCCCAATTTGTGATAGATTTGCAGTAAATTGTGTCGCATTTCTTCGGCACTATCACGGCACGGATATTCCTATAATTACAAATCAAATATATCCAAAGGTCAGAAATTATCTGAATTTTTCTTTGTGTGTGAAAGTTTCCAATTTAGATGCAGATTAGCTGTTGAGCTGTGTCAGTGCGAGCATGTTAGAATCTTATCGAAGCAGCTTACCTTAAGCGCAAATAGTATATGTTAGCAAAAGCAATATGAGATCATCGGAAATGTAATTAAAATGATTTCATGCAAATTTCATGCATTAAATAATTGAACAGAAAATATTTTGATTAGCTAACTAACTACGTCGAATTTATAGAATTTTAAAATGTAAAAACATTCAATATAATCAATACACTAAATGTAAATGTAATGAATTGTTTTCAGAGACTGTTTCATGAACAGTCTCTAAAAAGAGACATCTCAACAAAACTTACATCTACATTGCAAAAACCCCATTTAAGAATTAAAAAATTAAGATTCAAACTAGCAATACGGCATATTACAAGCAAAACAAAGTCTTTGGTAACATGCATTAACTACAAATGTGGAAAAATTTTAAACAAAAAATTGCATCAATTGAGTAGCGAGTAGTCCACAAGCGAAGCAGGTTAGTGCAGATGTTAAGGTATGTAATAGTAGTGTACGGCAGACGACTGTAACAAATACATAATAACATTGGTTTTAGTTTAATCCAATCCGAGATTAGTAATTGATAATCAATATTTGGTGTGGTTTTAAAATTTTGACAAGCAAATTTTGTGCGATACTCTTGAAAAAAAAAAAAAAAAAAAAAACATTTTGGAAAAAAGTACCTTTTTGAATTTTCACGACTTTCGAATGAAAAGAATTTTTCGTATTGTTTTCAAATACAGGATAGATTAAAAACCAAAACGGTAGCCAAAAAGCCAAAGCAAAGCAAATAAATTTCGTAAAAATATACAAAAAATGAGAATCGAAAATTATTATGCGTTAAAAGCGATAATTTTGCATTGAATTGCACACGTTCACAGATTTATTGTTTTAATCAATGTCGATAATTGTGATGCGTTGGCATCGTTCACAATCGCATTGATCATCACAATGAGACGGAGAACTCAATACCTTGCTGTATTCAGAGCTTGTGTCGCTTGGCAATCGCATTCGTTTTGTTTGCGTGTCTTCTTCGGCCGATCGTGATGATGTCGATTGTTGACTACGGATGAAATAAAATCATATTCATTCTAGTATTTTATGCATATTATAAATTATTTATTATTTTACCTCATAGCGATGCGAGCAATACCAGCTGAATGACCGAAACCGGCGTCTTTAACAACTTGCCGTGCCAACGGAAACAATTCTTGTCGACGCGTTAAAAGCGCTGGTATAAATCGACACATTTGCGCGGCCGCCTCATTTACACACACCTCGTGTAATGTCAAAGGTTTTTCGGGGCGACGTTTACAATCGAAACGACCATAAATTGCGGAAAATTTACGAATTCCCTCCATTCGTCGTGGATCGTTTTCGCTCAAAGCAATAATCGCATCAATTTCTTTTGTCGATCGTTTTTTTGTGCTTTGTGGCTTTGTATCTAACAATGTATACTGACTTGCCACTCTACAAGTACAATTGTTTTATTGTTAGTTTATATACTTTACGATAGAATGATTAATAAATAAATAAAAAATGTTCACCTTTCTGCGGCTCTAGTAAGGCGGATAACTTGTTCGTCTGACAAAGACGGGGTCAATTGAATTGAACTTGTCGGTGTGGCTGATGCTGCACCCATTGAACTGCCCATATGTGATGATATACTTCCAATTGTACTGAATGTTGAACCCATTGTTGCCGCTCCGCTAATCGAAGACGGACTATAAGTTGGAATTGGATGGAATGGACTACGTGATTGTGTTACGGGCTCTGGACTAAATGGTTCAGTTCGCGTTGATTCTAAAATTTGAAATTTTTTAGTTTAAAGTAAAATAAAATGAAACGGCAAAGAGGTTTGTTAAATTTCAATCATTTTCAGTTTCGACCTACCTATACTCGATAATGGCACTTTAAATGCCGCTGGATTGCTCACCCATTCGGCTAAGGATTTTTGAAAACGACGCACATGCAATGGCTTTGACGCCATCCCAACTAAAGCCATTATTTCCAAAAATTCATCTTCACCCGCATCACACAACTGCTGAACATCATCTCCACCTAAAAAAGAAAAAATTTTTTTTTTTAATATTTCTAATTCATTTTTTATATCAATGAACTCGATCTTTCAAGCATTTAATATTCGCCAAAAATATTTGATTTGAATTTCGAAGAAATTTCCAAGCAAATAAAACTATAAGTGGTATTTGAAAGAAGATCAAATCCTACCCATTTCAAGTAATGTGTCATAATATGCCAAGAGACTGGCTCTCTGTAACACACGATACAACTGTAGTTCAGCTTCATTCTGCGGTGTTGATGTAGAAACCACTATAAAAATGGCAAAAACAAAAAAAAACTGGTTAATAATCAAAGTTCATTTATACTGAAGCAATTAAAATCGACAAAAAGATGAAATAACTAGCATTTGTTATACATTTCTAGCAAAGAATAGAAACTTAAGATTTAAGCTGGCCCATTTTTTATAGGGCAAATGAGAACGTGATTGGTTTATTTATGAGTCAAGCTGAAAAAAAAACCAATCCCGTAATATCAATTGTCTAGGCACTAGTTTTTTATTAGTGTAGAATACAAAACACAACTAATCCCCTCTTGATCGCCTTTCTACGGCGCAATACGTTTTTTTACGCTTCAGACGCATTTCTTATGCATGATTTCAACCCTTTTTTTTCTTACATCCAATATGAAAAAAGGGGTTGTGATTTTTTTAACATAGACTTGCTCGTGTTGGCTCAGAGTTTTTTTTTTTCAAGTAAATTAAAAAAGAGAAGAAAAAAATTAATTTTTCCTATTTTTATGCGACTCGCGTCTTTTCGTACAAAAGCTGCAGGCCACGAAAAGCAACATCACTAAATTATCATTGTTTCTTGGCAATCTAGAAAATTAATGCATGCAATGCATAATGCGTCAAGAACTCACGGTGAAACGATGAAGAATAATGAGTGTTCTTTGGTTGTCGGTACAAAAAAAAACACACCGTGTGATATATCCATAGCAAAAAAAACCATCGAACCTTTTATGCAAATCAGAGATAGTGTTTTTTATGTCCACTTTTTTTCCATTGAGCATCTTTCGATGTATGCAAATGAGAGAAGATTTTTCTCATGCTTCGCGGCAGAGACAAAAAAAAACTATCACTCTCAGGAAATTGACCCTATTGTTGTGTTTCTTTGTTAATACACAAGTTTTTATGGTATTTTTTTTTGCTTAGTTTTTAATCTTTACAGTTAAATACACGAAACGGATATTCTTTGGTTCTCATCAACTCTATTTTCACACATATTAATGAATTTTTTTCCAAATTACATCCTTACCACATTGTTTATCTTTGGAACGAAATCAATTCTGTGAGAATAACGGAGGATTTGTTGATACAATGAATGTCGATTACGAGTAAAGGATTAAAAAAATTTCATAGCGGACCGAATAAACTTCGATAGTGAAAACATTAAAAAAGTGAGTCATTTTTTGGGACTCCGTCGGGTAATGTATTTTTTATTTCTGCTACGATTTTTGTTTTGAATATTTGAATTGAATTTGTTTGGTTTGTCGTGAGAAAAACAACAACACCTGCGATCTAACTCATAAGCCTTGTGATTCTCCGGGCATTCACACGATTGCAAAATTCGCAAAAAAAAATTAGTCCAAAGAAGAAAAACATTGTGGACAATGAGCTTTGTCTGACTGAGACAGAACATTCAGTTGGTAAAGCATAAAAAAAATGCAAACTCGCGATATGGTTAGAGCAAACAAATGATTTGAATCAAAGGAAAAACTATGAATAAAAGGAATACATGCAAAATCCATCGAGTCACAAAGCAAAAAAGTGGTAGTTGAAAAAAAAATCGAAAGTGAAGAAAAAACCGCTGAGAAGACAATGTGATTAAGGTCTGTAAAGAAACTCGTCTGTCGGATAGTATGGTCGGCACATAAAATCTCACGGAATTCACGCATACGAAATGAACTGGTATTTCTACGTCTATTTTTCTCTTGTATGTAATAAACTCCTACGGAAAAAAATTGGTCTGAAAAAAAACTTGGCCAAGTGAAAAAAAATCCGCCTCGATTGATTACCACTATGAACAACAGCATAAACATTTAATTTTTATGTGCTACAGATCTCTCACTATTTCTTTTTCTCCCTCTTTCTATCTCTAACAACATTTGAGTACGCAATGCGCACGACGACGACGGGCCGCAATTCGATCATCATCATTCACGAAATATGCGAAGAAAGAGCAACGTAAAATATAAATAGAGAAAAAAACACCACCTTTTTTTCTACACACAGACAAATAGGTGCTGTATTGTATTGAAAGCCGGCTTTGTGCTGCCGTATTCAGTAACGAAACGAAGTTAGAAAAGGATAACAAGAAAAATGTTTACCCTTTAAGTCATGCGTTTTTTGTGTCGTCGTCATTTTTTTTTTTGCTTCTTTCGTACATTCTTTATCCTCTTCGTGCTCTAGTCTTTTTGCGCTTCCTTTAGATGGTAGCGTTTTTGTGTGTGAGAGATATATAGTACATCTATCATAAGGCTCTTGTTCTTTGCATACGTGAATCGATTTGAATATTGTTCGACATTTTTTTTTTTGCTTCGATCGCCTGAATTTGTTTTGGCCCCTTCGAATTTATAGGTTTCTTCAAATCAGACTTGCTGCGATTGTGGTATGAATCCTTTTATGTTGCATTGTGCGTGTTTTTTTTCGTTTGCGATGCGTCGGGCCCGCAGGTATCTTAAGCACGCAACACATTCTAATTTATTCAATTGATGATGATGCGCGCACTACTGCATTACACAACCAGTACCGATCGAATGATAAATATATGCATACCGAAGAGAGAGAAAAAAAAATTGACAAGGAATATAACACGATTTTTTTTGACCGGAGTCCACAGTTTAGCACAGGTAAAAATGTGAATGGTGTGTTTTTTTCTCGTTACGATGGTTGTGATATGTTAAAAGTAATAATAATAATCATCGAGAACGAGTTGTTTGGTGTTTGTGAAAAATGCATTACCGGTAGCATATCGTCGACTACTTATCCGGTGTTGTGTGTGTAAGTAAGCGATCATGATTTATAAATGTGTGTAATAAGTATGTAGCGAGACCGATGATGATGCTTAGGTGAATCGATTCTATGGGAATTATATGCGCACTGTTAAGAGACAAGCAGCGAGAGAGCACATCTGATTTGCATATTCGGATGTGATGTCGCATTTTTTCCATCATTTACTTCAATCCATTTTTCGTACCGTTGTCATTTTTTTTGCTGTTTTCCGTCGTTTTTTTCTGTTTGTTTGTTTGCACGTTGTATATCTATCTTTTTTGCTCTGCGCTGCCTGCATGCGAAGTGTGTGAGAAACGTGTACAGTTTAATTGAAACACGTGGAGGAAAAAAAATGAAAATTCTCACAATATTGTGCGATGATGTTTGAATGTCTTGTCATTCAGAGGTTGCTTTCGACAATGAAACAAGGCGCTCATTGTTTGTGGCGAATGCATTGCAATCCGCTTACCAACCGTTCTCACGCATTGTAGACGATAGATTGAAATAAAAAAAATGTTCATGTGATTTAGTGGGTCGCGTACTTGTGTCACTCTTTTCGGTGATGAAGTCCTTGCTAATATATTTTTTTTTGTATTCTCTATTTCAAATGAATTTACAGTGATTGGATTTTCGCCAATCCGACCAACAAAAACATGTCTAGAAATTATATCGAACTAACGAAAAACACTTTTCAGCATTATGTTTTATTAGTTGTTTTTTTCTCGTGCACGAAAAACCGCCAATTGATGAGACAAACCCAATAAGTTGAAGCAAAAGTGAAAAAAAAACACAAGAAAACATGGCCTATAGCCGAAAATTTCAAAATGCACATAAAATTAAAAGTGAACAAAAAGTATGAAATGCCAAACGAATATGAACATTTTCTTTTTGCTAGTTTGACATTGCGATTGAAGTTTCTCTTCATGTGCATATTTTTCTAAATGGATGTGGTTCGTTGGCGTCGCATTTCGCGTAGTGAGAATTAATACACACACACGCCGTGTGTTATGTACGACGTCATACACGACGGATAAAAGGAGACAGGGCGAGAAAGAAATGCAGGCCGCAATTTTTTTTTCAATTCGGCTTATATTGTGTAGTGTCCATTGGAATGCCGGTCCGAGAGAGACCAAATGAAATTCATACTAATAACAATAATTTGAAGATTCGATTGCTTTAAAATTTGATGAACGTATTTATGTATGTGCGAGCACACAACGAAACAACACATCATAATGCAAGCACACGGTTTTTTTTGTCATCATCATTTTCGTCGATGCTCTTCACACCGCCATCGCAAAATACACAGTACAGTAGCAACAGAAGCAGAAAAATGCAATGTACCCGTCTTTGCCAAAAAAAATCCTACATATCTCGAAGATAAAGAAGATTTTCTTTTCATTATCATTATTATTTTTTTTTGGCTTTTAACTGAAACAAACGATAAAAAAATGCCAACATTTTCGAATAGATAGAACAACAAAAAGTATGGTGTATTTTTAAAAGCATTATAACAGCAAGAATCTTTGGTCCAGCTCTTTTTAATTGCACGACGTTCTAACTAAGATTGTGCTGAATGTGCACAAGAATTTGTGTAAATTTTTAGTGAGCGAGTTTCTTTTCTGCACTGTTTTTTTCTTGTTTGGTTCATTGCGCCGGTTCTTCATGCGCGAATATAACATTCCATAATTATTCGGAAGTTTTTTTTTCGTGCGGGACTGAGGAGAGAAAAAAGAGCCAATTCTGTGATTATCGATAGATTGATGAGTCTGTTCTTGAACGAATAAGCAAACACACAAAAAATGTTACAGACGCTCAAGAATGTGGCGGCCTCAGTTTTTGTCATCTTGGTCAACTTAAATACGCGCGCACATATGAAAGCAAATAGTAAAAAAAGCGACTACTGTTTTTATGCATAAGAATTCAATTCAGATGGATATTTTCTATTCGTGTTTTATAAATCAGAATGGCCCAAACTATCTTCACCCCTTTATACGTTTATTTGGCAGCAACGTTCCAAATTTAACTTTGATAAAAACGCAATTTTTCCCTTCAAAAAGTTCAAATTCTTTTTTTCACATTTTGGTCAATTCATGCAGGTGCTGAGTGTCTTCGGATTTAATTACCGTCTTGCCTTATTGATGAGCAACGCATGCTATCAACGGTTTTTTTTCGTAAAATATGTTATTAGCAATCCAGTCTGTTATCCATCAATGGTGTCCAAAGTTATCCAATTCCGATGCCAATAAATTTGAAACAAAATTAAACTGTCGCCGACGGCGTCGTCGTTCTAATGATTTTTTTTTGGTTAATGAAGAAAATATGAAAGCATTCGATTGTGTACAAATGGTTAAAATACGGAAAACCGTTAATATTCGTTTAAATTACTCTTGAAAAGCGAAAAAAAAAAAACAATAATTTCCAATATATTTTTTTGTGTGAGGCTTGAAATATATAGACTCTCTGAATATAATGTTCTATTGTAAATGGCAAGGGCTATGAATGCGAACTGTGTTTACACTGTATATAGACAAAGTATGTACAATAAAAAAAGTTGTGTATACAATTCAATTACGAACAAAAATGAATTTGTGAAAAGAATGCGGTGTCTAGGGTTTGAATCTACCTGAAGATGAAAAAAAATCGCTACCCTTACTGTTTGGCAAAAAAGCCGTACAACTAAAATGGTGACTGTGAGAAGACGTTATTGGTTGGAATACAAATAAAGGCGGAGGTTTTTTTCTAGTATTGAACGTTTTTTTTTTCCAGCCTTTTAAATAGAGGCTTTGAAATTATTTAACTGATACACAGAAATTCACAATTCCCAGCAGTGAAAGAATGTACGATCGCACATAGCAATGGAAATGAATGATGAGTGAGAGAAAACTTTATTTACCGGTTAAAAATCACAAGGAATTCAGTCGTGCTGAATAGAAACTGGGGTGACGATTCGTTCGAAACGGTAGGCTGAAACTCAATCTAAGAGAGTAGTCGGTCGGTACTTTTTTATCCTCTCTTTTTAAGCATCCGACGGAGAAAACTAGTTCCTCTCCCAGTTAAATAAATGCGATGTAAATATGCATAAAAGGTTGTTTCAATGATTCTTTTTTTTCGGCACGATTTTAACGGTTAAATTCGCTAAAAATGGCGCACACAAAAAGATGAAGTATATTTCATTATTACCCTTGTAACATAAATTTAAATGACGACACGATATGCTGACATCATTAGAAAAATCTCAGTACACAAGAGTGGATCGGTTGCGTAAGCTAGTCGCGCCATTTTTCCCTTTAATACAAAGTTTGTTTTTGAGAGAGCGAAAAAAAACCGTCTAACGTCTGTTTGCAATTATCTCATGTTTTAAATGGTATTCCATGCAGATCTGGTTTCAAACTTGAATACACTCTATTTTCAGACGCCAAAAATGCGCCGCACAGGCACACACATACACATGCTGGTTTATTTTTCAGCGATTTATTTTTCACAGACTTTTGAATTGATAACATCGAAATGGATGGCCGTCTTTATTTTTCGCTGTTATTCATATATACCGCTACAATTTTTTTGTTGCTGTGTGATTACACCCCACAAAAACCAATTCGATTTCTTTTGAAAATCCGTATTCATCGTCCACAGAGACAAACAACTTATAGAAGTTTGTTATTGTTTTTTTTTCTGGTGCATTTTCAATGGATTTTATTTCTTGTGCTCGTTTGTATCCACATTTTTTTCTATCGGTTTTTATAATCGCATTGGCGTTGATTTTTTTTCTTTTCGCTTCTGGTTATTGCGCGATAGATTTGAGAAGAGCGAGGAAATGTGTGTGTTTTTGTTGGATATAAAGACGCGCCCAATATATTTGGTGTTATCGTGCATGTATGTCTGCTATGAGTATAGAATTGTTCCACAACTGCAATTTATATCGTGTGGCTCCTGATCGTCTATGAAAAAACAATAAAAGCAATACGCTAAGCGCAAAAAAATCCAGATTATCGCTGCGATGGACTGTGAGAAAGCAAGTGATGCGACAGCAAAAACGAAACGGAAAAATATTAAGAATATATACATCCAACATTGAAATAGATGGCAAGACGACGGCACCAAACAAAAAGGAACGACGACCGAAAGCGAGCCACAAAAACGATTAAAACGAACGCACAATTGATGAAAAAAAAACGAGCAGAAAAAAAAAACATTGTGCTTACTGTGAAAGAAATCACTACGGAAAGAGTCGAGTATGTGTGAGCACTTCAGCAGCATCTCTATCATTTTATCCCATTTTCCTTGCGCGCTTTTTTTCCTCGTTCGCTGTCTGGAAGGACTATCAAACTTCATTGAGAATTGGCAAGTAGGTTGCTATTTTTATTGTAGTACTACATTGCTGTTACAAGTCAATATTGTGTGTCAACTGTAAATTTTGCTATTCTGCAACAAAACGCACATACACACAACAATGAATGGCAGAAGTTTCGATGGTCTAATTGAAAACATTGTGTTGAATTGAGCGAACGATTGTTTTGGCTACGCAATCACATTGTTTTTTGTATGCGCTATTTCGTCCGTCTCACAAACAATGATATCCCTTCGATACAAACTGGAAAGCAACAGATTAAGTTAATTTGATGCAAACTGATTTATGTATGGATGCCTGTTTTATGCACATTCAACGGCTCCATCAACATTTTACGATGCCATCGATGCTTTTGCGGAAGTTTTATGCGCCGAAATCGGCGTTCTTCATAATGTGGCAATTCCCAAATGATCGACCGTTTTTTTTTGCGTTCGAGCAACAAACAAAGATTTATAGATATAGTTTTTGGGTTTTTGAATTAGTTGCAAGAGCATTGATAATAAATTATGATATTGATTGGCAAGTTTGAGATTTGATGTTAAATGTGTCGGAAAACATGTACAAAGTGAAATTTATTTTTTTGTTTTAAATTGACAAATAAATCAGTTTCAAATGTTAATTGGATCCATTATTACGAGAAAAAGCCGGAAATGAACGATCCTAATTTCGATAATAATTCATATTTTTCCGGGTTCACATTTTGACCAACAATTGAACGAACGAATTTTTACTCTCTTGAAAATTGAATGTTGAAAAAGGTGAAGAACAAGAACATGCATCGGAGACTCCAAAAAAAAACTGGAGATTGAATCCTCTTTCCGTCCCCGATTAAAGATTACCCGCACAAATTGTATGTAAAGAGTAATAGAATGGAGAGGAAAAAAAAGTTAAAAAAATGGGTTTGAAGAGAAAAAAAAATCCATTTTTGAGCAGCATATGTTTACTTGGCCACTGCTGCTTATTTGTTGAAATAAAGTCTTCGATTTTTTTTACGATTGTACATTGTACGCACTCGATAGTGAGAAAAAAAAGCGAAAGGTAACGGGTAACAGAATGATTATTTGTTCAATAAAAAATCGTACGAGTAAATAGAACAATTTTTTTTCTTTCATTACCAAACAATATTATTTTTTTCTAAAGCATTTTTGCTCTTTGAACTGTTGATCTACTGGGGCAGACCATATGTTCACGACAATGGACGGTTTTTTGTTCACTCTCATCATTTGAATTACATCTACATATGCGCAATGAATAATAATGGAACGTCTCTATTGAATAAAACACAGTGTCCAGGATAAAAAAAAAACACGCGCACACACATACACATATACAAAACACTTCAGATAAATAATGAAGCCGTTTAACGCGCCAAAAAATTTCGAACGGGTTTAAATAGTAAGCGTGATTGACTTTGGGAATAGACTGAATTTGCTGCGAAAGTAGCTAAAGTGAATTTGCATTTCAAACTTACTGGTTCCGTTGTTATTGCGACCTAGTGTTTTCCCAGGTGGTGATAAAATCGGACTCGATGCAGACGACGAAGATGCCTGCTGCTGTTGAAGGGACGATGGTGTGCGTATCGCACCGAAATGTGCCGGTGTCTGTTGAGTTGCGTGCAAATGTGAATGATGAAGTGGATGAAATTTCGGATGTGGTGCTGCCACGGAAATTGATCCACTGCCCAGCGCCGAAACTACTAACGCGCCCTGTTGCTGCTGCTGCTGCTGTTGTTGGTGATGATGATGGTGATGCAATTGATGAATATCTGAAAGGCTTGTCAAAGAAACACCTTCCTCTGGCTGGCTACTTTGTACTATTACACTACTACTAGTTGCTTGCGTTTGATGCGATGTCGACGATGGCGGACCACCCGAAATTTCCATAATACACAGTAATTTTTAACAACGAGATTATTTTTGCCAACAAACAAAAAAATGTCTTTACTTGTTCAAGTTACAAAATATTTACATTTTGCAACGAAGCAATTTGTAGTCGATGTGACAAGATAACATTAAATATCAAAATCTTAATCGAAAATCTAAATAATGACGAGTTCGATATTTGTACGCACAAATCTAATATTTATAAAAAAAAATGAACTACTTTTTATGTCTTAAGGGAGATGGAAAAACTCTACGATCACAAATTTCTACGTTAAAACAATAAATTTCACGATTCTACACAAAACAAACAATCAACACTATCGATCAAAAATAAATCACGTTAAATTGTCAATTTTCGTCGAACTAATTTCAAAACGTTTTTCTTTTATTTTCTAATAATTAACGTTGTTCGATTGCAGAACGGCCGAGATTTTTAAAATTTTCAAACTGATTTTCTAAGTTTTAGTTTCAAATGAATCTGCACTTTGGGATTTAAATTGTTTCACCCACAAAAATACACAATAAGCAATAACTTGCTGTTATCAAAATGGCAATCTATTGAGATTTAAAATGTTCGATGGTCAAGCGCCGCTAAATTGAAGCCGTTAAGCTTAAACAAACAAAATTAATCAACAAAATCACAAAATCGGAATTTTCCGACAAAAATAAAAACAAATAAAACAATAATAAAATGTCGAAGAGAATAAAATGAAATTAATGAATGATTCGTTTCTTTTGGATGGCACAAAGATGAAAGAAATGTATGTTTTAAAAAATATCCGTGCTTTTATTTTAATTCATGGTCTGATATTTCAATGTACCGCTTCGAATGCAATCAAAATAACTTCTGAGCGATTGGTAGCTTTGACAGTGGCATCGAAGGGCGATTCATGTGCTATTTCTGTTGGTGCTGCTGCTGTGGATAGTGAACAGATGAATGTAAAAGAATACGAGAGAGAGAAAAAAAGACTTGCACACTGACAGAAAGGCAGCATCGACCGTTGTCGTCGTCTTCGTCAGTTCTCCTTTTTCTTGCTTTAACCGTATTCCTTTCGTTGTTGTTTCTGTTTGCTGTTGCATGTGAGCTCACGATAGTGGTACGCATAATGCATTGTACTCGCATACGTGCATCACACAGAGAAGCAACACAAATACAAAGAAAAACGATTTGTACGTCTCTAAAGTCTACCGTCGCATACTTCACCGAACGCACAACAATTGAATTGGTTGTGTACCGCTTCAATATATTAAGCAAAACCGTTTTTGCTTTAGGTATTATTATTTTTTTTCGGCATTCTGAATGATTTTGCTCCGCCTTTCATAATAAATACATTTACGCATTGACACGCAAAATCTACGCACGGCCATACGTACACAATAATTTACAATTTAAAGGTTCAATTGCAGTGAACCTCTTCATTTTTTAAAATAGTATCCATTTCATATGGCTTGATCCTCAGCACACAATTAATTGTACGATTTTCTTTATTGATATTTTTAGAAATGTAGAGAATAATTGCTCGACAATATGTGCTCATGTTATGCGACCAATTACAAGTTCATAAGGAGGGAAGATGAAGACAAGTAGTATAGGATCGATGCGTTGTTTGTCACATTTCAACTGGATCCAGTTTGAGAAGAGAAAAAAACGCCAATCCTCGTGGAAAAGAAAATGCCAAGCAGGAAAAGAAAACATCTAATAAAATTGACTCAAACTCATGGCAATGTATAAATGACAGCATTTTGTTTTGTCTTTTTCGTTAAACATACATGCACACAGCAAGCACATAAAACATCAAGTGTGATACAATAAATCGAATAAATGGTTTTTCGTTTGCATTTTGATTGTGAGTCTCTCAGTTGCAACAACTCACTGTTTTGCTGACTGAAAAGAGTTGACACAAACTGCAGAGCATGCTGTCATGGATTCTTCGTGTTTTGCAATCGGTTTCATTGCAGAACGCTGTCTTGAATTTATGTTTTGTGGATTTTATAAGCGAAGATACACAATATATACAATCGCGTGGCATTGGCATTGAAGCATTATGTTGTCGATGCTTGACATTGCTATTGACTAATATCATGTTATCATTATATTTTCAAGCGCAGCGACACTTTAAACAGACTTCTTGAATTGATTTAAAGTCCATAAATGGCGACATGTGAAAGGAGGGACAAGAGCTCTTTTTTTATTCTGTTAATATACAGAATGTTTTCAAAAACTGCTGCAACAAGTGCAAGAAGAAAAAAAAGATGATATATTGACGAAGAATGGAATTTGAATTATTCAATACAGAGTGGGGAGAGAAGAAGAAAAAAAATGGATTTTATCATTTTCAGTTAAAGTGACAAAACACAAAACCCAACGACAGAAATCACATCGATGAGTGACGAATTTTATTTTTGGCGAAAAATTAAAATTTTCCCCCCATTTCGACATTAATTTATTGTAATGAATATAAAATTATTGCAAATGCATACATCGATTGCAATGTCAATGCAATTCGGTGTGTCTTTTTTTCTTGTCAAAATTATAAAAATCCAATCACGAAAATTGTACAAAATGAACACAATGCAGCTTATCGTGAGAATCTCCATTCGAACATTAAAAATCGATTCTTATTTTAATTGGCTCACTCTTGTACCACTCTTGGGACCATGCATTACACTGAGTGTGAAAAATGATAAACGAAACTCAATTAAAAAAATATATCAAAATAATTGCTTGTGTTTGTGCTCAATAGAGGAGAAAGTAATAATTAAACTAATCAATTGATCACATTTGATCTCGAGTACTTCACTCGTTGCAATTTATTTGCATATTTTGATCGAATCTCAATTAAAGGACGGAGAAAAATGATCGTTTTCACACATGCGCGGTTGGAATGATGTCACTTTTCACCTGAAACTTAATTAGAACCAAACAGACGGCACAAGTATTAAGTAATACGCCAAAATTTTCAATGTAATTAGTACATTTTTCGAATAATTACATTGCGTTTTTTTCCCGGCTGGTATGATGTTTGTCATTCAATATTGATTTTCATTTTGGGTGATAATGAGTGTGATTCGGGCAAAACAGCAACAAAACTCGCTTGTTGCATGCTCTTGCATTAAAATCTCATCGATGAAATAACTCTGATTTCCATCGAGTGCGAACTTTGCAAATACCAAACAGAATTTTTCATGTTTATGTATACGCGAAATGCCGACATCATCATCATCAGCGTTGTGGCTAATGCTGTTGCTGTTGCCGGTAAATGACGAGGTGAAGTCGGGTGAAGTGATGTGTACAACAAAGTAAAAATTGTCACATTGGCTATACATACGCACACACTATGCTCGCGTATAATTATTACAATTTTTTTTTCGTTCAGACGCGTTGTGTACTAAGAGAAATAAAAACCGAAATGCGAAGAAGAGCGGAAAGCATCCGAAGCAAATTGAACGAAAAATAAAACCAATTCCAATGTTAAACGACAAATAAATTTGCCAAGCATTCCCTTCGAGAGATAAAAACTTGCTTTCAGGTTTGGTTATGCTGCTTAGAAAAACTAGTCTGTCGCCAACCGACGACAGAGCACTGTGTATGCGCGTGTGTTTTTTTGCGTTTTCTACGCGCTTTTCAAAGCACAACAACATCAACTTATTGCCTTTGCTTTTAATTATTTCATTTTTATGAGAACAAAAGATTGATATGATATTTTGTTGCATGACATTTTTCTGCACTCTTGTTCATTTTCTTCAATTCACACACACAAAAGAGAAGATCACTAAAAAAAAATGACGTTGCTAGTGTTTCAGAACATATGAAGTATTTAACATTGTATCTCTTTTGCAAAAAAATAATAATGCAAGAATATCATCGACATCCCCTTGGCAATGCAAAAATATAGTTAAACTGATGAAAAACGATGAAAATAAATGATATTGCAGTGAGAAACTTTGTAATTTCGATTAGCCATTTTGTGAAGTTTTCAACAACATTCACACAGAACAATTCAAATGATAAAAGTTTCAACTTCGAATGAATGCGAAAAAAGTTTGAGAAGGTAAATAATATGAAGTAAGACAATTACAAGATTTCAATTTGGATGTAGAAAAAAATGATACGTGAGAAGGTCCAATAATCAAATTCAATGAATAACGACATATCATATTTTTTTTCGACACAAAACTCATACCATAAAACATGCGGTGAAAGACGAGAATGAACGCAAAACCGTTTAAAAGGAAGTTTTGGGTATTTTTTTATGCATACTAATTGTGAAAGGATTCAAAACGCGTCTCAGGTATATTTACTTTTAAATTAGGTAAAAAAAAGTGTTTGGAAAAAAAGCGATCGTCTTCGTATGGTCACGATTTATTGAGTCAACCCTCTTATTTCACAAGCACATCTTTGTTAGATGCTGTTGCGTCATAGGACGCGTTGCTTGCGTGAATCGTCATTCCTTAAGGTACTCACACTCAGCTTGGTGTAGCGGAACAAATGGAATAGTGGTAAGACCCATTGAATTCCCCTTTTGCATTTTTATTATGCAAATCGTCTTAATAGTCAATAGTCGGAATATTCTGTGACCTCTTCTATGCTTGACGAAAAAAGTACAATTTCGATGTTTAATTTTTGTTCGCTTTACTTTATTTTTAAATTCCTTAAACGAAATATTTCAGAAGTATACATATTCAAGTGTTTAGTCTAAATTTTGTTCAAATCATAAGTGAATGCCGATGAGCACATTATTCTGTTCAGCGTTTTCATCAATTCGTATTTGTGCATACGGTAAATGCTGTACATTTACTAATTCACTAATTTTAGGAGTATCAAAACATTTCTTTTTTTATAAATTGAACAACGAAGACATTTGTTATTTGGGTCATCCATCAATTATATACAATACAGTGTTTTTTTTTAAAGTTATCTTTGTCTTAGCTATATTTGTTACCTTAAAAAATTGTTTCGTTTTTGTTCTCTTTCAAATTGAGATGTTGAAAAATTTCAACGTCGAAAAAAAGCTTAATTCGCTGTCATTGGAAGTATTTTATTTTTTTTCTTACGAATTATAAATTATTTACGCTAATAATTTGGTTTATCCATCCTATAAATGATGAGACTTTTACATAAACACCGGGAACGTCCTGGCGACCGCACCCAAAGCCTGAAAATATGAATTCCAAATTATTTTTCACATGTGAAAAAAAAGAAAAGATAAATTGATATTACCCCAACTCACTAAGCCGGCCAATTCGAAGAAGCCGTCGTCTTCACAAACTAATGGTCCTCCACCTATTTTAAATTTCATAAATAATGAAAAATTAAATTTTTGAAAAAAGAATACTCAAAAAATATTTTAATAATTACCGTCGCCTTGGCATGCGTCATTCCCTTCTTGACCTATTTTCATGTATGATGGAAAAAATATACAAAAATGGGAGGAATTTTAAACTATTGGTTTATTAAACAGCAAAGGTAAAAATAAAATCAAATATCTCACCTCCTGCACAGAAACTGGATGCTGGTAAAATGAAGATTTTCTCTGTAACCGCGTTAACTTTGCGAATACATTCAGTGTCGCTGACTATCGGTAACTCAGCCTCTCGTACGCGCAAGGGAATTGGCCCAGACTCTCCCATATACCCATATCCAGTGACCGTGCATCGTTTTCCAGCTGCATGATTTACACCACGTGCCGGTAAACAAACTAAACAGACACCTTCTCGGAGCTCGGCTTGACCATTCAATTTCAATAGTGCGATGTCATTATCTAGAGTTTGGCTATTGTGATTGTGATGAATATATGTGGTTGCCACGCGCAACGTTTGTGCACCAGGACTGGCATACTTTCGTGTAAGATCAAAATCACCAACACGAACATAAATTGCATCTCCCGAACGGACAATACTGACGAAAAAAATGAAAGAATTGTACTGAATTAATTTCACACTCACTCAGAATAAAATGTTGAATCTCGAATTGGTTTCATTTGTGTATTGAACGAAATGGAGCAAAAGGAACGTTCCGAAAATGGTTTGTATGGCGAACATACATCCACGCTATGTATACGTGAATATATCGATGCTTTGTATGAGTGTACAACGTTGCTGCTATAGCAGCGCATCGCAGACTGTGATTTGCAGTAGAAATCATTTTTCGAACGTTCCGATTGCTCCGGTTTTAATCGCTGTTCTAATTTAATTATTTCATTATATTATTATAATCGTTTTTTTTTCTCTCCCAAAACCGAAAGGTCTATCAATAGTACTTACTTGGTCACACAGTGCGCGGCGGTTAGCACCCATTGTGTTCCAATCAGAGCTGCACTGCATAAATACTGATTGAGTGAATTGATCAAAGCAACTTGCCAGCACCATTCACCATTTTCGCCATCTTCACCGCCAACAACCCGCGCTTGCCGATTGTACGATGAGTAATTTTGATTGTAAATCAATTTTGGATGATCATAGGTCATTGCTTTCGATTCAGCTAAATTATCAATTGGATCATCATTTTCCTTAGCAAAATCGCCCAGTTTATCAGCGTGTATTTGAATGGGTACCAATTCACTGCCCAACACCAACACTTCGTTCGTCTTTACAATTTGACGTTTTGTTCGTATTGCGAACGTTTGCTCATTTTCCAAAGGTGAAATGCGATCCAAAAACATTTTACGACCGGTGCGGCTAGTTCCTTTCACACCACAGACATATTTTGAATAGACAGGGGTTCGAGCCGTTGTTGTTGTAGAAGTTGTCGTTGTCGGTGGCTGCGTTGCGATTTCGTATACTGAAAATTCCATTTTTCAGGAAAAAATGAATAAAATTCGGAAAAAAACTCGTCAATTGAGAAAAAAATGAGATACCTTGCGTTGGATAGACCGGTGCAATGACATTGTTTACATTCGGCTGTGTATAAATATTGTTTGGAGCGACAGCAACTGGAACAGGATATTGAATTGCACCAGGCTGTGGTTGTGTAAGGGTATAATGGGGTTGTTGTTGTTGTTGCTGTGGTGGTGGTTGTTGTGGTACTATATGTGGTTGAGATTGTTGCACTTGTTGTGGAATATAACTGCCTGGATACGGATTTTGTATTGGCTGTGGTTGTGATGGAATTGGTTGATAAATTGGATTCTGAATGTTTGGCCCATAGTTTGGTTGATAGGTCTGTGGATATGTCGGTTGATAGGGCTGGGGAGCATATGGTGGGATTGTATCATTGCGATGTATCATGCCGTGCATTTCATGAATTTTCGATTTGGCGGCGCAACACACCTGTCCTTTCTTTGGGCATTTAAACAATTCCGTCATTTCAGCATTACCTTTAAACAAAATAAAGAGATGGCTATTTAATTTTCAATTCCATATTTGATTAAAAATTAATTCAAATACTTACGGAAACATGTGAAGCTAAGCAATGGTACAATACAACTTCCTGGACATTCTTCTGCAAGATCAAAAGGTAAACAAGCGAAAATTAGAAGAAAAAGCACATTAAAAATAAAATAAAAGTGCACAACCTCTGTAGTCCGGCTGTTGTGTTGTGGTCGGAATATGTGTTGTTGTAGTAGGCGGTGGTGTTGGTCGCGGTCTTGGTCGCTGAGTTGGTGCGACTCGCGTATTGTCACAACAAAATGATCCTTCTTTACAGCTTGAACTTTTTTGAATGACTATAGATGGTGCTTGGCAAAATGCTTGCAAAATATCTAACATACAATAACCTGGACACTTTGGCGCTTGAGTCTGCAAAACATAATTATTTAAAAAAAATAACAGGAATAAAAAAAACTATTGTATTTTCGAACGAAAAAATGACGTACAGGTTTTGGACTTGTTGCCGGTGAATTATTGCCCTCTGATGTAATACAGCAACTACCTTCATTCGGACAATATGCATCTTCATCTAAACCATCGCAGAATAATGCAAATAGCCCACTAACACATTCGCCATCGCATGGTTTGGGACTGACTTGATTTCCTTCCAACGATTCACGGGAAGGTTCCGGTTTGGTTGGTCGATTTGTATTCGGTTTCATCGGTATCTTTGGTGGACGTTGTTGTGCATGTTGTGAATTTGTGGTAGGCGGTGCTGAGATTTTCGTTGGTTTCGCTAACATTGTTTGATTATTGTGACCATTTGGAATGCGTAGATCGGCTGGCAGCTTATCGGGATAATTGTCGCGTGGCACACAACACTTTGAGCCAACTTTACACAAACCATTCGTTATTAAATATGCTTCACAGTACTCGGCAATGTGATTAGCCACACAAACGCCAGGGCATAGTCCATCTGTAACAACAAATAGATTTTGAAAACTTAAAAAAGAAAAGACAAATGATTGTCGGAAGAGAGCTTACCTTCTTTATTTGTTTCCGATTTAGTTGGTTTTTCAGTAGCTTTTTGCGTTGGTTTACTAGTGGGCGGCGGAGCAGCTGTTGTTATTTTTATCGGTTTTTGTGTCGTAGATTGTGATTGACTTTGTGCGGTGGCCGAAGCTGTATTGTTACTTTCAACGCAACATTTCATATTCGATGATGGACATTGAATATCTTCAAGCACTTCATAGCAAATGATTGTTGCAAATGAATGCACGCAAATGCCCGGACATTCTTTAACCTCAGCCGTGCTTGTTATCGAATCCAGTAAACCTAGAAAAAGAAACGAGAAAAAAAATCAAATGAAGAAACAGACAGTTTTTATTGTGACACATTTTTAAAAAAATGAAACTTTCAACACATTCGCAGCTTGCATTAATTTCATTTGTATTCTTCGATGGTAAAAGTCATCCATATTTGGTATCAGCAAAATTTTGCATGTTATCCACAATTTTCGAATTAAAAGTGCTAATGTAAAGAGAAATCATTTCAACGTTTTCATTTTTTTTCTTCCTAAAATGAGAACAATGTATGACAATGCAATGCCATTGTTTCTTATTTTAGCGCACGTTCTCATTCTGGTGATATTTATCAGTGTAATTGAGATTTTATTCGCAAAACCCAGTGTGCTACAAAAAAATCAAAAACATTTTCATTTCAACACTATTCGTGGTTCCTTATGCGAACATAGACGGGAATTGATTAAATACATTGGCAGCCGCTGTCGTAAAATGATCTAACGGTATCACTCGCGGTGATGACGGTTTGGATCGAAAATGGTATTGCCTAGTTTAAAGTCAGATACACGAGAACAAACACGAAGAAATGGAATTTCTTACTGAACGATATGGAGCATTACATAAAACAAATGTGAATGTGTGTGTATGTTTATGGCGGGCGCAGATGGTTCAATACAAGTTTTCTGGTCCATTCAAGTTCGATGATAACGACTACTACGATGACCATCGCGATGATGACGATGATGATGATGGAATTTACATGCGAATGAATGAATGTTCCGCATTCGATAGCAGGTTAATAAGCAATGATCACGTAATACCGTACCACACAAAATACACTGAAACTACATTTGCGCCCATCAAACTGTAAACCAGTTCGCTGCATACTAAAAGAGCTTGTAACCAATCTTCATCAAATGCACACACAACCACACAGCGCACAAAGCAATGTTTAACAGAAGAAGAAGAAGAAAAACCGAACGAAGTTATGTAAAAAAGATAACCATATGCTTAAGAAAAGAAAGCATTCTAAACCTATGCGCGATCGAAACATTCGTGATTTGCCTGAATAAATTTACACTTAAAATACCAAGTTATGCGAATTAGTAACACAGTTTTGTTTTGTAAACGATCCAAATAAAGAGAACGAGATGTGTTTGAAATGATTCTATTTAACACATACACACAACACCAATCGAACAATCAGCTCCCATTGGATTTGGTTACAAATTATGCACGATGAATAGGTCAGTGAACGCGCGTGTTGATTTTCTGTAAAAAATTTGAATCGAAATGGATGATAATTTTGGTTTACCTGATAAAAAGGTGCCGGCAAACGAATCGTCTTGAGCATTGCTGGATGTAGCAAATACGCAAATCCCAAGAAGATATACAGTCCACCTCATTGCAATTGCTTCTACGCTCCCAAACTCAAGTCAAGGAAAGAGTTTTTCTGTTTTGTTTTAAATTTCGATGATTAGTTTCGGTACCGTTTTCTTTTATTGTTTATACTGTCAATGTGGGAGATGCGTGTGTGAAATTCTAAAAAAAAAATTGTTAACATTAAATAATCTATATTTGAAAATTCATTGTGCGAATATGGTGAATTTGCATGTTCAAAAATAAAACGAAAATTCATCAAAGCATTTAACTTATGCGATGGAATGTGTGTGTAAAAATCGTTGGCATGGTTTATTCTGCAATTCAAACATCGAATGAATTGCCATATGAGCGAACCGCCGCACACTTGAACATATTGAGATTATTTGCCGTGTATAACTGTTACGTTCGAAGAACGTGTTTGTAATACGATCGATGCGAAGAGCTGTGGCAACTTTTCAAGCGAGTTAAAAGAGAAGCGCAAATCATGTTCAATGCGAACGAAAGAGAACGATAAATATAGACGAGAAGAAAAAAAAACAAGCGATTTTGTAAGCAAGTCAATCGTATAACGGTTCTACATATAATCAATATACAAATCACAACACACACTGTGTTCGATCGCTGTTGTTGTTGTTGTTGTTTTTTTTTCTTTCGATCATCATTCAAAAGAGAAAACATTGAACATACACAAAACGCACTTCTTCTCTTTTTTTGGTCAATCGTCGAGTGCGTGGAACAAGCAAGAATTAACCGAGGTGAAAAGTAGAACATTTTCATGGTCAATTTGAATTCTTTTTGTTATATCGGCTCTATTTTAAGACGAGCCAAAATGAAATTAAGATTTTACGAGTTCATTTATGTGTCAATTATTCATTCAATTAAATTCAAAGTGAACGCTTTGAAGTGGCAAAGCAAAATACAAGAAGACGACGAAGAAAACAAGTGACAACTTTCTTTTCGCTCGGCCAATTTCTTTTCAAACGCGCACATCAACTGTCTAGGCATGATAATTGACCTGACAAACAAATCTTTAATCAAAATTGGAGAAAAGTGACGGTTTTTTTGTTCGGCATTTTGACAGACGAGACACATCAACAATGGTTTAGAACACTTTTGTAACATGCATACTTGTTTTTCTTTCTCGCCTTATTTTCTGCCACATCTCTTGACATGCACACACATACATACACAAGACAAGAACGATAATGGAACTAGTGACTTTTAATGCCAGCAACATGAACGTATATATGGAATGGAAACAATAGAAGCAATAACACAAAAAAAATGTATGAATTCTTGGTTTGTAGGTCATTCATTCTGATGCGACGACTATTTCGAATGCAAAACATACATTTACCAATTATTGCACGTCATTTTTTCTCTCTGTGTGTTTTTTTTAAAATGAAATGTAAGTCATACCAAATGACTCATTTGAATGTTGTAAATCACTGATTTTTCTTGGAATGTCCACAGACGAGCACCAACATTGATCTTTTACGAGATTTTTTTTACAGCTTGTGAGAATCGACGATATCTCTAAAAAAAGATGTAAATCGACTAGGAAAAACCAGTTCAACGTTTTTAAGAATCTAAAACATAATGAAATGCAACCATAACGATATAAATTCTCTTCGATTTCCGTTAACAATTGTACACACTCATATGATTGGATGATGTGTTTGAGCCGTTGATAAATTCCATTTTTTGCTTCAACACTTCAATAGTAACAAAGAAATGCAACAGCTTTCAAATAAATTCCATGATAAATATGAAATATTTACAGTAAAATGTAGCCCAATCGATTGAAGTACAACGGCAATTTTATTGTAGAATATTGTAGTTTAAAAGAATTTCATGACATTTTACTATAGCGAGGTTTTTTGAAAATATAAATTTGATTTTGTCAAAAATCGAATAATTTTTGATCAATTCAACATTTGAATGGTGAAAATGTTATTTTGAAGAAAATGATCGAACTCTTGTGCCAAAAGACATTTAATTTGCGAATTCGACACACCCACAAATGGAACTTAAGCGTAATTTAAGGAAACTCCACTTTTCGGAATATAGAGTTACAATCAAATAAAATGGTAAAAATCACTTTTAAATACCCCGAATGTGTGTTTAAAACAAATTGTGTATTGATTTCTCACTCGATCATCACTACTAGAAAGTTCTTACCGCACTGACTCTGATTCCATCGATGTGGTTCGTTCAATGTCTTCGATACTCATTACGGTACGTAGCTGTTCTCTGCATTCGCTTCAACGCTATATTGACCATTGAACATTTCTCCATTTCTCCATTTCCCTTTTTTTCTTGCTGAGTAGTTTTTTTCTCTCTGTATATCTTCCATCAACATTCACACACTTATGCAAAAAAAAAAACCAGTCGCAGACGACACACGTTTAAATGTTAAAGCGACCATGAAGAAGAAGCGATGGATCAGAAGAAAAAAAAACATGCAAACCGAGAAATTAACGATGATACGCGCTGCGAAAGACAGAGATAGAATAGATAAATGCATTCTGGAATAGAATCACATGCAACCATATAATGTACGCTTATACATCTACCAATTATCATTCCAACAGACAAAGACATGACGGTTGTATACGCATAATGGACGACTGATAATAGAGTCAGTGCGTAAGTAAACGTGGAATTTGGATTTCTCCAATGAAAATACATCGTTATGAGCCATGAGCCTATGACTGCATCTGATGATTATATCTCTTTTTGCATTTTAACGCCACCCCGAGTATTAATAGTTACAAGCTGTCACTTATAAAACACAAAAGGTTTTACAACACCAAAACCATGACAGTAAATTACACTCGTTTTAACAATAATAATAAAAAAGATGTCTGCACTACATTTTTATCTATATAAATATTCTCATGTTGCCGACGTGTATTTTTCTTAATTTGATTCAAATTATTTGAATGAAAACTGGAATGTGAAATGAAAGTGCAAATAAATTGAATGACGAATCGGATTTCCAAGCGAAAGTTGAATACCTATGGAATGATTCAATGATATGAAAGATCAAACGAGATGACATCGAAATAGAAAGAATTTTGTGGTGATTTTTGACAATTTTATTTGTACGTTTAAGTTAGTGTTTTTTTACAAGAAAAATTGGTGTTGTGTCAACGATTTAAATGTAAATGACTTAAAGATTGCGTAAGAAATCTTTATTTTTCTGTTGATTCTTCGATTTTTTTAACTAAATTCATTTCTGGAGATGTGTTGGAATGTTGGGTTTTTGTATTTAAAGCCGCTGCATTTAATTCGGTATCTTTTTTCAAATCAGTTTCGGTTGGCTTAGAAGTTTTTGTTACTGCATCCGTTTTATCAATTAAAGCAATTAGCTGGGCGGTATTCAAGGGTATCAATGAAGTATTATTCCAAATTGGTGTACGTAAATCAGTTAGTTTGCCCTTATATTTCTCTTTTGATACGCAACATTTTGAGCCTGATTCGCACATGCCACTGGTGGCCAAATAAGCCTCGCAATACTCAGTAAATTGATTCTCGACACAGACACCTGGGCACATTAATTCTAAAAAAAGAAATCGAGTCATTCAATTCAGTTTAAAAAAAAGTTTTGGAAACGCATTTAATACAAACCTTCGCCTTTATTTAAATCGGTGTCTCCGATTTTCTGTGCTGAATCGTGTCCATGCGAATGCGAATGTACCCCTAGAGGTATTGGTTCATTCTGATATATCGCGAATAATGTTTCGTGTACCACTTCTTTAGCTGCGCAGCAAACGGTTGTTGGTCTTCTGCATTTAAAGAGGTCGGTTATCTCAGCATTTCCTTCACATTTGATGACATTTCGGTAAAAAAGGTGTCAATCTCATAGATAAGTTATTGTATTTATTAAAATGTCTTACCGTAGCATGTAAATCGAACTAAGTTAGCTATACATATACCTATTAGATTGTGATAGAAGAAAATAAATGAATTTTTTCATCAAATGAACCGATTTTTTTTGGTTAGATTAAGCAATACCCGGGCACTCTTTTCTTGCATCAGTTAGGCCAGACCATGAAACGGTTGGTGCTTGTGTTGTTGGACGTGGTCGTTTCGTGGGCCGTGGTGTTACCGGTACTCGTGTATTATCACAGCAAACGGTATCTTGAACGCAATTTGAAGTATGGGGTATTATGACAGCTGGGCTTTCACACGAATCTTCCAAAGTATTCAACATGCAATATCCAGGACAAGTGTCTGTCGAATCATTTTGGCTACTTGAATTATTTGAATGCATTCCTGATTTGTTCAAATCACTTGCAGGCGATTGATTTTGTTTTTTGTGTGGCTCATAAGGAGTGCCTCGTCTAACACAACATAAAGCGTTCGGCGTATAACATTGAACCTGATCGAGTACTCCCGGACAAAAAATGGCCGTTTGAGCTGGCATGCAAATGCCTAAGTCGTAATATGGGTAAATTGTTGAATTTTTCATGAAATGAACTTAATTTTCAAAAAATAAATGGGAAAACACACACCTGGACACACCTTTGCATTTTCGTATGAATCAATACCAAAAGCAGATTCAAATATTACTGTAAAATTGCCAATAAATTAAACTGAGTCAAAAATCAATTTATTACTTTAACTTACAATTAAATAAATCATAAACAGTTGATTGTGGAATTTGACTTTTGGTTCCACCAATTAGAAAAAATAAACAAATCAAAAACACCCGCTTCGAAAACATTTTCATTTTGATGTATTCGAATATTCAGATAAAAAAAATTATTTTCAAATTTTGCACAACACAGATCACACAGAAAACTCTCTATTTGATCATCACCAATAGAATGTTTTCATCTCACTGAATGATAACTTAGACAATTGAATAAACTATATTTGAGTTGAAACGTTGTGTGGAGTCTTGCTTAATTTACCGCTATTCGGAATCGTTGATTTGCATTTTTATCATTTACATTTTGCCCATTTTGTATTATAATATTTTTCTTATACACACACATCTTTTGGACGGATCGACGATGAAATGAGCACAAAATCCACGCATATAAGTCCATAAATGAATAAATAAAATGAAATAGAAGATTCAAAATAAAGAACAGTTCGATTGAAAAATTGACGAATAAATTTTGTGATTCGTGAAGCAATCACTCATTTTGTGAATCAAATGTTCTTTTTATTCATTGTGATATTTTAGATATACATCAAATTCTTTAATTCAATATAGTTGAACATGAAATTAGCATATATCTCACACGAACTAAACATTTGAATATCATCCTTTAGTAAGAATTAGGAAAATCAACAAATTAAGCAATTTATTGGTCGCTTTTTCTCATCAGCTACCAAGCGATATTGAAAGGAGCAAAACGAGTGCTACTTGTATATGCATCTGTGTTTATACTACATTGTCCATTTAACAACACAGTCCTACATCAATACAATTTTTTCTAAAATAAAATTTTGGTTAAATAATTATATGCAAAGAAATTATATTGTGCAAAACAGAAAATATTTAGCTGTGTGAATGTACTTAAGATTTCAAGTTCAAATGTACCGCCGTGAGTACAGCCTGACTGTGAATTCAAATCCACCACAAATGGTTAAGTACTGGGTTCGTGTTGAAATACGTATAAAGTGACAGGAAAATGTTATTTCCTTCTGTCGCAGTCGCACATACGGCACCTTCTGCTGTAAATGTCAAAAACAATGCTCTCACTCTGCCGTTCTCCATCGGTGTGTATTTTATTTTGTTTTGTTTCACATTCGCTCATTCGTTTTCTAAACACAAACATATCGATAGAGTCCAACACAACGATGATGTGTCTTTATTTGACGTTTCCATATACACAACTTTCTCGTTTTATTCGAAACATTCACATTGAAATAATTTACATCTTTTTTTTCTCTTCCATCACACAAACAATGAAAAATGAGGGAATTAACGTAATTCGATGTATTAATAAGCGACTAAAAATGTGCAAAATGTGTTCTTAAGAGTTCGATTTAAGGACAGACATATTCTGCGGCTAGTGAGCACAATTAAAATGGATTTTATTCCCATTTCAAAGTAGAAAATCACATATATTCATTTCCATTTGAGTCTTTGTTGTTCAGCGACATTTTAGCGATAGAGCAGAGTCGGTGTAGTTACCTACGTGGACCGTGTCACAATATTTGACAAAAAAGAAATCATTCGAACGAAAGATGAAAATATCAAAAGTGCGAGCAAGATGAATAAAAAGTTGACGACGATGCGATAAGAAAACAAATAAACGAGAAAAAATATGGAATACTCAAAAGTGTAAGTTGAAAAATTCGCGTACACAGTGTGTATTTTATCATGTTGACGTCTATATTTATATTCTTCGCTCACATTAATGTAGAACATTGTATGACACATGATCGCTAAAAAGAATCGTAAACCTTTATAGTATATATAGTTGTGAATTGGCCTGCGTGTCACTCTACAATTCGTTGATTCATTTGACTCGATGGTTATTTTTTTGTTTGTTTCACATTGTGTTGCAATCGAATGAAATGTAGTAAATAAAAATTTCGCGCAACTATCACAAATGAGCATGTATGACAAACGAAACAGAAGAAGAAGAAGAGAAAGTGAACTTGTGCGAGACTGTACGAAATAGAAAAAACCATATCGTCATTCGTTTTTTCAATCGCATTCTTTATTGAACATTTTACAAGTGCGGACGTGACTAGTTGTAATTGGTTTTGATTTACCTAAGAATCGGAAGTTGATTTTGTTTATTTTTTTACAATTTAAAATCGCGAATTCAATGCCAGCTGACAACTAGTTGAGTGATCGAATTGTTTAAAAGAATATTTTTAAAAAAGTTTTACACCTCCGAAATGTGTGCGATAAAAGAAAAACAGCAAAAGTGTGGGAAAAAATTGAATTGAACATACACACAGAAGAAAAAAGAATGAGCCAAAAACAAGCTGCTTTTGTGTTGTAAATATTTACTATATGACGCCGCAAATGAAATATGCAACCATATGTTGTTTATGAATGTGCTTCAATTCTCATTTTTTTGTTTCGTTAAATTCACCGTTTTAATTCACAGTGCGTGTAACAAACAATTAACTACATTTGCAGTATTCGCGTAAAGGAAATCAATTCAATTAAAGAAAAAAACATTTTAGCAAAATGGGCGGATCGTCGTCGATAAGGTCCGTCAATTATTTTATAACAATTCTTATAATAATAAAAATAATCAACTGTTGCGATGCTTACTTCTATTCGGAGAAAAAACCCGCAACGGGTGACGACAGAAACTGTTTTTGTGAGGTAAATATTTGTCAACGGCAATTTTTTATATTTACATGCCTGTGTGTTTCTTTTGTCCTAAATTAACATTTAAAAAATTATATTTTTCTCGTTTTGTTCGGTTTGTTCACCAGCTCAAGGGTTCTATAGATGATTGTAGCTGTACTATAGACACGGTTGATTTCTTCAATAATAATAAAATTTATCCGCGATTAAAGAGTTTACTGGTTCGCGACTATTTTCGGTTTTACAAAGTGAACCTGAAGAAAGATTGCCCATTTTGGACGGACGATAGTCGATGTGCAATGCGATCATGTCATGTTAGCACTTGTTCGGAAACCGACGTTCCAGAAGGTTTGAAAGGACATCACCAACAAGAAACGTTCGTTTTTAAGGTGAGACATTTCAATATGTGCGCGCAATGGTTATACATTTCCATAAATTGATGAAATCATTATAAAATATTGCCACATTTTCGTTTCATTATTTCAAATCGATTTGAATGTAAAACAAAAATGATTTCCTTATATCACACATATATTCAAACACCGATTTCGTGTCTCCGATAAAAAAAAAGCCAATTAAAATGAGCGAACCCATTAGTGTCTATGACGTGTCTTTTGAAAATATCTAATACGTGACTACAAAACTCAATTTCACAATATCAAAATGCATTTTCATGTCTAGCACTCACTGACGTCATGTTGATTGGAACAAAATGATAAAATCGAAATTTAAAAAAAAAATCAAATAGTGAATTGAATCGCGAGCAAATGTACAAAATTAAATGAATTTATTATGTTTAATTTCTTTAAATTATGCCCTTCCAGTACCTGCCGGAAAGTCAGCATATCGATGATTGCATGCGTGATCATAATTTGGAGCTGAGCTATTTGAATAAAACATTAACACAAGAAGCGATGCACGGTTTCGAAATATGGGCGGATTTCGATGAAAGCCAAGATAATTTCTGTATACTAGACGATCATGAAAATGGCGCCGAATACGTCGATTTGCTATTGAATCCCGAAAGATTTACGGGATATCGCGGAGAATCGGCCCATCGTATATGGGACAGCATCTATTTGGAGAATTGCTTTGATCGAACATCAACAAATGCCCTTTTAACACATATCAACAAGGTGCCAAAACATTTGAAAAATTTATGCATGGAACAACGAGCTTTCTATCGATTATTGTCCGGCATGCATTCGAGCATCAATATACATTTGTGTTCTTATTACCTGTTGTCGGAAGGAACAGGTTTATTATCTGATCCGCAAGGCGTTTGGGGTAGGAATTCACTTTCTTTTGCAATTTCATCTTCCTTATATTATATTTCCACCGTTTTTCTATTCCTTTACGATTCTCCCCTTAGGTAAAAATACGGAAGAGTTTATGAATCGATTTAGTCCGGAAACTACGAAAGGCGAAGGACCGAGTTGGTTAAAAAATCTCTATTTCGTTTACATGCTGGAATTGCGTGCACTTGCAAAAGCCGCCCCATTCTTACGAAAGGAACAATTTTTCACTGGCAACAAGGATGAAGACGAATCGGTCCAAGCGGCCGTCAAGGATATTTTGAACATCATCGAGTGAGTTGTGGTTGATTTATTTCTTTAATGAAAAATTACTAATTTTTTCCTTCTTTTTTTGCGCAGAGCATTTCCATCACATTTCAACGAGAGCCTGATGTTCAACGGCACTACTTCAGCTCAATTGAAGGCAGATTTTCGTGAAAAATTCCGTAATATCTCCAAAATTATGGACTGTGTTGGATGCGATAAATGCAAGCTTTGGGGTAAACTACAGGCAAGTCTTTTTTTTACTGAAATTTAATAAATGAAATTAATAACAATGGCATATTTCATTCTTAGATACAAGGATTGGGCACAGCTTTGAAGATTCTTTACTCAGGAAAATTTGAAATTGAAATCGATGTTCCACAACAACAGCCAAAAAGTATGAAAGAAACACTGCGGCAAAAATTCAAACTTAAACGAAGCGAAATTGTGGCATTATTTAATGCATTTGGAAGATTGTCGAACTCGATAAATTTGTTAGAAGAGTTTCGGAAGGTGACGAGGTAGCATTGAATTGAAAATTAGGCGAACTTAATAAATTTTGTCAATGAGCGCACAAAGATTTAACTTCACTTTGATTGAAAATACCGATTTATTGACCCAATTCACAATAGCACCGAATTTGCTCAAACCATCTCACAAAATAGTTCCCATCACCGTCCAATTCTTTTTGTTGGGCCAAAACACACATTTCAACAAATGAAGTGCAAATACAATAAGCTAGTAGTATTTATTGCAGCATAGGCGCCACCTCCTGTTCATAATCATTTATAGAAATTGATTTGATCTATTTTTTTTGTTAATTTAGTTGTAGAAACTATAATCGCCTCTCAAAAATTACGAGCTACAGCTATGAGTCACAGTGCAATTAAACTACCTACTTAATGAAGAAGGAAAAATTCGGAATAATGGGGCTCGGATCTTGAACACAAGTGATTAATCTTTAATTTATATATTATTATTTTTTCTTGAAGCATTGAACCATGTTGATATTTTATGTTTTGTTTTTTTTATACATAAGAAATTACCTTCCTTTTTTATAAATGCAATATTGTATTATTGCATTGAACATATTCAACAGTTCCGTCAACAAATTAAAAAATGATACCATTATAAGAATTGGATAACGATGTACATCACATTCACACACAAAAACACATTTTGTATATTTTAGATGTAATAGAATCAATTTGAAAATAAACTAACGTGTTATTTTATAGAAAAACAAAAAAAAATGCAGTTGTTTTTTATGACAAAAGAAAATGAAATGCATTCTTTATTTCAAGTAAAATTATTTAGCTTACAAGGTGCACATATATTTTTTTTTTGTTCAAAGAGTGTCTTTTATAAAGCAAGTTGAAGAGCGTGTATAAATTTGTCGGTTAGTCGTAATGCAAATTTAAAATTTCTTACGGTAAAATGTTAAAATTCCAAAAAAAGCTTAAATGAGTCTGCATAGAAAGCACACCAGTTAAGTGCTGTATTTATTTGGAGTGTGTTGTACAAACAGAATGACCGTGCTAGTTATTGTGTGTTTGTGTTGTGATAGAACTCTTTCTGAGAGCAATTTACATTCATGATTCACATAGTATATAACTGTTATATTTTGAAAATGAATAACGTTCCCATAAAACACTGAAGGCACAGTCAACATATTTTATAATGTACTAGTGTATAGTATAAAGATCGGAATTTTTTCTTTTAACTATTTTACGGTATAGATCTCTTGAGTCATTTTTAAGTCATACAGATATTAGATTTATTTATTTACATGTCTAAAGGTAAGTTCAAAAACCACAATTCTTTCATTCATCATTCTTGTGTGTTTGCTTTCGAATTTACTAATATTTTTGTCTGGATTTGAATGCATAATTTAATTTAAAATGCATTTAGTCATGAGTTTGGTCTTCACTAAATGCCCATTTATATATTTTTAGCTAGCTTACAATTTCAGTTAATTTTTCGTCTTTTTTTCATTCTGATTATGACAAAATTGAAATAATAGACCCAACTACAAATTTTTAATACATTTTTATCATTGATAATACGTAACACAATTTTTTCACCGTCCTTTGATTTGCTGTGAACTATTTAAACGTTTAAAACATGCTCGAAATCGAATCTAAGTAAAGTATATTGTTGATTCAGAGTCTTAAAACCACTTTCGTTTTCCACACTACATTAGAAGTCTTTTCATTTCAGATGACAAACAAGAATTTCATTTGTTGACACGGTTTGATGTAATATTGTTTAGTTTTTATCCTTCTACAAACTAAATGCTGATACTCAAAATGTAAACGTTTACGTCGAAGATTTATTTGTAGCTATTTAGTTAAGATTCTAAATCTGATTGCTAAATATTTGTTTTTTTTTTTTTCATTGAAAGTGAGGTAGTCAGAGTTCATTTGTTTTTGTATGTTTTTTGTTCTTATTTTTGTCACAATCAGTGGGAAACTTCAGTTTTCAATATATGTAATGCTTGTTGTTGATAAAGAAATTGGAAATATGTTCGAAAAATTCGATCTCTATTAGTTTGATTGAGGGTAAAATTGTATATAAAAAGTCACTATATGAATTTCATCTGGACTACGGTCTTAGAAAGATTTGAAAGAGTTCAAAACTAAATTTAAAAAATTTACTTGAATCATTTCTATTTTCTGTGATTTTAATCACTTTTTTGTCATATCGCATTGTTTTCACAACGAGTTTTATCTTTTTGACACAACAGTTTACAACTCACTTTTGTTATTGATGAATGAATTTTCTTCCTCTTTGATAGATAAAATTGTCACAAAATACATATAATATATCTGTCTATTCCAGTTTCTCTCTGTTCGATATTGTTTTTGTGACATAAAATAATCATCATAGCTTGATTACTTCCGTGGGATCGAATGTAATCAGATTATAAAAACGTTTGTTATATCTGTCTATTTAAAGTATAACTAACGGTTTGTCTTCGGCTTGTTTGAGTTCGATGTTTGTTGAGGTGCTGCTTTTCTCGGTGGTTTCAGTGCATGGACTTAAATTAATTGGTGGTGCAATTGCTCCTGATGTGTCTTGTTCTTCATATGCCGCTCTACTAGTCGTCGCTTTGGGTTCATTATATGCTGGTTGAGATTGCTGATAGAATGACTGGCAAAAAGACAACAATTGAGTTTTAAAAAAAATGCGCAGATGTGAAAATGTATTATGAAATTACTTTGCTTGTGCTCGGTTGTTCTGCATTCTCTTGTTCATTAACTGCTTCTTCGATTGCATTCAGACGTTGAACGCATTTGTTTGCAATCTCATCAATGTCGTCGATGTCTGAATTCTCATCCGTACAATATTTGCAGCGCATTTTTGCGTCATCGCCGACTTTCACCGAACGTGTTATAATACACAACGATACAAACGACACAACAAACAATACAGACGGTACACCGAAAAAGATCAAGAAATGCTGCCACGTCCGATTCAAATCAAAACGTGCCAATACTTTTGTTGGGTCGTCCTACAGTATCGATTTTATCGATTTTAAAATGAATAAATCGTATTTATTATCTATACAAATTGAAATAGTTGTGATGGATTTATTTTGACATTTTCCGTACACCAAATAGATTTTATGCTAATCACGATGTAAATAACAATCACTCGACAAACTAATTGCTATAGGAATTTAAATGCAAATCAAGTGCATCACATTTTTATTAGATTTTCACTCACCTTATTATAGTAACATAAGTAACGTGATTGTGCTGTATTGTTGAGACCATCGCGACCTATATAATAATGAAAACAAAAGACAAAATAATAATTTTGTTCTTATTGTAAATTCACGAAATTGAATAGAAAACTGACCATGTGTGTGTAAGAAATCCATACATTCATCCCTTAACGTATTCACGCATCCTTCTAAGTTGACAAACAGCTGACTTGAATTATAAATGGTTAAGCTCGATTGTTTTGGTAAAAATCTACAAGTGAACAATTTGATTATTTTAATATTGATATTTCTAATTGAATATTTTAAGAATAAAAGTAACAGCAACAAAAATAATGTTCTTTACTACTCACTTGTCAGTGGGATCCACATATGTTTTGCTATCATTGTAAATCTTCCAAAACTGTGTAAAATTCATGAAGGGCTTCGGTATGATTGTGTCCTTTAGCAGTGTTCCATTCAAACAATCGGTGGCTCTGATATAAATAAACAAACATATAACAAATTGAGCCCGCACTCAGCTGGTAATTAAAATTACCTTATCTTATCACCATCTCTGTCTATGTCTGCATTAAAGCAATTGGTCAATAGAATTCCATCAGTTTCATTCCAAATTTGTTTTCGTTCCGCAAGTCTAATGCCCTGTTCCTTTCCTCTTGCTTCATTATACGCATATCCATTATCGCATTCGGCTGTTATCAATGAGTCGTCGATCATAATTATGACATTTACGGCAGTTGTGGTCACCTTTGGACAGTATCGATCACATCGAGTCGGTGGCTTGTTCAATTTAACGCAACGTGATTTTTTACAGTCAAAAAATCCATTTAATTTCATATTATCGCGATCGGCTTCAATAGAATTTTATTATTAAATATTGTACGCAACCGCACCCGGGAAAACAATATTTAAACAATTAAAACACTTACCTTCAATTGTGATCCCGTCGGCATTATAGTGGCACAAAAAGTGTGTTGAAACATTACGACAATGACCTTTAATGTTAAGAGAGTCAGAGACGAAAGGCACAAAGAGAGAAAATTAATTGCCGTTTTTCTTGTAAATTACAATTCACAAGTGAGAAAATGTGCTTACCAAGCGAACAATCAAAAAGGCCCGTGAGTGCGCTACATTGAGTTCCTAACAAAATTAGAAAAAAAAGAGAATAAAAAAATATATTCAGCTTCTTGTTAGTATTTGAAACGACGGAATTTACCATTGTTACAATTATACTTGGATTTGTATATTTCTTGTTTAACCTGAGAGTTGAAAATGAAAAAAGAAAATTAAATTCTCGTTTCGTATTTGAATAAGAGCTTCAAGCATATAATGCTAACAATGTATAACAATGCTTTTCTCGTAGTTTTTGCAAGCAATAAAATGGAAATTACCTCAGGGCAAGTAGTTCGTGTAAATCGTGTGCAGTTTTCAAACATCATTTCGGTACCATTCCGTCGTGTGGTCGCATACATTTGAGGACAAAAGCCAGAAGTTTTTGTTAGACACCATTCACCGCAGGATACCCACGGACAATAGTTTTTATCGTAAAACGTATGGAATGTCTGACACATCACCGGCTCCGTTTCGAAACCCGATTGAAAAGCTCTGAATGCATATAGAAAAATAAAAATTTTCGGTCAATAATTTAATTTATATGAACAATAAATACATATACTATAAACCATATGTGTTTATTGTGTTTGGATATCGTTTTTTATTTGCCTATCGCTTATAGTTAGGCAATTAAAAATTCGATGCTTTGTCTTCAATATAAATATTTAATATTAATTACTTGTATGTGGGCATGTAAATCGCCACACTTAAATAAACAATCGATACACATGACAGCACAATAGTTAATTGGCACAAGCATATGCTGCCACATATCCGCTTATCTTGCTCAGGTATTAATCGTGGTTGATTCTTTCGCCGTTTTTTACCCATTCTGTGTCTTATACGTGTCTCAATTCACTAGATGATGTACTGCGGCCTTTGGATTCTATCTTCTTTTAATTCGACTCTTGTCTCCTACATTTTTACAAAACAAAAGGAAGGAATTTGGAATTTTTCATTATTAAATGACCTCACTGGAACAAGAATTTCATTAGAACGTAGTTGTTGTGGTGGAAAAGTGGATAAAACATTTCTCGCTTTTCTTCGAAATGAAAATGTTGATCTTTTAATACATGCATGCATGTAGAGTTCAACTTTAGCACTAAAACACCACAATACTCATATATTAAATAGCTATATTCCCCACTCGTTTTACTCATTGCGATGCCATGATAATGATAAGAATGGGGCTCATTTGTAATAAAACACACAATGTTTGTTGCGCTATCTGAACAGCATCGCGGAAAAAATCGTAATAAGTACGCGACGACAAATACAAAAATCCAATTTACATAAATATTGCATGTTTGTTGGTGTCGTTTCTAAATGCACTTAGAATATATTGGAGATTCGTGTCGTTCGTTCTCTATATGTCTACATATAGCAAGAAAAAAATTGAAAAGCCGCGGGCAAAATTTGATCATACTACTTCTCCATGAAACACTCGAAAATTACAATCTTTTGAAACTTTGTGCCATCGAAAATGAAAGAGCAACTGAAAATAATTATTGGATGTGTATTGTTTTACATCCATTGTTACGAAAATTGGATATCGTAAATCAATTCACCGAAGAACATTGGCAAAAGTATAAACATAAAGATAATCTTTTATTACGGAAAATTGGTCATATTGTACTTTTTTTTATTATTTCACTGTTGATAAATACGTGCAGATAAATACGTTCAGTGCTTTATCACGAAAAGTTCGAAATAATGTGAATGATCTTGATGACCACCGGTCATGATGAACGATGATAATTCAAAAAAAGAAAAAACATGTTTATTAGTAGAAATTTGAGAATTAGTTTCTATATGTTGACCTTTCAAAATCGAACCGTCAATAATTGGATATGACGCACTTAATGAATTAATTCTATTTTTAACTCATTTTCTTTATTAAGACATAATTGGGGATGGTAACTTGTTGCACCAAAAATAACCATGGTATTACCAAGTGACGCATGGTATTACACCGTATTTACATCCAATGCCAATATAGAACCGATAAATGACAGATATTGATTTTTATTTATTTTTTATTTCATTTTTTTGTTTCAACAAACTTTCCTTTGAAAAAAAAATGGGTCTTTGAAATTTCAAGGAAACGCTTGAAAACTGAGAAAATAACAAAGAAGCGATTTAATGAATTTTACATCGATGTATTCATTTCTTGAACGATGAGAACTACGTCATTTGTTTTCCTTTGAACAGGTAATGTATATTGTTGTAGAGTCAATTGCGCCAAACATAAAAAAATGTTTTTATTACTGTTTGTTTCATTCATTAAATTGTTCGAGCAATATTAAGCTTATAAAGTCGGTATCCAATACGTTGACGGCGACAATGGAATGAATGCAATGGAAAATAATGTCAACAACAAAAGCGCGCTATTGTGTGAAAGTATTCCGTCGCTTGTGGGGTAGAGCTTTTTTTATTTGTTAATTTCATTCGCGAACATGTTTACATTATAAATTACAGGCGATGGTTTGTTCGACCACTACTATATTCGACGACGACGTTCGTTTATCTATAGTTTTTTTTTCGACACAGCGTCCCTTTCGATAAATTCATTTTCATTTGTGTACGTGAAATTGTAGGGTTTACCACTTAAATGTGTCGTATGATGGATTTCCGATAAAATATAACTAGCGAAATGCATGGCATGAACTCAATTTGTTCACTTTTATTACCATCCGAAAATGTTTACCGTAAATGTTTATGATAATAAAAAAACGCAACCAACTCCCAATGACGTTTTATAAACAATGAATCACTCGTTCCGAATTAATCGAAATACACACAAAAAATAAAAAATTTCTTCAAACGATTTGATAAATCAATAATGAAACCAAAATGTCGAAAATATTTTTTTAAATATTAATGAAACGTGAATATTTTACAATGAAAAAAGGTATTATTACTTTTCCTTGCTTCTTTTTTCCAATCTCTCTTTCAATAACACACACACACACTGTCTCTACAGTAAATGACAAACAATGACGCGAGAAAAATCAGCAGCAAATGACCACTGGAATTTTCTCATATTCGGGCCTCACCGTCGAGCTTTCACGAACATACTGAAAAAAGGAACGAAATTGTAAGAGGACTGAATGTGAAAGTGAAAGAATGTATAATTTGCTTATGTTGGAAATGCGATTGGATCGCATTTGACACAGTGTGAATCAAGAGTGTATGTATTGAAACCAAACCGTTGTCCTGCTGTTGTACTATGCTGCTTGACGGAGAAGTGTAACACACACAATCGAACCGATAAAATGACAGCATATCGTTCATTCGCTCTCGTTGTCGTCATATCCGTTCAGAACATGCGTATTTTCTACGCACATTTTGGAAACACATGACACTCTCTGCACAACGCATGTATTTGACATCGTATCAGCTGTCACAGTGACGGATTATCGGCGGTACTGCTGCCACGGCATATTTTCCTATCGCACAAACGGTTGTCAGTGAGCGAAGAGAAAGCATTACTGTTCCGCACATTTTCTATAACGACACTTTAAAAAAGCAAAACAAAAAAACCATCGAAAGTACGACGCAAGTACGAAATTAAAACAAATTAAACTACGGCATTATTGGCTTTGGTTTTAGGCTGTTTTTTTTTTATTATTATTATTAATATTAGTGATTTTTTTCGCTTATGAATTTGAATACAAATTTATTTCAATATTTTATTTATTCAGTTGAAAATTCAACAGAAATTGAAAGAAGGAATTATTAGATTTGAATGCTGCCAAGCTGACTGAATTGATTTCAGTGTTTTTCACAGAGTGATTTTCTTTGGTACGATTTTTTTTATTGGTAGAATTCATTTTTTGTTGGACAAAAACATGGTGTCGAGATATATTGTGCTCCTGTTATATCGTATTCATTATGTGGTCTTTCTAAGTATCTTTCATGAATTCACTAGTTGGAATTGGTTGTCTCGTTCAATTAAAGATAAATTTTAAAGGTTTTATTGGTTATTTAATATTATATTGTCATTTATTTTGGTTTTAGTCGAGGGAATTGAAGCGTGAATATTGATCCAACTTTTTTTTTCTCACTATTATGTTAACATTGTAACGAAGATTATTGACGGAGGAAATGTTGATTGCTTGTGCTCAATTCATAAATTTACTATTTTTTTAATAATTTCATTTTAAGAAGAAGAAGAAAGTAACAGTGTTGTGCGCCATCTGGATTAGAAAATTCCAACGGAAACTAAGCGTGTACAACTTAAAATTAAACATTTCATTGAACTTTTTCTCGCAATATTATTTACACAAATAATTTATCTCTATGAACTTTCTTAAAATAAATTCGCCTAATCCAAATGTATCGAAAAGGTTTCAAATGCTAGTTCAAATGTATCGAAACCATTTCAAAACTTTTTCGATGCATTTTCAATTTCAAAACAAAAAAATAGACAGAAAAAGATTTTCATTAAATGCACAAATTGTTTACATAAAAATGTTGAATTTTTTCTTTATCACATGTTCAGATTCATTTTCTTTTTTCGGGTTCGTTAAATCAAGACTGTCTCAAAATCATCTTATGAATATGACTAAATGAAATTTCTAATTGGGTCATCCTGCATTTTTGTCATTTCGTTAAAGTCTTCGCTTTAAATGTCTACTAACAGAGTATTGCTCAGCGCTGCTGCCATCCACAGCATATTAAAATATCTTGCTGAGAATGCGTCGTCCGTCGCATGCGAATGTGCGTGGTAGTTTATACATCACAGCGAACAAGAATGCATGCATTGTCCTCTTCACGCTTATGTGACTCAAAACATTCAAACGATTACATAGAGAACGTTCGCTGTGATGTAAAAACTGCTACGTACATGCGCATGCGACGGACGACGCATTCTCAGCAAGATATTTGAATATGCTGTGGATGGCAACAGCGCTGAGCAAAACTCTGTCTACTAAAGCAATAAAATAGAGATCAAAATGCATTTGTATGTGATAGAGTTTAAAAAAGGCAATGCAATTTTTGTTTTATTTCCCATTCTTCTGTACGATTCGAAAAATGATGAAATATATTGTATACGAGGTTAAATGTAATTTAAAATTCCATGTCGTCGTCGTCATCGTCTTCCTCGTCGCTGCGACAAAGCAATTTTCTAGAAGGGAAAAGAATGGTTTACATAGAAATAGTATTGAAGCCATATCATTTGGAGGGGTTTGTTATTGTTTTTTTTTTTTGTGTCCGGAAGTAAACAAGAGGAGCTGGGAAAATGTAAAAAATATATATCGAAAATTGGAGTGCATAGTCCTGGCTGGGGGAAACTCTTCGATATCATATGGACAAATTAGTGGTTCAAAAAAGTGTTGATAAAATGTTAAACATTAAATTTGCTAATTTAAAAAGTGGAAAGAGCGTAACAGAGGTGTAAATAGCACACAAAAAATAAACCTGACAAATCATTTTAGGATTCCTATTAAAATATTAATTTGTAAGGTTTCCTTATAATATGGCAACATTTTATTAGGAAACCTTTAAATAATAAAACATGTTTTGTTTCAACACAGTGAAGTTGGCTTTGACGTTTAAGCGCGCCAATTTATCAGGATTCCTGTTAAAATATTGCGATTTTATAAGGAAACCTAACAAATTCATTTTTTAATAGGAATCCTAAAATAATTTGTGGGGTTTATCTCTTGTGTGAGCGAGAGCCACCAATTGTTTCACATGCGGAGGCAAAGAAACGTCTACTCTAATGTAATTAACTAGTAAATTGAAATCAAAAATAAACTTTCCTTCAAAAAGAAATGGTGTATGATACATTACAATCAAGTATTTGATTCAAAATTGCCAAATAGCTTTTTTCCGCAATTCTCTAATCAAAATCGAAATAAAAAAAATGTATTCAAAAATGGCTGTTTCACGGGGAGTTAATTCTGTGGGCATTTTCTTCTCATTTCTTTTTACTCTAATCTACTTTCGCTATCACTTTTTGTCATTTTCCTAATGAGAAATACACTTGTTGACACAAGTCCGTTGATATGGTCGTACGCGCACCCAATTGCTCATTCGTTTAATCTTTCAGCTGGTATTGAGCGGCTCTGGAAAGTTGCCATCGATTCGATCGAAAGGAAATTGGTTGTTGATGTTGTTGTCGTTGTTGTTCGTGATGATTGAAACTTGGGTGATGGTCATTGATGACACGCTCACGGTGTTGATGCAAATATTCATTCGAGAAATTCCACGCTGAAATCGGACTATAGATAGTTGTTTGTGTGTGTAAATGTATTTTTGTGTGCCAATTGAATTGAAATAACATTTTTTTGTTTCGTTTTGATTATATAGATAGGCAGTAGTGAACATCATGAGAGTGAACGGTTTCCATTTTGGGAGAAAGAAAAAATCGATTGAAAAATTAATTGTTAATATTTGCATTTGATTCATTTCATAAATGTGGTCTTCATTTTTTTTTTTTTTGCTTAAACGGATGTACAATGCAGACTTTATTACACAATACAGATGATACACATTGAGGCTGATGTGGTTGTTTGTAATAATTAGTACTCGATAGCCACAATTGATACACAGTTTATGACATAACACTAAGTTACAATTGATTATTTTAACAATATACAGTTGATGTATACGTATTATATGTATGCATACGGAGGCCGGTTTTTATTGGGCAATAAATTATGAAATAACGCAAACACGATGAATTCAACGACATTTTCGGCGAAAATAGAATCAAGAGATTATGTTCTCTGTTCTGTCACGTACATTGATCAGATGATTTGATGACGACTATTGATGCCAATGGAGCATTATGTTTCGTTAAATTCACAACATATGAAAAATGACAATATCAACAACATTCGCCAGACAAAAAGCGTATGCTATTACGTGATGATATATGTTAGGCTGAATTTTAATGATTATTTTTTTTTCATTAGTTCAAATAAAAAAAAATATCAGCAAAAAGCGATCTAGATGAATGAATCCCAATACGCAAAGCAATCAGAAAATGGTGTTAATTATTGTTCAATAAGAACAATTGAAATTAAAAAAAAAAACAATCCATTGGACATAAATAAAAAATAACGTAAAGTCCAAATTCATATTTTTTGCATAAAAACAATAAAGAGTAAAGTAAAGTCCAAATTCACATTTTTAGCATAAAAAAGACAAGAGTAAAATAAAGTCCAAATTCACAGTGTATATTGCTTATCAAGCATTCTACATTACAATCCATACACATGCCCATAAATGGCAAGCCTTTTGGCATAATCAAATGTACTAAATTTTAAGAAACAGAATTAATAAAGAAAGAGTTTTTAGTTAATGTTGAACAGCTGAACACTACACTTGTCTTCATTTACTCTGTATTAATGTCCCCTGACAATTATATTTATATGATAAATATGACCTAGATAAGTGAAATAATACACGAAACAATCTAAGTGATCTTTAGGTAAAACAACACACAATTGAAAAACATGCAAACGATATGGCACACTCATGCAATTGAAATAAATGCAAAGAAACGAGAGTCCAAGCATTAAAATGAAAAATATCCAGAATGGTTTTCGAATACTTACTCTTCTTTATTTGGATACTTTTCGGTGTAGACGCGAGTTGTCTTTCGGCATGCTTTATCACAACATGGACAATACCAATAGCTCAATACGCCGATACTTAATGCAAATATAACATTCGGTATTATGAGCGAGAGTATGAGATACTTTAAATTGTCTTCCCACGAATAGCGTGTAATCACTATCTCAGGATACGCGCGTGAATAATAACAAGGAAATTGCTCGCCAACATGCTGATACCTGTCAAAGGTTTAACGTGTTTCTCGTTTTACTAATAAATTGGAGTTTAATTAATATTGTTACTTACCCATACTTCTTTGCGAATTCTGTGCAATTTACGCCAGGAGGATACCCACAACCTTCCGAATTGATAAGCAATCTAGTTTCAGATACATCCCATTCAAATTTCTCCAAATCCGGTGGTGGATTCTTTTGCCATTCATAAAACGGTATTTTGCTATAATTCACCAACAGTTTGTGACATCTGTGAAAGTTATTTTCACATTAAAATCTATGCCTTCAAAAATGCGAACAATTGTGTAGTAAAAAATGTACCGAATTGTAGCTGTTGTGCAGCCTTCACGACATGAGGACCAAGTACAATTTCGCATTCCGGTCGAAAACTTGTGATCAACGACCATACAAGTGACTGGTATCTGATTGACAATAAACAGAATAAGCAAATAGCAAGCGAAACGAAACACATTTAATTCTTAATTTAGCTGTTAGTAGAGTCTATAAACGATATAACGCAATACACTGACGCAGTTTTGAGAGTGTATTAGTGTACGAAACCCGTGTGGCATTATGAGTTTTGTATTGTAAGTGCATGAAGTCACAAACAATAAATGAAAAATATAAAAATAAATGTGTTTTATTTAAACAAAAATTGTTCAAAGATGAGAATTTCGAACCTGATCATAATCTGCGATTATTGTCGATATACTTGGTTCTATAAATATCTGCGACGATAAATAAAGAAATAAATATTTAATTAAACGCACGTACATGTGCAAATATAAAAAAAAATTGTCAGTCATATATTGAACATACCGGAATGAGAAATAAAAATGCAAATACAGAGAGTATGGCTGATGTTCCTAATGAAATCAGAAAAAATAGAGATATATTTAAAAGAAATAGATTCAATTTCGAATGAATGGAATTTACCTAGGCACAATGATGTGTAAAATTTGGCTTTCTCTAAGAAATTATCTATAAAATTTGGTTCGGGTTCTGGTGACTTAATTCCTTGGCTACCATTCAATTTCGTATTGCTGGAGTAACTATTTAAACTGTTCACTAAGCTTGGCGCTCCCGACATGCCATGTGACATGGAAGCGCTGATAGTCGTTCGTTCCGAACCAGTCATTGCTGCGGTTGCCGTTTATGTGTTTGTTGGTATGTATGTAAAAATTTGTGCCGTTTTATTCGGAGTATCGAAATGCTTTGGTTGGGCTTATTACTTGTTTTTCTATTTTATTTCAAATTTTTAAGCGTTCAATTGGAATTAGTTTATAATGTAAATTTGTATTTTTGTTTAATATTAATTTTTTATGTTACTCTTTCCTATTTTCTGTATTTTAAGCGGTGTGATTTATATATCAATTTTGTGCTAAAAGTTCAAATATTATTTATTTCGATATTTCGTTTGAATTTCTGATTTGCTGTTTGTATTCTGAATTTTTGTGTATTGAGCATTAATATATGTGAACACTTAATTTAAATTGGCAATCTCAATTTTTTTTTGAAATTTTGCTTTTCTTTTAAACACGCATTCCTCGGTTCAAATTGGTTCTTAGAAACGTGAGTTTGTCTTTTTTGATTTTCCAGTTCACGAAACAAAACTTGAACAAAATAAAAATAACTTGCTTTGTCATATGTAAATCTCGATTTGGTTCTTTTAATCGGCGTTTTCCCCCTCGTTCTTCAGGTATTTTTCGTAGCCTCTACAACGTTTCTACGTGTGTATGATGAAAGTTGTTGCAAGACATTTTATCGTTGAATTCAAATGAGAATGGCAAGTGCTGATCATAAGGGCTTTGCTTGTAAATTTATAATGCGCAAATAGCAATGATTTTCTAAAACGTTTTTATTCTCTGTTTTAGGCTGCTTTATAACTGATATTCGTGCACTTGAGTATTTATTGCTATATGTGGAAAATGTAGTTTATTGTGATACGGAAACAAAACTAGGTTAACGAACTGGGCTCTTCACGTAACAATAGAGGAATGCCTGAAAAGAGATTACACATCAAATCAATTAAGTGAATCAATTAATTTATAGCTGTAGTTTGTATTGATAAAAGTATAGTTGGATTTAGTTTTTCAACTACCAGGAAACGGCATGGAAATTCTTACGTGATGGATCTCAAAGTGCCATAACATCGTTGTTTTCGCTTGCATTATATTGTCGTGTAACTGCTTCTTCGATATTTTCTTGTGTTGCTGATGGCGCCAGTTTTTCTGAGCCACATCCCTTGAAACGCATCTTTGCGTCGTCGCCAACGACAACCGTTCTTTGGCATAGTACCAAGCACGTACATGATACGAAAAATAAAACCTGTGAAAATTATTTTCACATTAAAATCTACGCCTTCAAAAATGCGAACAATTGTGTAGTAAAAAAATGTACCGTTGGAATGATGGCACCGAACATAAGCTGTTGTATCGTTGTCGCCAAATTGAAACGTGAAACGACCACGCTTGGATCATTCAAAGAGAAAAAGCATGGGAATCTAGCCCGAGCATTATGATCGGTACCATCTTTGCCATATTCACGCAAAAAATCTCTGCACTCGTCGCGCAAAGTGTTGACGCACCCCTCCAAATTGATCATTAATCGTGATTCATTGTAAATCGATAATTCTAAGTCTAATGGAGCTATTGCCTTAATATATGTCGTACTAAACACATGCAAATAGCTCAAATATGTGAAGTTGGTCAAATCACCTAAAATATTGTTGGCCAACGTCGAACCATTTACACAATCGTATGCTTCAACGCCGCCCGACGTATTCTTTATGTGATAACAACTTGCCATCAACACATTATTTTGTGTATCATTCCACACTTCAACGCCTGTCTCTCCGTTAAATGCAGTCTCACACTGTGACAAATAGACTTTATCGCCGCTAATCAGCACCACATTTTTATTCCTGGTTGGAATATCGACGCATCGCCGATCACAATTATATGGTGGCCTAATTTTACGACACGTTCCACGCACACATTGGAATAAGCCATCAATGTCGATGCATGTTATCTTACCGCGTCGACCCGAACATTTCATTGGGACATCGGTGTTATGAAATGCACACAGAAATGCATCGGTTATATTTAAGCACATGCCCATTGTGCAATTAAATGTGCCCGTTAAATTTTTACACTCATCCGCAATGCAACGCGCTTTTTTAGCATTCTCTTGATCGATGCCATAGCACGTTTTATTCGCCGAATTCGTACAATTTGCAAAATTTAACGAACTCCCATTGTTTCGTAAATTGACGTAAATTTGTATGCAAGCTCCTGATGTTTTGCTCAAACACCATTCACCTAAATGGATAAATGAATAAAAATTGGTGGTCAAAATGGAGTATCATTCGAGTTGGCGTTGAACCATTTACCACAAGATCCCCAATCACAGTTTTCGGTGTTTAATGTACGGGTCGTTGTACACATGACGGGCACCTCGCTGATTCCACTTTTTATCGCACGCGTCGATGGCATGTAAATCGCCACTGTTAAATACACTATAGCCACCGAGCTCAGCACCAATGTCATTTGGCATATGCATATTGTACCGCAAATACGATTATTTTGTGGAGGTACGACGAGATCTTCGACGGCAATCTTCTTCTTTCTACCCATTTTCGTTTAACTCTGTATTTATGTAATTTGTTGTGCCAAATGGAAGCCGTTATTAAATTACACCATCAAAGGTGGTCATGTGGGCAGCTCCGTTAATTATTCTATTTCAATTTGGAACGAAGCACAAGTTTCCTTTCTCTTTTCCTTTTGTTTCCTTTACTTTCGAATGACAATTTTAGCACAGTGGTTTTATTGAATAAAAACTGATTTGCCTTGCGTGAGTTTCTTCCTTTTGTTCATACACGAATTCGTGTTATGTACCACATTATTTTTCTTTCCCTTTTTTTCAAGTTTAAAGTAGGTTTTTGTATGTATACATAATACTTTTGCTTCGTGTATATAAAGCGTCAGTTAGGTGCGCTTTCGTTTGTTTGGTTGTTGTAGTAGGTTAGTAAAGCAAATACAAATGCATTTGAAATCAGTGCAAATCCATTTCAATGAACACAAAAAAGTATGTGAAATTTTTTTGGTATGGCGGCCGTGTTCGGTCATGCATACAAAATGTCAACATTAATTATAGTTGAATTCATTTCCACCAAGCGTGTAATTGAACAGTTAAAAAAATGCTATACATATATATATATATAAAAGGATGGTGCCTCTTTGTCTATTCGATATGTCTTATGCACAATACAAGCAAGGCACAAACCACCACTACTACTTCCACCATCAACGGCAGCCACAATAATAATAATAACAACAACAACAAATAAAATCACCCACTTGCGCTGAGGCTGTGATTATAAAACAACAAAATGTGTTCCTCTTAAATTTCGCGTATTACATAACTGACCTACTATACTCTATTCTCGTATGTTTGTGTGTCAAACGCCTTTGAATTTGCACCAAATTTTAAATCACAAACTTAATATCACAAGCCAATTAACCACCATATTTTGCTATCTTTCGAATATTTTTACGAATCTCAAAATCACAAACGATTCAAGGTTTAATTGAGATTTTTCTTTTCGTTAATTAATAATAAGGATTAATTGAAAATTTTCGTCGACCGATTTTCAATTCAATCTTCAAAAAGACACTAAACGGATGTTAACTAATTTAAGAATTTTCAAGAAACACATTTATTGTTTTGGTTTCAATCTTCTGTTGTTTTTTTTTTTTTTTTTTTTTTGAAGAAAGAAAGTCGCTGTTTTAAGAATCACATTGAACAATATGTTTTGAATTCCTCTTTTGATACGATCAGAGAATAGAATGAAATGAATGGAGAGAGTGAGTTCAATTTGAAAACATATTGAGTCTTTTAAAGTATATTAAATATAGAGCGAATTGTGGAAGAAAGTATAGTGACTGAATCTAATTCGCTGTATAGTATCCAGTTGATCGTGTGACTGAAGAGAAATGCGGAAATTCGAAGCAAAACGTCATCTCAAAAGCTTTACATAATGGCAGTGTACGTGTGAGTGAGTGAGCGAGTGTGTTGTGAGGTGATTTTAAATTCGTTCAAACAAAAATGAGAAAATTTTTGTTGAATTCTAGGGGAAAATGCATATACACAACTACAATAGTTTCCATGTGAATTCAAATATACGGCACACACGAACGGCACAAATACACACTCGGGCAATACGGCATATTTATGCGAAACGGCAAAACGTTTCGTTGCTAAAACACTCTTGGCGAACAGATTTCGTGCAGAGAAATTTGCGCGCGCAATCAATCGATATATGATGGTATATTTTTCATTTGTTGTTGTGTACTATGACTTCGTTTATTTTTGTTGCTAATTTTCTTCGTTTTTTTGTTCTGTTATTCTTATTTTCTCATTGCGGCTATTTTCATATATTTCAAAATATGTGCATTTTTTACAGCCAACAATGTTAATATGTTCTTTTTTTACAATTATATTACGAATATTTAAAAAAAGGCGGATGATTTTATTCAATTTTTACTTTTATTTGCAAAGAAGAAGAAATCTTTGCATACATGAATGGAATCAGACTGGTCGACTCCAATTTTATTTGTCATTTTTTATCCACGACAAATGCTTCAATGAATTAGACTCCCATGCTAATAAATGCATCATTGAATAATTTATGATCGATAACTCCAAATCAATTGATACTTTTAAAATAGACATGTTAAATTGACAACAATGTGGAAAGAGATACAAAAGTTAAATACATTTGCTTGATAATTTTGTGATGAAAGAATAACAACTGTCCATCGTCCATAAATAATATGGCACCCACACACATCATACCCGTACACCGTTTTATCTATTAATAAAAAGAAACTTACGTCGAAGAAAATATTTCCATATCGTTTGATCCTTTTTCAGTAGACATGGTATACGTGTCATTCAATCAGTGTTTTTTTACAGGAGGTTTTCCAAAAATAGAAAATTATTCAATGAAACTTGGAGACAAGTAATCGCATGTTTTAAAGCAGCTTCTCTTTCGACCAAACCCCTCAAGGAACAAATATAGTGCGTGTGTGTCGTCATCAACAGCTATTTAAATGACATGACATTCCCGATGAATAAATGGTTTGGCGATGACATCCAAAACGACATTCCGTAATATCTTATGTATATTTTTTCTGCGTAGTTTTTCGTTGGCTGCCAGCCCATTTCGTTGCGTTCGTTTGGATTCATGTCTTATCCTTCGGTTGTGTGTCGTGTAAAAAAAATTCCGCAATTCATGAATTATTCCATGGTGGCATTGCGGATGGATTTGGGTTAATTCTACGGAATGCGTCAACAATATTTTCAAAATCGCAATTGAGTGAGTCCAGCTGGATTTTTCTTTTTTTTGTTAAGTATTTAGCTCTCTTTTACTGCTTTTTCTCCCTCTCTCTCTTTTTCTATCACAAAAAAATACAAAGTAACTCATTCAAACACACACATCTTGTTTTCTAATTTTCGAAAATGCGCGAAATGAATTTCCATGCAACGTTCCCATTAAAATAAATTTCACTATTTTACTCACCAGCCATCCATTCGCATTCGCATGCCAATGAACGGAATCGATCGGTTTTTACTTTTCCGAATCAAAAATTTGTGTAATTTATTCATTTAACACCAAAACATGAACATTGTAATTATGTTTACCTGTATTCAATTTGATCCCGCACCGTCATCCAACCCAACAAAGTCAATTTACTTTGGACTGGCGTGACTCCGAAAAATGCAGCACGTCACTTGTTGTTGCATTTATCACTTGGATCAAATTGTACTAGCTTGCTTACACACTCGTACCACAAATTGTTTTTAAAATCGTGCACTCTGTGAATGTCCGTGCTCAATTTTAAATTGAATTTCGGTTTAGATTCTTAGATTGGTTAAAATCTAAAATAAAACTCAGACACATTTTCGTTCTCGTTCAATCAATGTTTTTCGACTCCAAATCAATACGCGCGATTGTACAAAAGCACGCCATTTCACAAATTTTGTCGGCTCAATCTAAATGCTCCCTTCGCAGGTCACCAATAAATGATGCATTTTTCATTTAAAAAAAGAGAGAGAGTCTGCATTATTCGCGATGCACTCGTGTCTTTTGGTTGTTTAAACAAAAACACACAAACACATCTATAAAACACAATTGCTTTCAATGGCTATAGTTTGCCAATCACGTGATGTGGCGTAGCGTCGCCACAAAATAATGCTGAGTGTTGATTTTTTCGACGGTCACAGTTTTGTTCGTGCTGATACACAAATTGGTGTAAACTTTATTCACCCGTTCAATCAACAATAGTTCTTGTACTATGTATAAATGTGGAGCAACCAATAATGTAAAAAACTTGAATCGAATATATGCGAGGCAGAAAAAGAGAGAAAAACAAACTGCTGCACAAACAACGACCGTAAAAAAATGTAGTTTTGAAATCACGGAAAGTAATACCGAATAATTATAATTGTTTCATAAAATAAATGCCTATATAATTTCTCCCTGCAGTTTGTTTGCTATATTGCTTGAGAGGTCTTTCAGTTCTTTGGAGCCATTAATTGTTGTTGTTATTTTTTTTTATGTCGCTTTATACAAGATTTTTGATTTATTTATTCTATTGTTTCAGAATTTTTTTTTGTTCTTTTCAACACACATACATATACAATACATGAACAATAATAATCAGTTGTTTCGTGCACATTGCATTGTACCTTGCCGTGAAATGCAATTCAAATTTTAACCAGCGATCGTGGTATATTCACATTCAAAATTGTTCCACAAACACACACTCTGTGACTTCTTTCGTGCATTTTCGTCCAATAATAATTTCGAAAGACTGCCAAAAGGTTACTTTCAATTGGACATTTATTTCATTTACTGATTTCACTAGTTCTTATTTATTTATTTATTTATTCAAACTATTTGTTTAATTTTTCTCTTACTCTACTATCGAAATTCTAATTTCGCATGGTCCACGCAACAAAACAACTTTCACTTGTTTGCACCGACGGTGAAAATAAAACGAGAATCGCAAATGTTTTTACAGAGCGTAAACTCGTCCGCAATGATGACAGCACGATTGAATCGAAACAACTAGAATGTGCTTAAAACGAGCAGAAGAAAAAAAGAAAAAAAGACGAACTCACTGCTGTTGTGAGAAAACAGGATGGTAGGATGTATTAGATTTGCGAGAGATACGAAGACGGAGAAAGTACGATACACCAAAAATTTATAACATTGTTTAAAGAGAGAAATACACACGAATTTGACAGATAACGAGAGATGGTTTCATGAGCTTTAAGTATATTTACTCTCATCGTTGCTTGTGTCATTTGTGTGACGTAAGCTTTTATGTTTGTGTTTGTGCCACGATCTGTGGGTGTGTTGGTGGTAAACTGGAAAGTGGATTTATTAAAACAAACCAAATGTCACATTGAATACATAACAAGCAAAAAAAAAAGCACCGTAGCAGCAAACATAAAAGTTTTGACATTTGCGTTTAACTGGAGTGTGCGCAATACTTTTATCACCACTTTGAGGTAATATTGTTGAAAATATAGATAGAGAGGTCATGCATTTTTATAGAGCTTGTTATTAAGCGATTACATAGTCCATTATTTACATATGCGTCAAAAATACATTTTTCCGTTACAATTTTGTTTTGTTCATTATTTATTTTACCGAAAAGCTTTGAAGAAAAACAGCAGATAAAACAAAATAAAGAAGAAGATAAGAGTGTATGAGGAGTTTAACATTGAAATGGTGCCGATGAGCTTTGCCTTCCAAAATCTGCGGAGATTACCCCTTTTTTCCTCATTCCAGCAAGAATGTTGTGTAAGAGTAACTATGTTATATTGTTTTTATGTTATCGTACACAAAAATACAGCAAATACAAAGCTTTGGGTTCCTTTCCACTTTCACATCGATTGCGTATTTATGTCGAGGCATATTTACACTCGCACCGATACATACAAACACTGACGTCTGACTGGAAAGTTGAGGCTTGTGAATGTTTCGTTTTCTTTATATATTATGTGTTCTCCTCACATAGACAGTTTGGCTGGTGTGTTGTTGTGTTATATCGTCGTTGTCGTCCCTATGTTAATCATCATATTGTTTGCCTTGGTTTGGTTTAACTGTGCTTTTGTCGAGTTGTGAACGACACACGGGCAAAAGTTTGACGATAGCAAGGCACACACGCTCAGTCTTATTCGGTAGCCTTTCTGTCTAGGTTGATTGAAACACTTCATTTAATAGAACGCACATACATAATTTCCATATCTCGAGGCAAGCAACTATCAAAGACAAATGAGTGAACTCTTTCGTTCAGTGAAACCATTTTGAGACCGTGCAAAGGAAAAAACAAACGAAACTAAGAATATTATAAATTTTAATATTTCGAACAGTCAAATTTCTTATCAAATGTTAAATACAACAGCAAAGAAATCAGTCCGAGTGTAAAACAGAGAAAAATAAAGGCACTCAAGTGAATTTGTTTGGTAATAATTTTCGGTGCTACAACATGAATAAGGAATGAAACGAAAACAGAAAGAAAAATAAAACTATAACGTATATAATAATGATAGATTTTTGAAAAAGACGTAAGAAAGAAGACAACATGAACACAAAAAGACTGCTGCTCCCATTTCTCAACTATTATTATTCTTGCATACAATTTTTGTGCTTGTTCTCTCGGTAAAAGTGTACGACATGTAAAGTATTTTGTCCTTTTTCATTGAACTGTTGTTGCCTTGTCTCTAATAAATTAACATTTTAACGGGTACGAATTTTCGTAACAAAAAGCCGATTTATTTTCGTTCTTTCCATTTGTTTCATATCTATATTCCATCGATTGAGCTGCTCATAAAAGAAAAGTTAAAGTTTATTTGTGCTGGTGATGGGCGCTAGGTGATTTTAATGTGAATAAATGTTGTTTCTCATTGAGTTGCCAATATGCTGTTCGCTTTGTATAATTGCTTGAAATTAAACTAAAAAAAAGCAGCGAAAGAAAAGAAAACGGAATTGTGATGGTGCTCATTGCTAAAGGATAACACTTTACGTTTGTTACCATTAATGTATAATTATTATATATAGATACATGTATCCAATAGCATACCAAAAAAGGAAAGAAACTCCGAAAAAGCGGATTCAATTTACATTTGGAAATCAGTTCACGTAGTTTTTTTCCTAGTATGTTCGCCATCGTCTGCTTGCCGTAATCCATATTAATAAATAAATTAGCATTTGTGAATGCGTTGATGTTTCGGGCTCAACGACAATGGCCATCGACAAAATAAAAACATAAAAGCCTTTCTCGAAACTGTTTATCACATGCGATAGAGAGAAAAAAACGTGCGCCACCAAAGATTAGCTCTCGATGTTTTTGTGCGAGACGTTATAATCTCACTGTTTTTCCAAAGTGTGTGTTAACGGTGTGTGACAGAAAACATAAAGCAAAGAAATGACAAAGACTTAAAAAAACTCCAGAAAAAAGATTGGCTCTTATTCTTACGATGAATGGTGCGTCCAAGTGACAGAAAAAATATGGCTCGAAATGAGAAAATGTGCATTCACGTGTTTTTTCCCATATCTTGAGACATGAGACGTACTAGAGACAAAGATCATTCTGATACAAACCAAAGTGCGTGCAAAGTGTTTTTGTGCACACCCGCATAGGAATCAAAATTGTGAAAGCGAGTGAAAAAGAGATAGAAACATAAATTCGCCGAACCGAGAATATGTAGAATACGTAATACAGTAATTTCAAGTGGTCTTCAAGTGGTTTTCGTCGAACATTGTTGTGTGTACGACTTCGAAAACGTGAGTTCAGAGAACGGATGGCACACTGGCTTTCATCATTCATTCCTTCACATCGAATATCATGCAACCGTTCTCAACATTTACGTAATAAACACACATGCTAAATTATAACTGTATCAACGGCAAAAACGCACCCCACACACGCAAAAAGATAGGAACAAAAAGAGAAAAAAGACACAGTCAGTATTGTGAGGCGTCGGATAAAATCAACTTCAAACCAACACAAGTGGTAATAAACATATATACAAAATAAAGCGAATAAAAACGAGAGAAAAACCGAAAAGAGCAACGGTCGAACAGAAAGAAGAACAAAAAAATAAATATAAAAACCCCTAAACGAACCGACAAAATTATATTCGGTAGCATTAAAATTGTATAACCAAATGATAAATTATGTGAGACGCGCACATTCATAAACATTGTTATTGCTGTTGTGTATCCATTTTCTCATTTAAGCTGGAATAATGGACGGACTCTGAGTACTTTGAAGGCAAACGAACAACCATCAACAGATTTTTATTTGGATATATGCGTGACACAAACCAACTAAGTTGTACACACACACTGTGTGTACACTGATATATCTGTGTACCGTTAGCAGTGCGAGAGTTAAATTGTCATGGGCAATCATCCAAAACTTGATGTAGGAAACTAAAAAAAAACTCCCATACACACACACACAATTATAGCCAGAGGGAGAGATACACAGTAAACCCCAACCGAAAAAAACATAAAGCCACATCGAATAATAATGGCCAACGAAGAAAAAAAACCAAACTATTCATTCGAAATGCGAACGAATTTTTATGCGGTTTAAGTAAGATTCGTTCGTCGTGAGGGAGAGAGAAACAACACCAACATAAAAAAAAAACAAAAGAAATAACAGCACAACGACACATAATATACACATAACGCATATATTCCGTTCCCTGTTTGTTGGCAAATCGACATTTTGGTTGGCGGTTTAAACACATCTCTCACTCGCATAACAAGACTATATGCATAAATTTACGAGAGAAAAAAAGATGTGCGAGTGATTCCTTGTTGTATGTTCGTTCGATCGTTTGTTTGCTTGTAGGTTGTTGTTTTTTTTGGGTCAAGTGAATTTTTATATCTCAATATACGGCCAAGATTGAAATGCTTAAACAAAATTCCAAATCGATGTAATTTGTTGAGCGTATGGCTCTTCCACTCAATTTGATTGGTGATTTTGACCCATTTTTAGACCGTGTATAAGAGTGTTTGTGATATCGATAGAACTGAAGAACTAAAACCAACAACAAATCTCCGCACATAATCGAGAGATCAACGACAATCGACAGACTGTACCTCTGATGCTATGTGATTAAAAAAGGTAGAACCATAAGTGGCGATAGAATTAAAAAAAGGTTCCATTTTTATCTGCATGCTCAAGTATGCCGTGAGCGGTATATTTTCCATTCCTATATGCAAACGTTCTGTGTACGAACGCCTCCGATGCACACAGAAGCAAGAGGAAAAGAAACTATGTCATAGCGATTAAATTGTGCATACATAATTGGATAAACAATCGAATAAATGAACTGAGACAGTGAATGTGCAGAGTGCATTAAGAGAAGATTGTGGGTGATTCATAGCTGCAGAGCAGTAGACAACGACGACGACGACATCATTACGCTAGTGGGGTATCAAGTCAAAAGTTCGCAAACATATGTACAAACATGGTAATGAAAGCTTCAATAAATATCATTAATTTTATACATCCTTTCTATAGCTAAAAATTGATCGATATTTTCACCAAACAAACCTAATGGTAAGCAACTGAAATTATGACAAGAACAAAGTTTCGAGAAAGAATATAACTCGGGAAATATTTTCTCTATCCATATTCACTCCATGGCCAACGATTAACACGATATAGTCTGTCGAAGAATGTTTGGGTGTATTTGGACCGAATAAATACTACGTAATTAACAGTATTCATTTCATCAAATCGATAACATTGATGATAATAATGATTCCTTTACCATAAAGTGCGTGTGTTCTTTTTTGTTGCCCTTCATGTTCAAAAATATCGAAACCAATGCTGGGAAAATGTCTGATTTCGATAACAATGACGACGACGGCGACGACAATGATGACAATGAATAAATGGATTTGTTGTTATTATATAAATTATAGCAAGCGACAAGGCGACTCTCTCCCGCTCTCATTCTTTCTTTTTCTTTTTATAATACTTTATTTTATTTCGAATGTCAAGCGTTAAATTTGTTAAAATGAACGAAATAAGAAGCATAAAAAAACAAACGAAGCATTGAACAAATTAAATATCGACTTTGTGGTTTTTTAAGCACATTTTCAATGTATGTGATACTACCAAAACATAACATTTGACGACATCAATATTTTCATTTTCGAAATGAAAATTTATTCCAATATTCGTCTCTTTTATGATCTATTTCATTGATACATAATACATTGGGGAATTTGATAACAATTTCGATAAGGTTTATGATACATCAATGTGAAAGCTTCGTATTGTTGACATGAGCATAATGTGTGGTAGATTCGGATATTACGTTTGCAAAGTATACTTGTATATGTAAAAAATTGGTATCTAATTGAATTCGGTGGCATATGCTTTTGCACATTATGCTATGGTTGTAATGCAAGCAACCTACGCTCAATCAGCAAAATGTTGGTTATGCGTTTAAGTGAAAATATAGTACGTATACCGTTCAATACAAAGTAAACAGAGTCTTAAAGTAAACGTGTCCTCGTGCAAACCATAACCGTAAATCGCAAAATGAAAGCATTTACTGTCACTACGAATTATATCGATTTTAAATGTCTTTTTTGTTATGATTTATTTTTAGGGTGAATGTCATTTATTATTTATTAAAATTCTTGTAGAGTGTATGACTCAAATCTGTTATGGCATTGAATGAGAAACATAAAGCTGCTTCATTGTTTTTCTCGCCAAACGAACGGATGAAAGCTTTACACCTCCGCTCCGCAAATCGTCGTTGTTCGCCGAAACATGTCGCGGTAAATGGATTTTTAATGGAAAATATAGCAAAGAGTCAATTAAATATTCTTGTTCATTCACTTCGTGAATTTCTTAATGGTTTGGGTTTAAAGACTTTATTATGACAGGAAAATCTATGGGTAAAGACTTTTAGTCGACTTAGGCCATATAGGCAAATGGTGCACAGCAAATGGCCTGAAAGAAAATTTCACATTGTTTAACGAGTTGTAATAAAATACCAGAGGCTCTAAATCAAATTGACAAAAGTTCCGTTTGATGATGATGTTGAATGTTTTACAGCAAATACAGGCATCAACACATGTAATAAAAGAGCCCCTGCTTCAATTGACGATAATATGAGAGTGAGAGAGATAGAGGTCCAATTTTCCACCAAATCAATTCTTAAATAATTAATTGTCTAATGCTATTAGTTGACTTTTTTTGTTATCATTTCGGTTTTACTTGATCAACATGTAATATGTTTCATGTTGCGGTTGTCGATTCATTCACCCATCGATTTGATATAATTGTTAATGCAAAGAGTGTTCACCCGAAAAGCTCAATTCGAAACAAAACCCAAAGCCACACACACATACAATTGAATAGCACAACATACGGTTATATACTCAATGGAAGAACGAATGGAAATGGAAATGGCAGGCAAACAAGAAAAAGAAATGGCAAAAATAGCAAGCACAAAAAAAGCAACAACTCAACAGAAATACAGTCCGTTTTATGCGAACGCCTGTTATTGTGCTGTGTGAAAAGTGAGTACGACAGGAAGGTAGCAAGAGAGCGGTGCCGTTGCCTTGTAAATATTCGGTTAAAGCTTTGGTTGCTTCTCCGTTGTGTGAACTAAAGCAAATACGTTTCGTGATGAGGGTTCCATGCACAATCGTCTCTCATGTGTGTAATTCATTATGTCGCCGTAATGTCTACGCGTCAATTTTCATTTTCCATTTGCCGTCACTGGCTCACTTTGTTCCGCACAGGCACAACGAATTCATTTGCTCCAATCATGGTCTCCAATACTATATTTATTTGACTCTGAATTTTCGGTCTTGTTTTCTTTGATTATTTCTGCTGCTTCTTTTACTCTTCACTTATTTTCGCTTATTTTCGGTCATGTCAATCTCTCTCCCCGTATCACATCACTTTCATTCTGAAAAAGCGAATTCCGAATCTTCTTATCGTCTTGTTCTTCAACTTTTCCATTCACATGCTATCTATTCGTGTTGATACCTTCTTTGTGTATGCCATTCTTCATCATAATTCAATTTTTGCTGGAATTTCATAAAATTACTAACATAAGAACATACAAATAGGAAAAAAACGACTGTAAACCATTATAACGTTTCAAATGAAAAAAATGCGATTACTGTGAAAACAGCCGAAGCGAGAAGAAAAGTTGGAAATCGACAACGGCTACGACAAGGGAACGGAAAGAGTGTGATGACCGGTTTCGGTTTGATTCAATTTAAATTTGATGGGAGACTGGTCGAAGTAAAAAGCTTCGAACGCTCTATGACAGATGATTGATTTATAGATTTGTTGAATATACTTACGCAATCGTTCACTCGACGGACATTCCCTTTTTTCGATGTATAGCAATCTCATGCTCATCGCTATTTTAATTTGACATTTTTCATCTTTTATGACAGAAATGTCCATTGAATTCGAGCATAACATGAATTTTCCTCTATCCCACCCCAAGGAAAATTCAATTTTACTAGCGAAACACAAACCACAAATCAAGAAAAAAACATTTGGCTTGATTTCTGTTGCTATGCTCTGAAAAATGGTTTCTCAATTTCCAATATACACGCACCCTCAAGAGAGAAAAAATGTGCAATTTTACTACCATGAAAATGATGAAGAATGGAACGAAGAACAACATCGAACATCAATTTGAAATTCCACTGCATTTGAAAATTTAATGAATTTCCGTGCCCGAAATTCTACTGTCACAACGATGACGACGGAAACGACGACGACGAAATTTTGGTTCTTATAGAAAGACAGCTTTCATTCAATCAATTCGAATACGGAAATATGTACAGATCGAAAGTAATATTGTATCGCTTTTCAATGAGCGTACACATGCACACTCAGCTCAAATTCTCTCACTCTTCCGGATGAGCCGATGAAATCTCACAATGGAACCGAGCCAGAAGTAGAAAAAAAAATTGAGCGAACGAACAAAACGACAAAAAACTTGAAAGATTGTTAATATTTAATCAGAAATCGATTTTCTGCTGACGCTACTAGCATATGTATGCTGTTGCACATGGTGATATGTCAGTTGTTTTGTAATGTTGAACATGTACTCGGCATTATTGAGGCAGCAAAGTAGCTACACACATATTGTCGCAATCGTTCTGGAAATGGAAACCGTTTGTTTCTTCGTTCGTATGTATTTTATACATTTGTGTCTACTGTGCACAGCAAGTATACGATACACATGGAAAAAATATACACACACACACTCTTTAATGCAAAAATAAAACAAATGTTTATTGCCTCATACACATATTTTATTTGATAAAGTTGAGCAAAAGGAGTAGAAAGCGAAAAAAATGCACTTTGAAATGCGCAGATCGCGTGGAGCGTTCGAAGTTCTTAATCATTAAAATTTTACATAAAAAAGTGGAAGCAGAAGGTGTGGCAAATGCCACCGATCATCATGGTGGTTTGTAAATAAGCCTTTCGAAGAACTTTTTTAATAATTCATTTTTGTTCCTGATGAGTAACGATATCAATATACGTTTTTGTATGTATCTTCTTTTATATAAATTCAATTTCTACTTTCAGCCATTGACATCAAATGGATGTATTGCAAATTGATGAAGGTGACACCAAAAAGAGTACCCAATTTATCATGCAAACGCAATCATTTTTAGTTACAATAATGGAAAATTGCTGAAAGTAAAAGACGAAGGGAAGTTTTTTCTTTCTCCGAAACGTGCATGGAAATTGTAAACAGTTGAAACGACCACACGTATCGTAATTTTGTATCTCTCAGTAAACATCATTTCAAAATGTGAACGACAACACCTTAAATATATCATACAGAAATAAAAAAGTGCAGTAAAAGTATTATTCACACAACACACACACAGAAAAGTGCGCGTGACGAAATAAAAAAAAAATAATAATAAGAGAGCAACACACAACAAGTCTTAAATCCAAAAATGGCTGACGAGCTAATTATACAACAAACATTCAAAGAGAAACTGTTATTTTATATAACAGCATTCTTCGTACTTCTAGGCACATTTAGTTTATTTGCATTTCTCTTCCTCGTACCATTTGTGATCGAACCAGCCTTCACTACCATTTTCATGGAATTTGATGAAAATCCAGGTAAATGAAAATGCTACACACATTTTGTCTTATTTCGACATTCAAATCGAAATCAAATCAAATGTACAAATTTCAGCCGAATGTGTCACTGCCGAAGTGGAACATTTTAAAGGCGCATCGAACTGCTCGTGGACCTCGTGTCGTGAAGGTTGCACCAAAGAGGTGTACGAATGCACACAAATCCGTGTCAATTACAAACGAAATAATATCGGAAACGATACAATAAATGAAGATGATGAAATTGCCGTCATTGAATTGGACACAGGTCAATCAGTCCCAATATCATCATCATCGTCATCATCATCATCCTCGTCGTCAGCAGCATCAAAATCATCTTCGTCTATTGATAGTTTAAAATCGAAACAACAGCATCGCGTGGAACGGGGGACTCGCGAATTTGAATATGTTGATAGCTATGATCATTTGCATCGTGAATCGTACAAAAGTGCCGATGGTTTAGAATTTATGGAATATCCAGAAGCGCAAGATCTACCAGGTCAAGCCAATAATTTGTCGGAATGGTATTTTACCGGTGCTCGACTCTTTCCAAATGTCAAAGGTACATCTAAATTGATATTTATATGGATACATTTTCTTTAGCTATTTAACTATTTTTTTTAATTTATTTTTTTTTCTCTCTATTTAAAAGGCTGTGGGTATCCCCCGATGCTAAATTGTAGTATATGGACAAAAAAATATGTTGCGATTGGCACGAATTACTCGTGCTTTTATTCACGTATCGATCCCAGCATTGTAATTAGTGATTTAGATATGAGACAAAATACGCTCAATTTAATTTATGCCATGGCCATTCCAATCCCGTCATTTATCGTATCGATTATTTACTTGACATTCGCTTATTTCAAAATTTATAATGAAGATGAAGAGGCGGCACTGCTTGACCAGAATGCTGAAGACATTGCTGGCGAAGATGATAATTTGGCTGCCACCGAGCATGTAGATGTTATTGTACCGAACGGAACGGCTACGATATCGGTTGCATCTGTGCCGGTTACACCAACAAATGATATGGCCTCGTTTGGTCATCAGCTCAAAGTGAAAATGGCCGACGAAATGAGTCGCGAAAGTTTGGATGGAGGTTTCATTTCGAATTCAGGTTCAATACAAGGGTAAGTTTCTTTATTCTCTCACTTAAGCTCTAAACCATTTATTTTAGAATTACTTTATGGTTGGAGTGTATTTTCTTGGAATTCAAACGTGTTTATTCGACATTTGGATTTATATCGGCAAATTTGCAAACGTAACAAGCATACTTATTTATTCACAAAGAAATTTCCAATTTCACATTGCATGCACCGTAAATTTCACGTCGGCTGTGTTTAAGCACGATTGAATCCAAGCAAATGTGTCCTAATGGAAAAGTATATGCAATTGCCCGGGGAGAGGAAGAAAAAAAAGAAGTACAAGTTTAACGATATACAATTCTTAAATTAAAGCTTTGGCCGGAGGAAATAAACTTTCTTCAATAATAAATGTTTTCATTTCATATCAAAAATTCGTGAAACTTGATTCGTTCTGATTTCTCCCGAGTATTATTTCAACAAACAACATTTTTTCCAGCAATTTCTTTTATTCGTGCTTCTTTTTCAAATGCGTACTCAGTGGCACACGAAATCAAGATTTCAGCATGTATATTATGTTTGTTGGAAAATTGCATGTTTTGATATGAGAGCTTGGAGAGTATCATTTTTACTTTGGCGACTGTCAAGGAGATATGTGTGCAAAGTTTTTTCTTCCTCTACTGGTTTTTGTAAAAACATAACTCTGTCATTAGCAGAGCCTGATTACATGCTCTCCCTCCATGTGTTGAACAAGTTTTTTGTTCCTTTCATTCATCTCTTCTTGTTTTCGCTAATCTCCTTCGTCATCTTCATATTGGCTGAATAAAATTCATGATACGCAAAAAGTCAACCATGGATACTTTATGATTTTGTTTATTAAGTAGTCATTTGACACAAATTGTATATGGTTTTTTTTGTCGCTTACTCCCCCGCCACACACCCAAGTCCACATAATGTGAAAGGATCGTATTCTCTAAATACAAACATAGTATCTTTTTCATGTTTTCGTCTGCGAACCAAGTCACAAATATTAATGACAGTTTTCTGGCAAAAAAAAAACAATTTTGACATGGTTAGAACACAAGGAATGACGTCGATATATAATGAAGTATAAATACACATTCTGTTGAGCAACATCTTTCATTACACAGCAGTAAAGCATCGTTCTATGTGTTTTTTTATGTGGCACTTTGTAACTTTAATTGCTTCGTCTTGCCTTTTATGCTATTCCATTGAATTTATCTTGTGCCATAAATTAAATTTACATTCCAATTAACACTCGCTTACAAAAAAAAAAACAGCACAAACATATTCATATGGATTTTAAACGAGCTTCAAATCTACAAAACTCACAAAGTCAACCTAATGACTCATTTGATCTACTTTTTTTTCTTTATTTGTTTCTTTGTGACCCTCTCTGTTTCTCGCCGCGTCCTTCAAATCTTATGCCGAAAAAAAATTCATTTTGGACAGAAATTTAAGTAAAACGATGACAACCAGCATTTCAACACCACCCGGACCAACAGCCGCTGTCTAATAGCTCGAATGTGATTTTTTTATGCATTTTATTTAAGTAAACTTATAGGGGCGCAAAACTTGTTTTATTTAGGAAATTACATAAAAAAAAGAAACTTATAACTTTAACAATTTCGTTTAAAGAGGAAATGTACGCCAAATGAAATAAGCGCGCGTTTAAATCATTTTTGGAGATAGAATCGCCAAACAATTTTGTGGACGACCGAAACCCAATTCAACCGCCCAAATGCAATTAAATTTTCACTAAACAATAATTCATAACCAATATATTTGTACAATCGAGAAGAAATACAAATTCGCAATACACACTCACAGCACATACACCACAAACAGATACATACAGAACCATCGTTGGTGGTTGAAGTCGGCAAGAATAAATCATACACAAGAATGAATATCACCACCAGCAAACATTATGAAACGTATTTAATATATAGCTTACATACTCACAAGAGTTCAAGCAACATAGAAGTTGGAGAACTCAAACGATTGTGTGAGACCAAATACACTCAAATAAATTAGAAATGGTCTTCGATACAAAATCAATTGTCATCAGCTTTCGTTCGAAGTAATGGCAATTCATTAGGAGTTTTATTTTAAAAAAAAGAATGAGAAACCATTTTGGTTAGGACCAGTTAAATTGATATTACGAATATGAGTTGCCATTTGAATGGAAATCAATAAAAAAGAATCGAATAAGGCCAAATTTTGAATTTCACGCAGCATTTTAAAGTTTTACAACTGCCCTCGCCCCCCACAAAACTATGAAAAAGCATCAAATTCCAATCATTTTATCGTGTTTGAAATAGTTGTTAAGAAGGTTTTCAGAATTTAAGCCCAACACTTTTTATTTATCGATTAGAAGTCGAAAAGAGATCAAATGGATGAATTTTTCTTTGCAGATGGAAAATATATCGAATGTCATAAAAGTCACCAATTTGGTCAATACGCTTAGCTTGAAAACTATACAAAAAATAAACTCATTAATAATTTCATCGCTAAACATAAAACGGAGCATTTTAATAAGTTTAGATTAGTGAGGTACACACCATATGATGCGAACACAAAATTGTGCTGGAGCTCAACTAAAAACTCTAGATGAAAAAGACAAACATTTTTCACTGTCCAAACAATTCAATTTATTTAGAGTACAACTTTTTGATTGGCACTTCCTAATGAAATTCGGTTTTTCAGAGCAAACGCTCAACAAAATTCTATTCATATCCGCCATTTGGGTGGAATGACATATTCCTGGAATGGTGAAATATGGTTTGTTTTTCACAAACATTTTAAATGAACCAAAAGTATTTCCATTTGAAATGTTTGAAAATATATAATGGAAAATACTTTACAAGTACCTTCAAAGGTACATATATAATTACTGCGATGTGACCGACTGCGAATTTTTGTTACTCTGCTGTTGAACGGCAGCTGTTCTAGTCCAATATAGAAGACATAAATAAATAAATTTGTGTGAATTGAAATCCTCGAGCTCAAAAGGTGTGAGCAACATTGTTGAATGGCATCTAATTTTTAGTGTGCGAGTGAAATGTGTATAGGCGACGGCGCATTGGGCAAGTGTTCTCTACAAAAAACGCTTTTTTATTTTATCGTTTTAAATGAGGCTGAGCTACATACACTTTCTAATTGTACAAAGAAAACAAACATTTAAGCGTATATAATATAATATTATTGCACAATTTAAAATAAATTTAAATGTTACCCGGAGGCCGTACGCGCGATATATATATATAAATTTTAAGCCATTTTGTTTTTCGAGTCTCATTTTTTTTCGCGAACTTTTTATCGACTTTACAATTGACATTCAATGTAGCAAAAATTTACTTAAACTTAAAATATAAAATCCAAATGGTAGCGTATAATAATTCACAAAGTTAGAAGAAAGCAAAACAGAAAAGTCAACATATTTTTGGTCCATGCGATATTTTTCAAATGAAACTTTTTCCCTCTATTTCTATTGTTGTTTCCTTCCTTTCGGACTCTATATTTTATTGAATCTTTTTTCGACAACAATAATAAGCAGGAAAACAAAAAATTACTTTGAATATTTAAATTGTATTTTTGTTGTGTATGTATGCGTGAAAGCGCAATATATTTATATTTAAAAAAAAAAGTGAGAGAATAGTTATCGACATTACAGAACCGGGAACATATTCCGAATGAGAGACTCAAACTGACCCTAAAACAATCACTTAAAATCTCAAGAGAGACAAAATGATAATAAAACATTTTACGAACAAACAAAAAAATCATTGTAAAACGTAAACAATGTAAACCAATTAATTATGAATAGGAATGTGCATTTTTGTCTTTCAACGGCGAGTGGCCCGTTATACCAGTTTTCCCGATGATACGAATTTCATTTTTGCCCCGATATCGGTTCACTGCATGTAATATTGTGAATTGTGCACCTGTCAGCGGAACAAACGGATTGTTCAAATAGAGTATATTGTGCTCTTTGACACAAAAACACACCTCTAGCGTAGATACATAGAAATAGAATTAAAGGAAGGACTATTGCCTGTGATTTAGAACTGTCCTAAGAACGAAGGAAATGACATGAGATGAAGATTAATATTGTAAATCGTAAGAAATGTTTATGTTCGTTTGAATTGAGGTTGCAATTGAACTGATAAAAGATTAAATGAAAACTTACGAGTAAAGACATATATATATAAATGATTGCATCAGTTTTAAAACATTGATTTTAACGTCGCCGAATTCTTGTTGAATTTTTGTTTATTCACTTCAAAGACTAACTCTATCGAATCAGATAAGCAATAATCCCAGACATATTTCATTCTCGATGATTAAAGACATAGTCAAATATTGTTTCAAAGCTAAATTGAAAGAGAAGAAGATGAAACGACTTTGTTCATTTTGCATATCAGCATAAAATCCGTTTAATCACCATTTTGTTTTCATTTTGATGTGCAATACTAGGTAAACTACTGCTCAGTACAAAGAAAATACAAGAAAAATGAAAAGCATGAAAATGTATCCTCCGAATAGGGAGACAATGTTTGACAAGAATCATATTAATTCACAGAAATTGTGAAATAACCTTGAGTTTCTCCACGACACCCATATACCGGGCTATTTGAACTGAGTATAGCAAAGAATATGAAGTAAATAAATTCCGTAATAATGTGTTCGTGGCAAATATTCTGTAATATCTACACAAGCAAATAAGATGAAGAAGCACTTGAAGAATAAATGAAAAATGCTATTAGAATTCGACAGAAGCAACCAACGAAAACTAAAAAATAAATTATTACATTTAAACAAATAAATATATATTATTATATATATATTATATGATCAGCTTTTCTGAAAGACTTTTCTGCTCTTTTTTCCTTCATTAAGCTATTCGAGACTTTAATTTCGTTTCGTTTGTATTTTATTGTAAATAAATTTTCGAATGCGCATAAAACTACAAAATATACTCTATTGACACAACAACAACAACAACAACAACAAAAAACTCTATTGACATTTTTAAAATACCAATTTTTTATATGTAAAATAACTACGTTACAACAAAAACACAAAGAAACAAAAAATATTTGAACAATTTAAAGAAGAAATTCTAGTGCTTTATTAAACAAAAACCATTTGAGAGATTTAGAAAAGTTATAAATTTAATGGAACAAAATTACAAAACTAACTCTGTTAACAAAATAAATATTATAGATGCGTATTAAAAAATATGGAAGCAAAGAATAAATAAAAACCACAAAAAACAAGAATTATATGCTATTAGATAACAAAAGAAAACGTTTTGAAACCTTTGGATTATATTAGCTGTGTTCGATGAATTCCGTTTTGCAAAATTGCACACACACATTTATATATACATATATATATAGAGTCCGAATCAGATTGTTCCATTGAAATGTTGTGACGTATTCTGGGTTGGAAAATTTACGCTTTTTGCAGCTTAGCCACGTAATTTACGTCCAAAACGTAAAAAATAAGCTTTTCAAGCTAAAAAACAATCTACTTAAAATTTTAATAAATTTGAATTGGATTCATTTCGAGCTTTACAAAATTTATCGCAAACACAGATGTACACACAAAACATACACACAATGTGTTCATTCATTTTGCTACACAAATGAGACCGTTTTTGTGCTCCATTAAACCGTTGCGTTAACCCATTTGCTTCCTCTGGTCGAACAATCGAGCATTGACTTTTTCAATATAAGCTCATAATTTTTTGTAAAAAAACATTTAGCGGAGGTTAAATAACCTGGAAAATAGCAGTTTTACACCAGAAGTTAATGGGTTTAAGAGAACGATGCACATATGATAGCTGTGAAGAGCAGAAATTTTGAATAGAAAATTTACTTACGTAAATAATGCTACGCAATTTACGTCGCATATTTTATATGCCAACCCAGTACGTATTTCACCCTTAGAATAAAAGTAAGTGGATAAAGCTAATTTTCACATTTTCACCACTAAATAACAACGAGATTACTTACCACGATGCAAATCATGCTGTTTCACCCAAATTATATTCAAATGAATGGGCGCGCGCACGCGTTCGCTCATTGTCAAACACAATGTTCGCCATGGAAATAATTAATTTGACACGCCATTGAAAACTTTTTGACGGAAACATTCATCAATTTTGAAAGTGCGCGCCCGAATGAGTCGCCAATCATCCTCCAAACATTTTGTGCGATGTAATTTTTTCATGAAAATTTCATTTTCAATCAGCATCGCTTATACATGTTGATTACTAAAAATTTAGTTTCAAAACCTAATCGATAAACAGCCCGATGGCAAAAAGTGACAAAATAAAATACTTTTAATGAATAATCGCTTCTCGATGTGGAAAAAAATTGGAACAAAAAACAGCATTGGATTTGGGCCATCTCTTTACATTGCACATACAGACAATATGCACAAAATTACATCCATTCATCACGTGCAATCGGAACGATTACACCTATATAGGAAATTTATTCATTTATCTGCTTGAAAAATGTGACGTGAACTCTTTTCTTTCGTTTTTGTTTTTGCAAAACTGGTATACTCTAACAATAAAATCCTTTTATCAAAATCCCATATTCACACCAGCAACACCACACAATCCAATGAGAATAAAACAATATGAACTATTGATTTCAACGGTAATCATTTAAAGAAATGCGACTCTTTTAAAATAGACATTTTTAGAATTTATTTTTCGTTCATTTTTTGCTTGATAAAATATCACACAATAAAAAAAAACACACACACACACACATTGAAATTGCATTTATAATAAAATAAAACTAAAACCACTGAAATGGAATTAATATCGAAACACAACACCTAGATACATTTTGTGAGCCATTCTTGTTACATATACATGATCAAAAGAAGATATATATGTCAGAGAACAGCAAAGAATAGCATGTTACTTTTAGACACGAACTATTATTATTATTATTATTTTTATTTCAAAGAAAATGGTGAGTCCATTTCATTAAGAAAAACAATTCATCTATTAAACATTTTAAAGAACGTTTAACAAACAAACAAACAAAAAAAGATGCAAAATAAAGAAAAATGTTGTTGAAAAAGCTTTAAAAACCAACTTAAACTCCTAAATGAAAATGAGAAAACAAATGCGTTTCATTTCACGATTCCAATTTTCTTCTCGTTGGAAATGTGTTTTCCTTATTTCAGTGAGCATCAAATCTGATGAAAAAAACTGGATTCAAGTAATCGGAATCAGAAAAAATGTGAGTATAATATTACGTAAAAAGAGAGGTAATTTTACAAATTCAATGTACAATGTGTACACTGTAGACTTTGTATTTATAGAGTATAGACGCAACGTAATTTCTTGTATAATAAAATATTCATATTGTGCAAATCAAAAATCTCATGCAAAAAAGATGCTCGACTCTACCATTCGTCGTTCACAACACTGTAAGCACATTCAATTTAATTATGGAACAAAAACGCTTCATTAAATTTTCATTCGAATCTGTGCATTATAACAATAACAACGTAAAATCGTAAATGAAACAACTTCATTTCCATTGATAATCTTCATCAGCTCATTAATTATGTCTACGGATCAATCTTCACTGGAAATGAATGAAATTAATATGCATAAATGTTTTATTTGAATTCTCATTGACTGTGCATTTTTGCCTATCGTTCGTTAGATGTCGCCACATTATCGTTGCATTGTTGTGAAATTTTGACAAGTGACTAATGGCATGTGTTGGTTTGACAGAGAACGGTTATTGTTTTGAAGTGGCGGTTCATTTCTCGCAATGCAAGGGACAGAGAGCAAAGACTCGCACACACACATGCACAAAGAGAGCGGAGAAGTGAATGAGACATATATCTGACAAAAGAAATTGAAGTACAGGCAAGAGCTGTCAAAACACATTTGAGCTATTTCGTTCGTCGTAATAAATGTATGTTTTGTACTGTCATTGGCAGTAAGTGAGTGTACATCGACCGTGAATATCAAACATAGCAAATTGCACCAGAGGAAGAAAAAAATCACAAATAAATAGTGTTAAAAAAATTTTTTTTTGTTTGTATGTTGTTAGTTTTTTCAATCTGTTTGTGCTGTTCTTTTTGGTCGGAAATTCTTAATAGAAAAGAAAGAAATTTCATTCGATAATCGAACCGCAAATCATGAAAAACGTCACCAAAATGTGATATTTGTGAAGAAAAAACGATTGTGTTCAAGAATAATTGCGACCGTGGAAAGAAACAAACATCAATTTTGATAGTGAATTTTGAGTGGAGAAAAAATTAAGGAAACTGAACGAATTTGTGGAAATTTGTGATTTTTATATTTTTTACAGAAAATGGAAAATCGCAAAGATATTTACAACTTGTGGATTCAATATACGACAAAAGTACGGAACATTTATTTTTTGTTTGTTTGTATTTATTTGATGGACAACCTTTTCTTTCATTTTTATTTCGATTTCATTTGTGTGTTGTTAAACTGAGTTATTTTTTTTCATTCGCTGCTTGTTATTGTCGATGACAACCACAGTGACACACAAGTGTTTATGTTTTCATTTGTTCATTAATTATGTCTGCACGTATTTTGGTCTCGCTCTTTCTCCCTCGGCTTCGGTGTGCATGTAATTCTAGTCGATTAATTTTCGTGCCATTAACAGTACATACACTGGATGCGAGATTACCTAATGCATTGCAATTTACTTTCATCGGAATGCCTATTTTTAAAACTCATGTTTGCAATTACTTTTATGTCTATAGTTCTATCTCTGTCTAGCAATCGAAATGTAAACAATGAAAAACTTGCACTTATTCAGTAGCTCATTATGTCAGAGCACGAATCGATTATACATATATATATATATATATTAATGCATTAGCTTTGCAATAGATACGATGGGTGAATGATCGAAGCCATTTGACTCATTATAAATTGCAAAATTGAATGATGAACTCAAATAGAGACATTCGTGAATTGGCAAAGGGACAAAGTGAGAAAGAGACACATTGCACACGTTCAAGTGTATACTTGTAAACAGGTCCATTTAAATGCGATCATTGACAATGAAACAGTACAGTGCGAACGTTCACTTTTTATTAATGGATAAAGACAGATGAATGCTTTCACATCGCTGTATGCAATGTCAGTTGCGTTAGCGCCTGCCGTCTAACGTATCTGTGTGTGTGTGTATGGGGGCATGCAAGAGTGTGTGATAAGCGATGAATGTTATCAGATAATCGAATTGTGCATGATTCAGTGACAGTAATGAAAAAGGCGGAATCAATGTATCGTCATTACATTGTAAATATATACCCGACTCTATCAAATATATTTAGCTCTCGTCACATAATATATCTTTCATTATTCGTATTGACTGAGTGAAAACAGATGCCGATTTCAATATATATGCAAAACAATTCACATATACATCGATGTGTCTGCGCATATAAATAGTTTTGCAAAACAAAAGAATTTTATTTCCTCTGAATACTCTCACGTAGTTTATCAAAACCACAACAACGACACAGTAAATTACAAATGACAATCATATTTGCTTGTTTTTTCGAATTAATTAAATTAAATGTATTCTCATTTTGTCTCTGTCTCACTTGTCCTGTTTGATTGTCGCAAACAACCTTTTCCATGCACTTGGTATTGGATTAATGAAAAAAATGACTCAGTTATAAACAGTTGTGGCATTTATATAGAAAAATACATTGAAAACCATGAACAAAAATGAAAGAAAAAAAATTCCATGTTTCTGTTTGCTTTGTTATTTAAAACAATTTTGATGTCTCTGTTTTTCCCTTTCGACATACACAATGTGTAAACAGAATGATAAGAGCTGTTTTCGTCAGTTTGTCGCTGGATTCGTTGATATATGGACGGAGCAATTGAATTTAGATTTTGAAGAGCCACCGCTCTGGAACGAGATAAAAAATGATCTTGGGCCGCATCTCAAGCGTTTGCCAGACGAATTGCTGCCGGCAATTGGAAAATTTTTGATCATTGCCAAAGATTCATATCAAAATGAAGCACCGCTAAACGATGACGAATTGGCTGAAACAACACTATTGTTAAAATGTCTTACAATGATATGCCGTCATTTTGACAATATACAAACCGTTGCCAATTATCAATACATCAGCTGCGCTGTTACAATATCTATGAATATCATTATAGTGGTAAGTGCGATGATTTCAATTTAAAATTTATCAACAAAGTTCAAAAATTCTTAAGAATTTTTTTTTTACATTGGACCGCCCGTTTAATTTTGTTGCAGTTATTCAAGGACAAACGAAAACCCAAAGCACAGGAAGTAGAGTATATAAAATCGTTTAGCCAATTGATTGAAGTAATTTATGACCCATATTTAACATGGCGAAATTTTCTACACGGTCATTTTGCCGATTATCGACGCATTTTAACCAGCATCGTACAATTGCACGTTGAATTGGTGCCATTTATTTATGGTTTGTATTCAAAAAAAAAACAAACAATTTGAAATATTACACCGATGACGAGAATACGAGATGTTTTATATTATTCTGAAACTGGTTTGTTATTTATTTCTAACATTTCAGACTGCTTTCAATTTGAAACGATCATCCATTTACCAGACATCGGAGTTCCCTTAGTTCATATGTTAGGTGCAATCATATCTGGCTCACAGGTATTTCAATGTATTTTTATGGTTTCATCAACTAGCGTTTTCTGTGTGGTTTTTTTTTCTTCTTTTTTCGTTTTATTCGATTGACATTTTCTTTATATTTTTTTTTTGTGGTGTTGAGCGTAGAACTGTTGTTTTAATAAATTCTAGTTTTTTTTATTTCACAAAAGTTTTCGTTGTAGTTAGACATGTTGGGTAATGGAAAAAATTCTTTGTATGTTCAATGAAAAGTTCCTTTATACCGCATATCACATTGTGTGCTTTTCGTAGATTACAAGTATATTTCTTTGTAGTTTTATGTCACGTACATTATTTTCTTTCTTTTGAAAGTCTTTTACCATGTTCGGAAGTCTTTTTGGTGGATGGATTTTATGTTTCCAAGTAGTCGTTGTTCGTTCGAGTGAAATGTAGCTAGTTTTGTTATTATATATATTCGATTTGCTTAAGTTTCGATTTCATTTTAAGAATTAGTGCGTTAAAAGAAATTCTCTTTCATTTTCTTCATTTATCTACTGGTGATGGAATTTCTCAAACTGGGTCATACTTACCGTAAATCAAATTCGATCAAACATTATAAAAAAACAAACAATCAAAACTAGAATGATCCATGCACTAACGAATCACAAGCCACATCATTGACCTGTTCAACAACATCATCCATTTCTGCAAACGTTCCTACTTCTAGTAATGTTGCATCTAATCAAATTGGTGAAAGTAAACAGCAAACACTTGCCGCTGTATGTATCATTATTCAGCTTACATTTTCTATAAACAAAAAAAGAATTAGCAACAACAATTAAAATTTATTTAATTATAATTTAAAACATAAACAACAAATAACAAACTTTTGCAATTCAATTAAGACACCTAACAAACTATTGCATGACTAACCAAAGTAAGAAGAAAATGAATCAATATTTTTAATCGAATATTTCCGTGCATCGACAATATTTCAGTCAAATGGAATGCGAGCCGTGTGTCCAGCGACCGTGTCCGTTCTAATAAATATTTTATCAAAATGGGAATGCAACGCCGAACTTCGGTCGATTGTATTGAGATGTTTTGCAAAAATGGTCATTGTTTTACATCGTTCGAATCCAGTTGAACGTCAAATCGATTTATTGATGGTATTTCAAATGTACTTGGATGTGATGTTAATACTGTTAAAAACGCGACAGTTTGAGCGACGTCCATTTGAAGAGAAATTTGATGTGGTCGCCGAAAACGATGATTACATCGACTTAAATGCATTAACGGCCGTTGTTGACAATATTGAATGCATTTTATCTGAATCACAGAGTCGTCTTCCGATTAGTGCTGTCATTGTTGAAGCAAATTATATCGCAACATTGGCTGGCATACCGAAACGTGTTCAAAAATGGGAATTCGATCGTCAAAAGCTTGCAGCCAGTGTCATCAAAGCGTTAGCTATGCTTCGTCAAACCGCATCAGTGACAGCGAATGCTGCAAATCTGACACCGCACATTGTCACACTTTTCGAAGGTGTTAAATCACTGGGCAAACCGACGAAAACTCTGATTGAACAATGCATCGAATTGGCATACGATTCGGAGAAAAAAGAAATTATTTTTGGAGAAATTGTCACACAATTAGTGAGCTGGATTAAAGACATGCATGATACTGAACAACTTTATGTGGCCGAATCGATGCTCAAAATTTGCGCGCAGAACATCAGCTGGTGAGTAATAAAGAAATATATACACTATCAAGAATGTTTTATAATTTTTTTGTTTTTATTTCAGTAAGCGAACTGTTTCAAATCGTGAATTTATTCAAACCATCTGCGATGTTTTACGACATTCCAATGTATTGAGCAGCAAATGCGCCATTGATTTAATAAAATTGATTGAGGAATTGGCACGATACAGCATTAGTCCAATCGAATTGAAAAGTCTATTTTATTTATTACGTGAAAAGGAAAACTTTGACTATCGAAAACAATTACTTCAGTCATTGGCAAGCATATCACTTCAAAACATTCCAAGCAATCAAAATATCTGCAGTGAATTTCTTGATATACAATCTCGCGATGACGGAATCACCGTGCCAGACATTTGCAAATGGACGACGTCGAGCGCATTTGGATTCATATTCCACGCCTGGATTCGTTTGGATGAAGTAACCGATTGGGAAATAGATCCATATATCGATAGTACACGATATCGTCGTGTGATCTTCAGGTACCTTTAAATTATCGCCTTTTTATCAATTGATTCTTTAATTAAAATGCATCAATTCGCATTTCAGTTTATTAACAGCCCAAGGGACTGGCTATGAAATTTTCATCGACAATAATGGAAAGCTGATTGTTGCCATTGTAACGAAGAAAGAATATTTTGCGACGTCAGTGTCATCACCGTCTCTCATCGATAAGAAGTAAGAATCGGATTTTTGTTCATTTGATAAGATAAATTTGATGTAATTCAACCTTTCTATTTCCGTAAAAAGATGGCATTTGATAACGATTGGCATTCTTCCGCCAAAACGACCTTTTGCGTACACGCAAATTTTGAGCTACATCGATGGACATCAAAAGTTGGGGGCTACAATCAAATTCGGAGCATTTACTGATACATTTTTACATTGCACCATTGGTATGGCCTACCAAAAAGTTCGCCGAACACCAAATCATGAAAACGACAAAGAAAAACAACTGCAGTCCTCCTCGTCAGTTGACAGTGCATCACGCGGAATGTTTCCTAGCCTTATGGAACGTGCATTTCTACCGCAGATCGTGTCACAGGTATGATGCAACTTGATCAAACACTTAAATATACGAATAATTGATATAATTTAAATTATTTCCAAAGGTTCCGAGCTACTTTTCGCTACCGCTACGGAGTACATCGTCAAATGATCCAAATGTGAAATGTTATCCAATGGGAATGCAGGATGGAATATTTGGTCCGCAGGCCTGTTTACGCGGTCAAATCGGATCAATTCTTTTGGCTGAACCAACAACGAGCATTAAGACTATTTTAGATGCGGGCGTAGAATTTTCATCGATTGTTTCTCAAGAAATCGAACCGTATGATTTGAACTCAAAATACGTATTTTGCTTTTCACCATCGGCCTGTTACAGCGGCATATGCATGGATTTGGTGCCAGGTGGCAAATTCAATGGCCATTTTACTGGCAATCATTGTAGAACGACTAAAATTCAAGATGCAATCAATAGCATTGGCGGCATTTGCACACTATTGCCAATTCTTGAAACGGTTGTAAAATCAAATCAATTAAATCTTGTATTTGATGCATCGCTTGATTCGATGGCGCCCACCGCCGAAACACCCGGATCACTGAGCGATGAAATGATTGATTGGGAAATTTTATCGTCAAATACATACACCGAATACAAAATGATACAAAATTCTGTCGGTTGTTTTTTGTGTTTGATACGGTATTTTATAAGCAATCACGATTTAAATCAAGAGCAATTCATGAAATTTGATTGCATCGGTATTATTACAAATCTATTGATAAAATGCGATCCAGAATTGATTGACGTAAATGTTTTGATGGCATCACATTTATTGCTCGAAGCCGTTCAAAATCAACAGCCAACACCGAATAAGGAATTGCTTGAAGCCATTTACAATGAACTTATTTTCGAGTTTAAAATTTGGTCTCGTGCTCCATTCCAAGTTACCATCGGACACATTCAGTATATAAATACAATGATTAAAGATGATCGAAAGTATTTCAAGTAAGTTAGCAATCAAACTACAAGAAGAGTAGATGATAAATACTTTGTATATTTGCAGGAAAAAATTTGGCATTCAATTTTTCTTGGATGTGATTCGTCAACATTATGCAGTGCCTGATCGGCTGGGCGAAGAAGACGCTCAATGCGTTCGTGTTGCATTGCTCGAAATTATCAAGTATTACATTCACAAAGATTTGAACATCAAAGAAGTGTGTATCATCATATCGTATATTGCGTCAGTGAATCGGGAATGTTTGATCGTTGAACTTGTGGATTTAATTTGGACACAAATGAATAGCAGACATTGTTTGGATCAAGTGTTTTTATTGATGCACGAACCGAATACGGCTGAACTATGCTATGCACTACTCACTGATCGCAAGTACAGTAGCAGATTACATTTGACGATTTTAAAAGTGAGTTGTTTTTTTTATGTTTTTTTTTTCGACAAATTTTTGATCATCTTTCTTTTTCTTTCTTTTCCCAGTTTCTGAATTGTCTCTTGAGTACGAAACGTGTATCAAAGAAGCACAAATGGGCCATACGCCTGCATGATCCAACAATACATTGTCAAACGTTGTTCCCTGGTCTAATATCACATATGCTTCCGCTCGATCATAACACTGACATCATACTTATGATGCTCGATATGGCATTGGCCGACGATTCCGGTGTTGGCTATTGTGGCGCATTGAATTTAATATTCCATTTGAGCGAAGCTGATATTGATCTCAAATTGGAAATTGCCAAAAAAATTGTAACGGTTGCATTCAACAAATTAAACTCATCGATTCACATAGCAAAGCAAATCGGATGGCAAGACAGTATTGCGCGTTTACTGGTTCGAAAGCATATTGCTACAAATTTCACGGTTGAAGGTAATTATGTGATTGGAAAAGATGTACAAGACAATGCAGACGATGAGTCTGGCGTTGAGTTTGCAATGGATATGCTAACCTTTGATGAAAAATCAATGGAATTGGGCAGCCAAAGTTCGATGAACAATTCGAATTTATTGCTGAATGAAATCCAAGCCAATTTCACCGAAGCGGCCAATGTAATTGAGCATGAAATTAAAGGTATCCAAAATGAGAATTGTGTGCATCTATCGAAAATATTAAACGTTCCACTTTTTTTTACTTTCAGAAATGGCTGAGACTGTCAGCGGCAAAGTGGCAGGTAATATATCATCGGTATATTCGATGATTCGTCAAAAAACCTCAGACATCCAAGAGACCTTTGAGTCGTTAACACATGGTTCAAGTTTGAGCGATAAACAAAAGAGTTTGGGTACAATGTCAACTCTGTCCTCAAACTCAACGTCCGATGAAAATCTTTCATTGAAATCAACAAAAACCACATCAGCCGAAACGAAATCAATGTCACGAGTCGATTCCACCGAATCCGATTCACTTTGCGATAATTCATCAAGTCACACGAAAAATGAGAAATCACGTGATATACTTACGGACGAAAACATTGACAAAGAAGAGCAATTGATTTACCTGGTCACAAATATTTTGTATACAGTCTTATGGCATGGCATCGAAAATAATGGGGGTGATTCATGGAAAGAACGTGGCCAAGTGATTGCCTGCATTAATTTGCTTGGTTTGAATAATGAATTGTACTGTTCACATTTAACACTGCGATTGCGTATATTTGAATTGGGTGTACAAGCATCGCTGATGGATTTATCAGAAGATAATACACAAAATCACATTCATCAAGAGAATGCAGCTCAATTGCTTCGCATGATTTACGATTTGGTTGTGCTCGATCCAAATGAAGACGAACAGAAGAAATGCTCGCCAAAATTGCTTGATGGAGTATTAGCATTGATGGGTTAGCATATACATATAATTGAATTAAATTTCGTCATTCAACAAATTACTTCTTTTCAGATACATTGATGATTTTCCAACAATCGGCTGTGGATGATTGGGTGAGTGGCTTTTTTTATGCTTCATGAATTCATTTTACTGATAAATTCTAAAAAAAAATTATAGGTTGAAATGTCAAGAATTTGCTTGGGATTATTAATGAAATGTTCGCGTCATCCGAATCCGGAAATCGTTGCGATGGCAACGGCCAGACTTCATACAGTTCTTCAAGTTCGAGCTACCGAAGATTTGCATGAGCTCGGTTATCTTTTGTTCAGCATTAATAAAACATTGAATGCGGCTATTGAAGGTACTGAAAATGTGAACATTTTCATCTTGAAATCAAAACTAAAGAAAATGTTTTTGTTTTTCGACAACTTAGTTGGAGATTCAGAGGGCTATTCATTTTTGATGCCAGTTTTGAAAGCATTGCTTGAAAAATCGCGCATAATTCTAAATTTAACAGTGCGTGTACCTGATCTACCACCAACAACATCGGGACCAGTATTTTTCAACGATTTTCAAATGTACAGCACCAGCAAACAATGGACTACGTTCATTGAAAATAAGGTATGCATTTTGGTTCACAATTTCTTTGTTGTTGTCGTTCTTTTATTAAAAATAAATTAACATATAATCTAATATTACGCGTAATTTTTCAAATTTATTCAACATCTAATCTAAAGAAATTTTGTTTTATGCATTTTTTTGTTGTTTTGTTTTCGTTAATTTACATTTTCTTCATGCGAATGCATAAATTCAATCCTGTTCATACAAATTTAAAGCAATTTATGATTTTTTGGCAACTCTTTGCCATCCCAAACATATAGTGTTGACGGTGGTAGTGTTGGTGCAGTAGTTGTTGTTATCGTTCGTAATGTGCTTGATATTCGATGTCCGTTTGAATATTTGTGATCGAAATTCGGTGCAACATAGGTTGATCGAATATTCGATGAACTTATCGCAAAAATATCGGGCTGTTCATTTTTTCGAATGGGTCGAAAACCATTATTACCCCGATATATTTCCTGACTATTGCCGGCTGGAAAATGGTCATTTCGTGCCCGAATTCCATACTGTTTGTAGATGCTGGACGATTTGTCCCAAAACCGCGGTTCCACTGGATCCTCGTCGTGATCGATGTGTGTTTTAATTTTTTCCTGTTCTTTGCTGGTTACATGTGACACCCGATCGTTGTCATAGTCATCGTCATCCGTATCCTCATCGTTTTCATAAATGTCATAATCACCGTTTTGCGAATTTTGATATCGTATATGCGATTTATTCTTCTTTGCTCTGCTCGGATAATATGCAGCGTTATGGTCGTAAGCATCACGCAAATCTTCAGTGTCTAATACATGCGATGTGGTTTGTTTGCTTTTCTTTTTCGGTCGTTTTGTTGTTTGCACCACTTTCACGAGATCGTCGAGATAATCTTCATCGGGAATGCGAAGCGTTACTTCAATTGGTTGTTTTGATTTTTTTGTAAGTCGTGTCTGTTCGTTCAGTGTTTGCTTCGATTGTTTTCGCTTATTTTTTACGGTGTGAAATTCTTCTTGATCGTATGTATTTGGCAGTGATGGTTGTGGCATGTGTTTGAAATATGAATACGATTCACCGCTATAGTCATTTTGATCATCATCGATTATTTCTTCGTCTGTATTTAGCGGTGGTGGTTTGGTTGACACACGCTTCGAATTCACTTTTGTTGGTTTTCGTTTGGGTGGTTGAGCTTGTTTTGGTGTTGCATCATACGATGATTGCAAATTATTGTAATTGACATCAACACTTGACAATTGCACCTGATTCAATGGCGGTGGTTCGGCAAATTGACCGGGAATACGTGGTGTTGGATTTGTGATTGAAATTTGCGATGGATTCACAAAATTATTGCTTGACGGTGGATATCCACCGAATTGATTCGAATAGGAATTTTGATACGGATAATTATTCAACGGCGGTGCAATTGGAACACCATAGCTTGTGGCTGGCGGTTGAATCGGAATTGATTTATAATTTGGTTGAATTGGATTATAATTTATAGACGGTGGATTGTAGACGCTGCCAGGCGATAAATTCAAATTGAACGTGGCCGATCCAAGTGGTTTTGTTAAGACATCAATCGATGTGTCGCTGTATTTAATCGGTGGTCTATACGTTGTTGTTGTTGTTGTTGTTGTCGTGGTCGTTGTAGTTTTTATTGGTTTGGGCTTGGGTTTTGGTTTTGTTTTTGGGTTTGTTTGATAAACCGTATGCTGTGGCAAGTAAATATTATTGTATTTAGCCAGTGAAGCGGGTGTAGAGGGTTCTTCAAAATCTGAAACAGAATCACTTCCAAACCTATAGTCATTGTCGTCGTAGCTATTGTATTTTGTTCGAGTTTTGGTTTGTTTAATTGGAGCCCTCGACGGTAAAATTTTATAATTGCTTTTGGGTTTGGGTGTGGAATATTTATAGGGCATATCATCTATATCACCATAGTCCGAGTATGCAACACCTGTACCAAAACCTGCAACACTTCCGCCGCCGCCACCATAATTCGATCCAAGTCCAGTTTGACTATTTGATCCGCTCGTTGCACCCGATCCGCCACTTGAATAAAAGCCAGACTGCTCGTAATTTTTCAACGGTGGCACATTGTATGTTGCCGATTGTGTATCGTAAAATTGTCCAATGTCCGTATCAATAACGCCCATATAATCCTTTCCGCTATCTAGCGTGGGTGGTTTCTTTTTCGGTTTTGGAGCGTAACCACTTTGGTCGAGAAAATCGGTTTCAAATCGATAATCCTCGTACGGTGAACTATAGCCGTAATTCGACGATGGTGAATAGTATGGTTTTGGATTGGGTCGTCGACGACTTCTCGAATTATAGTATACATTATTGCTTGGATAATAGTACGGGCGACGATAATAACCGCGTCTATAATATGGATCGCCTCGTAATGCTTCGGCTACTGGTGCATCTTTTGTTTCGGACACTGTACTATCGATTGGTTTCGATGATGGCTTTGGTGGTGGTGGTGGTGGTGGTGGCTGTGGATGCGATCGTGATAATGCCGGCGATGATAACGGTTTTACTGGTGATCGAGGTGATTGTTGAGCCGGAACTTGTTGCTTGGTTAACGATACCCTTGATTTCAATGTGGCTGATATTGTAGTTAACGGACGAATGGTTGTCGTCGTTGGCGTTACTGGTGATCTGATAGCGGTTATCTTTTGCGCAATTGGTTTTGAACCAATATTCGGATTGAATATCGGTCTAAATGATTCAGCGTTCACAATATGCAGCAATCCGGTTAATGCGATCTATAAAAAAAACGACAAACAAGAAAAAGTGGAATAAATTAGAAAATAGAGGCAAACGGCGACGACACAGAATGAAATTATTGTATTTATATATGTATAGGTGTAGAAACGTGAATGCATTTACTGTGAGCGCTCAGCTTCAATTAATATTTTAATTCACTTTGCTATCGAATGCAATTGCATTGCTTTTTCTAAATCCATCCATTAGTTCAAACGGCTTAAACCAAACCGGTTCCTTTAAAACAAATTTTCTCTCTCTTTCTTTCGGTCTCTCTCTGGTATTGCTGATGGTAATGTATGCATGGAAAACCGTTTACAGAAAGGTGGATTTTGACTGCACGCGATATTTTAGCTAATTTTTTTATTTGAAATGGAATACAATTTCGCTTTGTCTGACATAAAAAGGTCGACTTCTTGAAATGTGAGCGAGAGGCGAGAATAGCGAGCAAGAAAATATGCATTTGATATTAAAACAGAAAGTTTCTATTGATGGAACCTGTTGTTGGAGCGAACCCATGCACACGTTTCCATCACTTATTTTATATGATTTCATGCACTTGATTGGTTGCTGTGCACATTCTTAAAACCGTGACAATAGCCAATAAGCTTTGTTCTCCGCCGATAAAGAGAAAGAAAATCTTTGATGCGAACTGGTAATTGCAACATTTTCCATGTACATCATCATTACTATCGTATCACTTTATTATCTGGGAGAATCGAATAAACAATTTTCCAGCACAAACAAGTAGAAAGTCGGCGCATAATATAACAGTTTAACAATAAAATGCGCATACACACGTTCTAAGATCTAACATCTTCAAGGTGCTGCATTTCTGATACGTACAGACTTGTTCTTGAGCATAGCAGCAATTTTTTTTGCATTGAAATGTATGTTGCATGAATTACAACGGTTTGAGCGAAGATTAGCAGTTCATTGTCGTAGTTTTAACCGATAAATCCACGTTAATTTCACTTGAGCGGAGAAATGTAAAGTACGCTCAAACGATCATGAGTTTTTGAATGAAAGAAGAAAAAAATACGAGAAAATGCTTACAATAAAGACAAAATCTACATAAATCATTCTATAAAAAGGTCAATTAAAAATGAATTTTATGCGCTACATATATCATGTTAATAGCCATTTCTTTCGGCCACTTTCATTCAAAACCATTTTTAGTTTAACCACATACAACACAACAGAAAAGAGACGTTCTGTTTACAAATTTGGAACTTTTTTTATTATTATTTTTTTCTCTTCTCATAAACTAATTGGGTGACCACTTACAATGAGCAAACAACTGAGGCTACATCGCGCGCTTAGCAGAAACATATTTTTTTGTCTTTTTTCTGTTTTTCAAAACGACTTTTACTTTTCTTTCATTTAGATACGAAATATTGTGCTAATCGCAATTTTTTCAGTTTGATTCGAATACTGATCTTGTCACTTTATCATTTCACCAAATGAACTATTGGAAGCAAATTTTCTGCAAAAATACACATTTTACATAAATGCTCACATCTCTCGTTCCGTTTTACACTTTGTTCAAAAGATAAATTCGATGATATTCTTGAAGTCAATTTTGGCAATTTTTTTTCAATTGCAATAAAAAAACTGTTGTTTATTAAACGCGTTGTTTAATAAAAAGCGCGTAATTTTAATTTTCGATGTAAAAAAGTAAACTCAATCCCGATCAAAAAAGCACGATGTCAACGTGGTAAAACATAACACATAACTGAACTATTTCCATAAAGTGGCTCTTCTTTTATCAACTAAGGAGAAAATTGCTGCTGCCGAGCAACGCACGCAAACACAACTACATAGAAACACTGCAAAAGAAAGAAAAAAAAAAAACGAATGAAGAATACGTACGATGAACCATGGCTCTGATCTCTTTGTTTGATCTCATGCAGCAGGCGCGAGCGCGACTCGCTTCGCTTCCACTGATTTTATGATCATCCATAGTCATCAAGTTACCGCGCTTAAGCGCATGGGTCCATTGAGTCCAAAAGACTTTTACTTGATAAAAAAAAGACACATGCACACGCATGTGAAAGAAAACCAACGAAACTACGAAAAAATGAAAATCGCACGTGCAATGGCAAAGTGAAATAAAATAAATTAACAATAATACATATCGCAAAGGAAGCACAGCAAATAGAGAGAAGTTAAGATAAATAGACACAAATCAACTTAAAAATTGAAATGAAAATATGAATATGAATCATGCTTCTCAAAAGATACACATGAGATACTAAGCAACACCAATTACATTTAGCAACAACAACAAAAAAAATACAAAACGAAATATAAGAACTGAAACAGGAAAAGTCTTTTACTCTTTTTTGCTTCTTGCTGTAATGGATAAGATTTCGAAACATAGAAGCAGGCCAAGCGAATAGATGCAAAGCAGACGATTTTAAAATTGAAATAGAGAAAAAAGCAACTGATATTGATGCGGATATATGAACGTGCTCAAATGTTTATGGAACAGTTTCTGTTTTGCTTTCTGTTTTCACAGAATGTATGCAATTTCGTGAAGAATTTGACACTCTATGAAATTGAAATCTAACTCTTACTTTTACGAAAAATTAGGTCGACTTTTTTTCCTTGTAAAAATATGCACAGAAAAAAAGAATGTGCGCGTTTAAACGATACTTTGAAAAAACCACAGAAAATGTCGGTACGTTTGCGACAGACTCTTTTTTTAAGGAAATTTATGTGCAAAAAAAAATTTCACAGTTCGTTAATTGCTACTGTTTATAGATTTCCTGATAAATTGACGACCATTTATTTAAAAAAAAAACTAGACATGGGGCTTTCCATAAGAATTTGACCATTTGGCAGATTTTTTAAATCCCCAGGCCATTGCCAATTTCGGAATGTTAACTAAAAATGGACACAATATAAATAACATATCAGCAATTAATCGTAGAATATAAACGTACACACTGTCTAATTAATACTCAATGATATATACCGATCGATATATTAGCTCATTAAAACCAAATCTAAACGTACAACAGCAAAGTGGTTTTTGCACTTTGAATGTAGATCGCGTTTTTTTAATCGGCCAAGAGGTGTCTATTATCATGCGTAAACTTTCTCCATCATCAAATCTTGGAAAAATTATTATTATTATAATTTTTCTTTTCAAAACTAATTCAATAAGCTACAGTCAATTATTACATTACTTATTCAAATAGCCCGTTTCTAGAGCGTGTTTTCTTTTATGCGAAGCCAACATTTGTACGATTGCAAATCGCAAGTGAGACATTTTTTTTTATCGAAATAAAAATATGATTTGATGTGATATATATGTGTCGTCTGGTAGAAAATAAATAATTTCTACCAGATGACACATTTCAATTCGGCAATTCATTTGCATATCAATGCTCTGACGCATCGTCGATTTTTAAAGGGAAAATGAGAACGAAAACCCGTTAAGAGACAAACATGACAATAATATGGAGATAAACATTTTTATTTTTTTCCTCATTTGTTAGGCATTCTCTTTTTCTTCCGAGTCTATAGTTCGGCCACAATCCATGGGTCAAAATTCATATTATATAATGCATAAAAAGAATTTTATGTGATATTTTCATTTATTTCAGTTCATTGTACTTGAAAGATGCTTTGAGGATTAACATTTTCACTTTTTATCGCAATTTTTTACACTTCATTTAATGAACCTGATGAAAATTTTCTATCAAAACTATCGGATATATTGTAATAGATAAATGCATGTCCATAAATAACGAAATGCATACATTTTTACTGTTATACAAATCTTTACCGCTTATCATGGATTTACTTTGTTGTTGATGAAGAAATTGCCACGTTTGTGATATTTGACTATTAGTTAATGTACTGATATCATCGATGCAATCGTTTTTTTCTTCTCATATCAATTGTTTGCCAGTTGCGAAAGCCACTTGGAATGAATGATCGAAAAGTCGATCGATGCAAATAGAAAAGTTGATATATTAGTGGTGTATAAAATGAACTGAGTCGCTAATAAATGATCACGTCCGCAATATGAAAATTCACATTTGCCAACTGTTTCAGAAATCGGAAAACCAGTTATTTGGTGTTCATTGCATCCGTTGTAATCAAGAGCGCATTTACAATTCGTTTACTACGGGTTTATAGTTTTAGTTGTACTTGACGTGATACGTGTTTCTTCCTCTTCGCTTGACGACGACTGCGACGACGACAACGATTTTACCGATTGAAAATGATATTGAACTTGAAGCGAGAGAAGCATTCCATTGCCTGTATAAAAATTCTGCGTTCAATTGAATGACCGACATTTAACGTTAATTGCGCACATCGTTGCGCTCATCCATATACATTAACTTGTTGGTGTTATTGAAACGATCGATGTTTGTCAATACAATGAGCCACATGAAAACATCTTAACACCATCGGATTGAAAATGGCGTCTTTCTGACATGTTGTTGTTTCTTTCTTGTCTTATTTTCAGTTGTATTGCATTTGTACAATGTACATAAATAGCAACTTGAAAACTTTCTAATCACATGTTGGTGTCTAAAATAATGTCAGTAGTCGATACGAAACACAAAAAAAAGAACGAGTGCAATACATCTATTTTTTTAACCGGTGATTTAAAACTTTTTCATATTTTCATAGATAAAACCATTGCACGATGCTTACGTGAATGAAGTTTCATCCACCATATGGGAGCAGTTGAATCGTTTCTGGGCTGAATCGTACGAATCATGCAAAGCATCATCACAAATACGAGCCAAGAATTTAATGGAAAGTCGAAAAAAATTCCAGGTAATTAATAGATTCTTATTCACACATCAAAAGGAAAATAAGTTCTTCCGTGTGAATGAGAAAATTATCATTCTAATTCCATTTTCTGTGTTGGTTATTAAATAATGTTGAAATTCAACTTTTTTTATTCGGTGCAGCTGAAAATCATAAAACAATGGCGACTACGACAGAATGATGAGGCCAGTAGGTTAAATGGCATTCAATCGGCAAGAAAGATACACGAAAAGCAAATTGAACGCAAATGGCGAAATGCCAAGAATTTTTTGAACAGTAAGAAAGGAGCCTTTTCCAATGAGTGAGTACAGTTGTTTTTTTTTATCTTTTACCGAAATGGTTTTTCCTACCTGCAATAGAACGTAAATTAAATTTTATAACCATGCGACAAATTGTCCGCTTGGAACTTGCTGATGCAATTCGACATTGATTCGATCGCATTGCACCATATTGATATTTTTTGGTTGATCTTAAGCCAAATTGTTCGTTTTTCTTACCTTTCATGTGAACGCACATGAAAGCCATCTTGAGAATACTGCATTGGCATTTTCGTGTAGCTAATTGAATGACCCCATCAATAGGCGCCACATAAATTATATGCTCGAGACTATGCGAGTACGTTTACATCAGTTAGCTCGTTGAATTTTTTTTTACTTTTGATTGAATTTGCAAATTATCCAGTTCATTTGTGAGCTAATATATAGTAAAATTGATTGGTAACGGTTTCATAAAATGCATTTTCGATTTGCAAATATTTCGAAATAGACAAAACAAATGACGGGCAACGAAGTGTGCGTGTGTAAACTCTTCGAACCGGTTTGATTCGATCTACACGCATTTGTGTCTATTAAATTAAATTTATTGACTTCAAAATGAATGTTGTTGATTTGTTTACTAAATTCACCTTTCTGTGGATCGAATGTAAATTTTTTATTTTTTTTTTTTTTTTCAAATAAATTGGTTTTTTCGAAATGACTGGCGAAAAAGGTGCAATTCTAGTCTAATCCACACAAGAAATAGAAAAAACTGTAAGAACATGCAATTTTCGATTCAAAATACATACATTTAATTGCATTTTTATTGATTAATATTTATATTTAAAAAGAAATCCATCGGTTTTTCTTCAGATTTTTTTTAAAAGTATATCTCATGGTCTACAGTCTTAATAAATAAAACATATTGAAGCTCACATTATGATCAATTCTAATTGTTAAGTTAAGTAAAAAAAAATAGAACAATATAAGGTGGACGCATTCATATTCAAAGTAAATGATGTAAAAGGTAATATAAAGAGAGATAAAGATTGAAAAAGGAAAATTTGTTGATACACAAATGATATGGTGATTGTTATGAAATAATAAGAAAACCAATGATTTGTTTATGGGTGTTTGTAAACACATTTCCTTTTACGAATCTTTTTGTGTGTTTTTTTAGTTTTATTGTGATTAAATGAATTCCATCAAGGATTATTTATTTACAATTCAAGATAGTTTCACAATAATTCACTGTGTGGTTTTCGATCGATTTTGTTTTTAATTGAGTGTGTGTATGTGTGTGCGTGGCTCTCGTTCGATCGACCAACGCAGGCACACACACAAGCACACACACACACGCTCACGCTGTGCTGTTGGTGCTGAGATGGCAGTTTTTTTTCTATGTGGTTGCTTGATGACGATAATGAAATAATTACATAGTTACATAATATACACGTAAAAAAAATATTAAGAAAATTTAAAAATGTTTTAGACTCAAAGCAAAAGTCGTGCTTTTTAGGAAGAAAGTGAAGAGTTTATAAAAAGCGATAGAGGTGACGTGTGGTAGATGACATCTGATATCATATTTACATTGTTTTGTTTCGTATTATTATGTTTGTTTGTGGAAATATTGTGCGTCGGTTCAGTGTGATCAAAAGAATTTAGTGATAGACAGCACCCAAATGTGGTGCCAAACGTGGTCCGTATGGTGAATAGCCTGGATAGCCTCCTAGAACTGGAGCGGCAACACCTGTTTTGCATAAATTCAACAAAATTCGCATTAGAATAAAACTTTAGCTTATTTTTCCGGTGTGAGCCGGAAAAACAATTGCAAATTTTTATCAAATGAAATATAACAAACAAAGACTGGTGGGAAAGAAATTGATTATTTTAGGTTTTGCTTTGACTGTTCGATCTATAAACGATTTGAGATTATCGTTACGTACCGACTTTAGCGACAACTGGAGCGGCTACACCTAAATTACAAGACAGTTAGTTATTCGCATGTTAATTTTGGAACTACTTTTATTGATAATATTATCGCTGAATTCGTATTCAGGCAAATGGTTTTTTTTTAATTGAATCGAAGGATCATTTGTTTGTTTCAATGGACCTATGGAAATTCAATGACTTACCAATTTTGGCAACGGCTTTCACACCCAATGGCTCTTTGTGTACAACGGCATTGAATCCTAGACATGATATAAGCAAAAATTGAGTTTTATGAAGAGTATATCGAACGGAAAGTCCCACAGGCCTACGGGCATTCACCTTGTACTGGATCTGCTGTGTATTCCACGATACGCCGGGTGCCATCAGGTTCGACTAATGAATAACTTCCTTGAACAACATCTCCTGAACGGCTTTCACTTTGGCTCTTGGAATCTCCGGTCAAAGCGTCCTTTTCAAGCAAAAACAAAACGCATCGAAATTGAATAAAAAAACACGAACATTTATTCGAAGTGTACTTACATTGATGTCATAGCTGTAGCTGTATTGTGGATTTGGATCGTAATCATCGGCAGCAACTTTGGCAACAGCAAGTGGAGCTGCAACCTAGAAACAAATTTGAATTCATCCATTTAGCATTTGTCACATTTAAAAAACATCACATTTCGAAAACGATTGCCAAATCAGTTTGAAGCAACTAAATTTTCTCTTTATCTTTTAAACTATTATGTTGTTCAATTCGCGCTCTCTCTCTTAAAAAAAAAAAAATAATTGAATATAGAGACCTTTGCAACACCTGGATATCCCAATGGAGCATATCCTGGATATCCTATTGGAGCGCCTGGAATAACTACTGCCTGACTGACAGCAATGATAGCGGCTAACAAGAACAACTAAACACAAAAATAACACAAAAAAAGAGAAAAATACACTTTGAATTTGTGGCCGTTTATATGTTCACCAAAAAACACAATCAAATTTATCGAACAAATTAATATCAAATAGAACATAAAAAATCCGCCAAGAAATCGAAACATCGACAACAAATTTGCAAACACTTTTTTCCTCGTTTTTCTTTTTAGTTGCGCAATTTCGCAGAGAATTCACAAACTAGCCGATTTTTCTTCTATTCCAACTATTTGAAAAATCCAATTTTTCAAACTGAAAAATTTCATTTTTGTTGCTCACTACTCACTTTGAATGCCATGTCTGAATTGTTTGAACTAAAACCTTCGATTGATTTTGATTGGTACAAAAGCGCGTATTTATACCCAAAAATTGCATCGCGAATTGGAATCGAAGCGAGAGAAAAAAAACGCTGCTGCATATGATGCTGTGCATAGTGTCTATGTATCAATCTATGTTGATCATATGGGAGTGCTCGACATCTGCATATATGTGTATTAGCACGCTTAAAGGTACAATCATTTTGCCATTAAATATATGGTTAAATGGTTTATACAAAATGAAAAGTAGAAGAGAAAAAAAAACCAAATATAAGACAAGAAAATGCCGCGACAACGACAACGACGGCGGCGTTCAACTGAGTTCATTGCGTATTCAATATCAACTACCCGCGCCGATTAACACTAACACACATGCGAACGGGGTCTGCTTTTTTTCTTCTTCTCCTTAACTTTAATTTTTCGTCGTGCGTCGCTCTCCTCTCAATCACTCGCGATCAGTTTGGCAAGAATATTAACCATACTTTCAACGAGGCAGTTTATCTTAAGGTGCAGCACCAACATAAGAATGAAAATGGCCATTTTTTTTTCTTCGCTGCAGCCGTGAACAATATTGTATAATAGTTTGACGAATTTGATCTGACTTTAAGTAGAAAATTAACAGTTCATTCAAAAAATCAAGCAGCAAAAACAAGTACCAGCAAATGGTCGTCGATAGCAAATGAGATTAAGGTATCATGTAGTGAGTGCATGGTGACATGTGCTCGATTTAATTCGAGTTGTAAGAGAGAATAGTGCCGCAGCACGTTTAAATTTCAAATCAGCATAAGTGCGATCAAACAGGTCAAACACAATGTTGCATTGCATTTTCTATAATTTTTTCAATATTCTTGTCTTTGTTCATTTAGCTGCGAGCAGGCAATCACTTTATCTAATTGAAATTGATAAATTCATTTATTTTGAGAGCGGCTCAATTTGCAGTTTCACGCATAATTGCTTATCGCATACCATTAGCCGTTCGACGGTTTTGCATGTGGGCTAATAACGGATTGCAATGTTGCGAATTTGATATGTTTTTTTCTTCTGCGTCTTTCCTCGCGCTCGAATTAGTTTTTGATACAAGAAAACACGGTGCCGATATAAATCTATAAATTTCGATTGACATTTCGGGCCCGAACGACAATACGCAGCATTGGGCTGACGTTGTAGTTTTTTTTTCTCTATGTTCGGCAGTGCCTTTTTGCCTGTCGATTTGTGTGTAGATTTTGAAACTTTTCTTGTTTCTTATTGATATTTTATAAAAATAAGACCAAAATTAATATTTTATGCCGTTAATAAATACGTCAATTAAATCTAACTGGTCGCATTCATAATGCATATAATCTCAATTCGTTTGTGCGTTGGATATGGGTACCAAAAAAACCATATCAAAAACGTTTCTTTTTTAACATTCATTTTTATTTACTTATTTGCAGTTATTATTATTATCATTTTGAAAGTATTTTTTTCCTCCTCGCCACCGTGCCTCCTTGCGAAATTTCAAATGATGTAATCGTTCTAGCAGTGTGATTTTTTTTCTTTCGAGCTCTCTCTTGAGAGAGACTGGGCGTTAAATGCGGAAAATAAATAGCAACAGAATGATTGAATAAATGCGTATGTGTTGTATTGACAATTCAGAATCGAGATTTGGGTTTGAAGGTGTTGACTATCAAAAATTAATCGTTTTTTATTCATCATTTCATGCGCATTTCATTTTTCTCGTCATTTTGCGATGATAGATAATTTACATTAATCTACATTTTTGAAATGAGATTTGTCACATCGAATGTTATTGATCTGTTTGAATGCGAGCACAAGCGCACGCTCGATATAATCGTATAAATCTGCTTAGCAAGTTGTTTTTAATTACAATCTAAAATGCCGAATATATCACACTTAACATCCATTTACTACATTTAACAAGCGTTCATGAGCCGTGCGAAATGGCCATTAGACAAAACGCACAAAACATAATTTGAGCAGCAACGACAAAAAAACCGAACTGGGTTATTGATTGGCTTATTGAAAAATCAAACTGAACGTTCGCATTAAAACGTTCGCAGCTGCTGCTGCTTTTCTCTGTCTGTCTGTCTCTCTATCTCGCAAATTTGGATCGCTTTTCGCGGTGGCACTTAAAATTAAATCATTTCAATCTCGGTTGCTGTTTTAGCGCGTTAGTTCTGTTTTTAGTTGGTGGTGCATAGTGCGATCGAATGCAAAATGTGAAACTGTATAACTGGAGCACGTTCGGCATGTATTTTTTTTATATATAGTCATTCTTTTTTTTCTGTGCGAGTATATTTGTCTGATTTTCAATCGGGCAGGCCATTACGAGCAACTTGTGCGAATGTGGCCAGGCCAATCTTACCATATGCACCGAAACAAGTCACAAGTCTATCGATTTCGTTTGACGATAACGCCAAATAAACTGCGCTTACGATAGTTTGTCCTTTGTTTCACATGCCTGACTCTTTTTTTTTCTTCTTCTTCGTTTGTATTCGATCTGTTTTGGCGATAAACGCAACAAAATATGCCACGATTCGATGTCATTAATTTAAAAAGTTGGAAAAAGGACCGAAGATTGTCGACCAACCAAAGAGATCAACAAACAAAAGAACCGTAATAATAACGTTGTATGCGCGCGCGCAAGTTCATTTCACCTATGCTACAGCGTATTCGATGCAATGCAATAATCGCATATATTCGGTCATATAGTTATTTTATTTGATGAAAATGAGTACCGTTTTATTTTTTATTATAATGTAAACGCAAACGCCATTTATCATGTCACGATATACAAATCATATCATATGTTCTTTTCATTAGAATGCAAATGTGGAACGCAATGCATACACATTTTTTTACTCCATTTAACTTGTTGAATATGTAAGCGTGCGCGAGCTTGTTCAATCGGCTTAAAATAAAACATATATATAGATATGTCGAAAAAATTGCGTAAAATACAAATGAAAAGTATATGTTTGGCACAGCAATCGAAACCAAATCGATTGGAAATGGTCAAATGGCGTATACAAATTGTGGACTTGACGGTGAAAAGACAACAACAACAACAACAAAATAGATTTGTTTTGTCACAAAGTAAAAAAAAAAACGAGTGAAGAAAAAAGGTCGCGCACACCACGCCCGACAACTGAGTTTTATGAATTCGGACGCTAAATCAATAAAAATTTCAGACTTTATTGATTTTGAATGTTATCGAATATGTTGAATTAGTGAGATAGAAAGAGCGGAGAGCAAGTCAAGATTATGTTAGATAGAAGGTGTAATTGCAATTGGCCGCAATATAATTTATTGAATTGTGAGAATCGTTATTCATTTAAATCGCAGCATACGCAAGAGACAAATATGCCCTCCTAACGGTTAAACCAATTTAATAAGCACAACGGTGACACGAAAAACATATTGGAAAATGTCGACGAATTATTTGATTTTTTTTTGTCGCTGTACAATTGAATATGTGAACTTTGAAAGTCGCAAACTTTGCCATGCACACACAGAACGAATGTAGAATAGAAAACTGAAACGAGAATTGAGTGTGCGAAGAACATGTGTGCAATTATGACATAATATTGCAGTGTCCAAGTGCTTGTATTGATAGTGAAATGTTTTGAAAAAGAATTGAATTGCGCGTGAGAGGTGTATGCCACCAGAAAGGAAAAACACTACACGATTCGTTATTCAATTGCATGGTATCCACAAAAACTTTGTGTGCTTGTGTGCGTTTGATTTGTTTCAGTTGCCGTCAAGACCACAAGCCATACATGTTTTTTAACGTGACTGATTTTCCATTTACGCAATTTTTACATTAAAAGACACTTGCAGGCGACGGCACATTTTTGCCCGCGCGCACACACACACACTGTCTTTTTGTCTCCCAATCACTTTACTCGTACGCTCGCTTGCTCTGGGCATTTTGATTGTGAGAACCACACGAATCTATATAACGGTTTTTAACTCTCGATTTTATTCGTCCGTACGCGCGTTTGACATTTTTCTCAACGTTGTGCGATTTTTTTCCGTTTCTTTTTTTCCCTCCTATTAGGTCAACGTGATTTTTGTCTCCTTCGCCAAATGTTCCATTTTTTTTCTCACAACTTTTCAATTTGAATCACTGAATAAAGGAAAAAAAACTCCATCCAGTCAGCTAATGCGTTTATAAAACGGAGAAGAAGAAAAAAAAACACTGTGTGACTTGGTGAATGTGACTGGAGTCTTGTTAAAGGTTGAATGAATTAAAAATGGAGAGAAAAAAATGTAATGACAACTCGGCTGCGAATTTAAAGGAATTGAAACATACATAACTGCGTGTTTTATCCATCGTTCGTTCGCTTTCATTCGATATAAGTTCGTGCAATTTGCAATTATCCGTTTAAGTGTAATTTTCAGCACACTTTTATAGTGACTTATTACCGTGGCCTGTGCGCACCCAAGAAAAATGCCAATTTTCCACATACACGCGCCTGCATTACAATCCTCACGATTCAGGTCATATGACCTTGACAATTCGACAAAATGCAAATGCATTTTTCAAGCTTTCAATTTGCGAAGAATTTTCGAAATGTAACTTTTCAACAGTAAAAAGGGAGAATTATATTGCAAACAAACAATACGCCATTAAACTCAGCGGATTTTTTTTTCTCGTTCGCACATAATGTGTGTGACAGTTCCATGACTTATATTGAGATAACAATTGCTGATAGTGTGATCGCAGGGAGTTTGATTCATACATTTGTAAATAATATTAAATGATCTGTTCGTTTTTGTCATTTTGGCTTACATTCAAGATATTTATTTGCAATTTGTTTGATGCGATTAAACCGAAATGAACTGCTCTTTGTCAGTCACAACTTCTCTATCTCTGTGTAGTTTGATCACATCAATGTATAAATTCGTTGACTTCAAATGCAAATATTTATACAACTAATTTTAATATTTATCATGTAAAAATGTTTCAACGTTTTTTTCGTTGTGCATTGTAAATGTGGTGTTTTTTTTTCTTGTGTTCGTTCAACTGCAGATCATAAATTCGTGTATAATTGGAGCAATTAGTTATTACATTTTTGTAGCACATTTTTTTTTCTCGTTCACCGCAAGTACCTTTGACAATTTTAATTGTAATTGGTTATGCTCGTTGATATCTTTCATGAGAGAGCATTATGATTGCACTCACACACACACAAATGCCAGAGATTTAAAACAGATACTATCGCCAACTGAATGGTTCAGATAACTTTTTTTCTGCCTAATAATTTTGGTTTTTTCGTGTGCTTTTTTTCTCTCTTGCAATTGTTCATAATATGCAGCTTACTATTGTGGTTAACCTCGTAATAGAAACAGATATCTGTGTATACTTATTAATTTGCATAAATAATTGTCGTTGGAATGTTTAACGAAAGCACTAAAAAAAGTACCCAAACTGAGATATTCGCTCGTTGTTTTTTCTTCTTCTAACAACAAATTTTGATTGCAAAATTGCTATTGTTGTTTTTTTGTGTGTTAAAGATTGATCAAATTTTGTCACAATGTTTCACCATATGAACTTCTTTTTTTCGGAAACAAATCGTTTGTTTGTAATAACGATTTTTCAACAGCCATCATCAATTAAAATTTAACAAAATCATTTTTTGCATAATAGTTCGCATTTTCTTCTTTTATTTACTGTGTTGTTTGTTGAACAACCTGAATTATTGTAGTTTAAATATGAGAGTAACATTTTGCTGATCCATTTTGAGCATCATGTATAAATTGCGTTGGGCGTCTTGCAGAAATGACATGATGAAGCGGCTAAGCTGCAGCAGTAGTTGATTGAGTAGATGATGAGCTCTGAAATGTAGTTGACTCTTGTGTTGTTGATGTTGTGGTGCTGCTATATTGTTGGGCTTTTAATTTGATTTCTTCGATCTTTAATCGTAATTTGGCCAATGCTTGGAATTTGCAAATTTTAAAGCGCCATATATTCCATGCCACCAAGTATGCATCGCATTCAAGTAAATCCAATTCGGCTTGTGTTAATGCCGCTTGCAATTCCTCCTAATAATGTCAACAATGATACATGCATACAGACACTTTATTTTAAGCCTAATTTTAATTTACCTGCAGCTCTGGTGGCAATTCCGTTGAATTTGCTTTCGCTATTGCATTGTTCACCGCCAGATTAACGGCATTTTTCGAAGACTCTTGTCCGATTGCCCAACCTGGATTGGATGCTGGCGACGCAAATAAATTTGCAATACCAGGCGGTGGTCCAAACTGGGCACTCGCATCAGATACAAATGCAACCAAGGCAATAGCACCAAACAATGTTAAATTCATTTTTTTTGTTTTGCTACGACAAACTGATTTCTTCAAAACGGAAACGTTCGTTTCAAAAATTAAAACTTTCTACAGCAAACCTGTAATTGGATTTTCAACTGATGAACGCTGATGATTTCATTTCCATTTTATATTCACTGAAAGTCTGATAAGAAACGGTATCTTTTGTCATCTGACAATAAAAGGACTAATGAAGGTATGCACTTTATTACAAACATTGTAAATTTTAATTGTTTCTGACAATTGGAGTAAAGATTAAGATTATTAGAATTCACAAAAACAAGCTAAAGTATTGTTTTCGTAAATAAAACCATGAGTGGTTATGCACTGCAAAAGCGTGTGATTGCCGTGATTCACTCACGGATCTCGTATGAAATGCGTAAGAAATGGTTGAAAAACAACAACAACAAAAAAAACCAAAATTGATTTAGTGTCGTTGTGATGTCATTCATCACATGTTCCTGTTGGGCGATATTCCGCCAAAACAATAGTGCAATATACAATATTTTATGTAATTGAATTGAGCGAGTTCCCTTTTTCTATTATATTTTCAAATGAATGAACGAACGAACCGAAAAAAGAAGTTATATAATCGAATTCAAAAGCGTCACACATTCATTCAATTTGACTGTGCATTCGATTTGCTCATTTGCATTGAAAACAATGAACAATTCCATGCACAAAATGGTGTAAATATATCATTTTATAGGCAATTAATGTGGTTTGTGTTGTCATAGGCCTAATATTATGGTATGTGATTTAAACGCCTATGCATCATCGCTCCAAAAGTTAAATAGAAAAAAAAACACTGGTATTAAAATCAAATTGTGTTTAACCTACGGACATGCGTTAATAATAATAAAATAAATTTTCGATCAATGTGAAAGAATGAACGTTGCGACGTTAATCAAAATTCCATCATTACGGTCTCTCTCTGATGCCTTGGTCTCAATCGACGTGCATTTTAGAAATGTCAAACGTGTCCAAAAATCTGCCCATTTTTCTATCGCTAACAATTCTAGAATGTGACTTTTTTCCATTTTTCTTGGAAGTAAATTCTTTCATGCCCCTAAAGATTCAACCGCGTAATAAATTAATGACTCTTCGACTTAAAAGCGAATAAAACAAGCGTTTACTGCATCATTTATGGGCATTCATAGTTTAAAAAATAGTTATTAGAGGAGACGATTTAAATATATATTGCAATCTCAAATTCACACGAAACAATGACTAAAAAGAAACCAACAACATTAACTCACTCAAGATCATGTTTTGGCTGAATGTGTTTTTTCTGTTTTTTTAAATGCAAAATCCGTTATGGTTTCATTCACAAATGGAAAAAAAGTAAACGCGCACGCATTTTCTTATGTCGTTGTCATTTAAAGTGAGATAAACACGGAATACTAATTTTTACAAATGAAGTTGCGCTCGGTAGTTAGCGTCATCGTTGTTTTTCTAGCAGGTGAATTTCATCAGTACAGAAAAAAAATTTATATATAAGTAGTAGCACACGTACTCAATGGTATTGTTCAATGATAAAATTTCACTTTTCATGGAAATTTACCATTCAACATTTCAGCAACATCTGTTTGTTCCGTTCAAATGAAAGCTTCCATATCATGTCATGAATTTAGCATTGTCAGTGGAAGTAAACCCGTTTATTGGCTTGTATTTTGATTTGCATGCATCTATGCAATTGAACCGTTGTGTGTTTCTACTGTTTGATTGCTTAATGCATTTATTTATGGATTTTGCACGCGTTTTTATTTTATAACTATCAATCGAATATGTCAGGAAGCACACCACCACGCAAATTTCTTTGCACTTTCTGCTCTTCAAATTGATATTCAATTGATGATACAATTTGGTTGGTTTTTTGTTGTTTCGGTAGCAGCAGTAGGGAGTGCTTCAAATTCAATTGGCGCTCAGTCGACTACTTTAATCTAATTATATTTTTGATTTTTCGTTATAAATTGACCGTCATCCAACCGAAATAGCATCAATTCGATTTGAGCCTTCAATTAGTGCGAATATCAAATATATTTTTTTGAGTCTCTTCAAATCAATTTCATCGTTTTCACGACAAATTTTAATCAAGTGCAAAAAAATGGCTTTCATTAAGGTTCGTTTACAAAAACAGTGTGTTGTGATGATATTTAAATAGAAAAATATAAGTTTCTGTTTGGCAAAAGCACAACGATACAAAATGCTAGTGCATAAATACAGGCTATTTCTCTTCAATTCAATTTGAACGTTGGCTTGAACGTTTGAGCGTTTGCGTTTCTAATGGATTTATTTTTTTTTTGTTTTCATAAACGTTCATTTCATATTAGACTTCAGTTGTTTTGGTTGCACTATTCGGTGTATGCATGTGCAGTGTTTTGGTGCCCGGTGTTGCTCCTCCACTTGCTCAATTTGCGCCATTTGCACCACGTGTATTGGCTGGACCAGCCGTTGCTGTGCGTCCAGAACCATACGATCCAGCACCACAATACGCATTCGCCTATAATGTACAAGACCAATTGACCGGCGATCATAAAAGCCAACAAGAAACTCGCGATGGTGATGTGGTCAAAGGTATTGATTTTGTTTTTAATTGAATAAATAAATGTGAGATTAATTGAATCAATATTTGGATTAGGATCATATTCATTGGTTGAAGCAGACGGTTCTCTTCGTACCGTTATTTATACTGCCGACCCGATAAACGGTTTCAATGCTGTTGTTGAGAAGACACCTCTTGTTCACAAAGCTGCCGTTCCAGTTGCACACGCACACGCATTGCCGGCTCCAATCGCTCCAGCAGCAGTGCCACTTCCACATGCTTTGCCCGCACCATTTTTCCCATCGGCTCCAGTTGCGCCAGCATTTTCAGCAGCAGTGCCGGCACCAGCATTTCCATTCGCATCACGCGTTGTTTCGCCAGTGACACGTATTTTCTAAATATATATATATATCATCAAAACCGTTCCGAAATGATTCAAATCAACGAACGAGCATAATGTGCTTTCTCAATTACGTTGTTATAACTGTTGTATGTGTATGATTAAGTGAGCTCATTCGTACATCTACGAGACTTGTGTTCCTTCGAAAGACTTTTTTCTTGTTTCTGTAATTTTATCGAGAATGTATAGTTATTGTTACGTAATTAATTTTTTTTTTATTTTTATCGGTTAGTTCGTTATGTTTAGATCTATGTTGAACGGAGTGAATATGAATGGAAATTCATCGTTGAATCGGTGAATCGGAATATGTAAAAAAAGTAGTATTTATATAATGACAATTATTAAAGAGATCAAAACATATCATTTGTGTTCGACATTCTTTTTTTTCGCTGTTGCTAAACACATGTGTTTCCTAAATCTGGGCCATTGATAAGACGCTTTTTCTAAACGAATTGTTTTCCCTTCTGTGGTGTAGCGAAATGAAATTGACCAACTTATTCGCATAAATCATAGTGCGGTTAACACGCTTGTTTCACATTTTGCTAATTTTTTTTATGCTACACGAAAAAAATGGTTCTTTTTGCTCTTTAAACCGATATTTACGATTTCCTTAGCGGCCAATAAAATATGGTGTTCTTTTTTTATCAGCATCACCGAGACCCGTTGGCTTTGGTGTGCACGGCGCAATTTTGCCTTTGATTTTTCACTTTCCGTTGAATTTATTGAGCCAACTGTGTATATCGCACTAGTTTGCTTGTTCATTTTGTTATACATGTTCTGTTTTATTCAACAACTCTAATGTATGTTAACAGCTGCGATTGTAATTCAATGCGGACGCTTTTTTTCACTTCTTGTGTTCATTCGTCTTTCTTTCGTATTCCGTATGGATTTAAGTAGTGAAAAAGGCGGAATTCTTACGCTTGTTTTGGCGAGAGAAAAAAAAAAGAAAGATCAGAAAAAAATCACATTTTACATTGATAAAGTTGCGATAAAAATATATTATTTTCAATTTTGATACATGCTCATTTTGTCTATCTGTCTCTTTGGCTTTCAAATGCATGTTAAAATGTCAAACTTTTTCTTTCATTTGATACACATTTTTGTTCTTTTTCGCTGTCTCTTTATCGTTACGTGCACACCTATTACAGTGTCTGCGAAACGCTTTTTCTTTTGCTATGACTCGCGATCTTTCTTTTCCTATCTCTTTTTCTTTTGTACGAGCGCAATTCCTTTTGCCAATAAATTAATTTATGCAACTGCGACGACGGCTACAACAACCATCAAATCCAATACAAAATAATAAAGAAACACCGGAGTAAACGCGAAAAATTGAACAAACAAAGCGGTTGAAGAAAAAAAACGTTGTTCACACGAAATGCCGGCTGAAAAATTGAATAATATTATTTTAGTCGAGAATAAAAGATCTTTTGCCAGCCGGTTGTCGTCGTCAGCGTCATCATCTTAGTCGCATTTCTTTCAACTCGCGTTCCCTCTATAGATCGTTTGGCATATGGCATGAGAACAAATTAAATGTGATCGGACGTTATTGCAAGTGTGTTTCTGATTGTTCAGCGAAACGGTCTCATTTATTCTCATTTGAATTTATTTGTTTGACATGCAATTGACTATGTCATCTGAGGCATGGAGACCAAATGACGGCAGCGGCGGTGGCGACGACGTCGCTCTTACATTTAATAATCCCACTAAATTATAAAGCGTGTGTCATAATAATTTTTGAAAATATTCGTAGGCGACAACGGCAACGATAAAAGTCCAAAGCAAAATACAGCAAGATAAATTCACGGTTTACCAAAATTTTATTCAATCACGGCTAACCGGCTTTCCTTCGTTATACATTTATACAGGATTTAACGATTGCACTTTACATGTTTAGCGCTGATTAAACTAAAGCAAAAAGCATTAAAAAAAAGTAAGCGAAAAGAACGCGAATTTATGCAAAAAAATAAATGTAGAATAATCAATATGACATTTTGGTAAAGCGGGCGAAGCGAGATTCAAAGCAAATAAAGTCAAATGACAAATGTCGCTCGAGATGCATTTAATTTCGGTAATAAAAATGTTGGAACACGGACAGTACAGTATATATTTGGCACGCAATCAAACCGGATGAGATCAGCAATTTTCTGGTAATGATTTAACTAACAATGGCCAAATCTTGTGGGCTATCTGCAGCTGCATTGAAATGACTTTGAATCGAATTTGACTTTGAGAAAATGCAGCAGCGGACAGCGATTATGTGTGTGTGGGTAGTTTCAATCATTTCTGTCATGTAAATTAGTTTACAATTGAATGGTTTGACATTAAAAGTTTTTGAGATTCAATTGGCAAACCGCAGCAATAAAATGCCCGAATGAAGGTATAATCGATTTGCGTTTTTCTTTTCTTTTTGCGCGAGCACTTGTCATACCATGCCCCATTCAATCGTTAATTACTATTTTCAAACGGGGCATTTTATTCGCATGTTTACACACATAGCGACAGTGTGATTTCTTTCATTGATTCACACAAATGCATATATAAATTCAGTAGAATATCCAAGGAGGCCTTTGATGCACATTCCATTATAATGTGACAAAAAACAGAACAATTTTAAAACATAATGTTCACGCTGATTCGAATTGACTGCATTCGATTTAATTTGTTGTTTCGTTTCTCTTTGTTCGTTACGCAAATTACCGCGATTGGTCGCACTTTTGCCAATGGATCAATGTACAACGCGAACACAACAAGCCATGGCAAGCGAGTGAGTATAAGCTGAAACAAGCGCGGAAAAATAGCAAATCAATTTATTAATAATAAATTGTAGCATTTGGTTTTTCTTCGTCATTTCGTTTACTCTCCGGCTTTGGAGATTGAATTTTGATTTGAACACAAAAGCCGGACAACAACAACCACAACAACAAAAAAAGCGGCAGTGTAATTAAACACACACTCTGATGGCGTCACGTTCGAATAACAAACAAGAAAACACATATAAATTTATTATCATTTGGATTGATCAATCCAAATACCAAAAATGGCTATTTAGATCACTCGGCAAACAAACACTATATACTCTCACAGTCTCTCTCTCACACACACGCAAATAAAACTTGAGAAAAATTGTTATGAATTATGGAACTCATAATGGCCTGAGGTAAGCATATTGGATGCGATGCAATGCGCATAATTGAATTCACCTGTTTTCATGCTGAGGCAGAACACTATAAATATATAGTTTCCAATTGTTGTTGTTTTAGTAACAACAGTTTAAGTATTTGTGTGAATGCTTCGAGCAAAAAAAAAAAAACATTTTCGTTGATGCAATTGAAATTCCGATCGATGTTCAAGGATTTTTTCCATCGTACTGTGCTGAGTTGCTCGAACATAAAACCGATTATAAACCGAAAAAAAATCAATCGAATTTGTGTGTTTGAGAGCAAAATGCGGTTGCCATCATGTGTAAAACAATCGGTCTGTTCAATTCGATGTCGCACCCATAAAGTCAGTCGTAAAGTCAAATGGACGCCGCGATCCGAAAATGTTTCGTATTATTTATTTATTTTTTGCTGCATATTTCAAACCATAATGACATGATTTCGAGAATGCGACTGCTGTTTATTGTGAATTCTTCTTGCAAAAATTATGTAATAACTCAAAATGCTATAATTCACGATGTTAGAATGAAAAATGTGTGCGTGCAACAGACAGAGACTTCATTCAAGCGTACAATTTGGGTTTTTTGTCTTTTTTGTTTGCTTTCTTCACATAAACTGAAATTCGACGGTTTTTTGCACATTTTCTGCATCGCATAAAAACGTTTTTATTTTCAGTAAATATTTTAATTCATTTGGTATTAAGGACGTAGTAGTAAATTTACACATCCGAATTATTCCGTTTTTCATTAATACGCGTACATCGAATAAAGACGGCGAAGAAAGTGACCTTCATCAAAATAACAATTATTCTCGAATGCAGAAAGATCGTGCCTCAACAACAACAAAAAGATTCCAATCATGACGATTCAGCTCAATAAAATCAAAATTGGACGCAATAAAACTAAGTTAAGTGTTTCAATGCAGCAAGCGAAATTCATCAAATAAAACCCGATTATATGATTGAAGTCGACTCCAACTATTGGTTCGCATTCTTTTTTCTCGTACTTCCAGAAGTATTTTAATTGAATCGCCACCATCCGAATAAATCCTGTCTGAGAATCATTTAATCTTATTGATCACTTTTTTGTTTGGCATTATTCTTATTTCTTCTGTTTCTACACCATTCGTTGCTATCATTCCGAACGAAATAAAATTGAAATAAATACACAATTGAATTTATTTTTTTAATACTGACATTCCTTTATTCAGCTAAATGCATTTAAATTAAGAAAGATGTATTTTTTTGTGTTGATGCTCATTGGGCGTATATTTATAAACGTATACAAAATAGCAATTTTGTTTTAGAAAAAACGTGTGATGAATGAAGGTGTTTTGGTTTTAGTTAATATATGTCTGAGTACAATCAAATTAACACACATGAGATGATATTGATTTTGATCTGTTTTTTTTTCTCAGCGGTTTTTGTCTGAAAGTTTGCCAATTGTTTAATTTTGTTTTCGATTTTTACTGCTTTGCTCATTCCTCTCAAGCTGGATGAAAGTAAAACGAATGCAGAATAAATTTGATGAAATAATATATAAAAAATTGATCGTTGCCTGCACAACAAATTGGCTGGCAAAATGTGATCAATTGAAAAAAAAAGATTTTGCTTTTGTCACATTGCTTAAAACAGAAGAAGAGAAATAAATTAAAGTCCTAGCACAATGAGAATGAAGGGGCAATTGAAAATAGAATATTAGGCATTTTTTTTTAAAAACAATTTCATTCTTATTTCGAAGTACGTTTTGTTGCTGTTATTATTATTGCGGTGGGTGAATTTCCTTTTAATGGTAATAACCATGATAAGCGGCTGGAGCACCGAAAACGGCTGGCCCATGCGCAAGAACTGGACCATGTGACACAAGTGGAGCGTGTGACACGAGTGGAGCGTGTGCCACTACTTTAGCAACGGGTGCAACGTGATGGGCAACTCCAGCCTTCTCAACGACTGCATTGAATCCGTTGATTTTATCAGCCGTATAGGTCACTTTACGGATTGTACCGTCTGGTTCAGTTAATGAATAACTGCCATGTACAACACCATTTACCAAAGTCTCTTCAGCGTGTTTGTTGTCACCTGTATGTGGATCGCTTACACCATAGCTGAAGCTATAAGTTTGACAAAGAAAAATTTATGCAGGAAATTAGAAAAACTCATATCTTTTTTTGAAAATCGGCAGAAAACTGTTGGTTTTTTTAAATTTTACTAAATACAAAAACAACCGAAAAATGATTTTTTTTTCCTGATGATTTACCTATATTGTGGATTTGGATCGACTGGTTCGTGAACAATGTGCTTGGCAATAACTGGAGCATGAGCTACAACCGGTGCATGCACAACAGGAGCTGCATGAACTAGAGGTGCTCCTAAGCCATATGGATATGCGGCTGGATATATTGGAGCAATCGGCGATGCGGTCACCAAAGTGACAAAGCACATAAAAAGCACGACCTGAATAAACCGAGGAAATAGAATTTGTTTTGTTTGTAAATTGTGTTCTTTTTCTCGAGAAATTATTTCGTTTGGTTCATGTTCTAAAGAATATATTCACTATTCGCCGTAAAATATCACAAAAACATTGCCGATAAGTGCACAAATTTTACCAAGTCCATTTTTGATCACTTTTGAATTCGATCATTTTTGTATTATTATATTTTTGTTGGAGAAGAAAATCAAACACTTTTAAAAATCACTTGAAAATCTTTGTTTTTGAAAAAAAAAAAAAAAAAAAAAAACGCTCAATTTGTTTACCTTTGTGTTCATGATGACTATATTGTTTAAATCACAGCTTTGGTTTGAGTCAAATGCACTTTGGAGTACGGAATTTATATGTTCTGGCGTGGTACATTTTGTGTTTGTGTATGTGCGTGCGCGCGAGTGTATGTGTCATAGAGTTGCAGTACTTTTTTTTCTCTTTCAATATTTTCCTCCAAAATGCGGCATTTCGATGAAAAGCATTTAGAAGGGAATCGATGCACATTTATGTTACAATACGAATAGAAAAAATGCAACAGCAGCGAGCAGTACCAAGCTAGCATTTGTGTATGTTTGAGGAAAGATAACAACACATAATAATCCCACCAAATAGCAAAACATGTGGTACACAAAAAAAAAAATGATTATTATTGTTTTCAAATGTAATACATAGTCACACTATAGTCAGTGTAAGCAAGTATACAATATAATGGGTCTGCAAAACAAAGATGCAAACAAGATATATCCATATGTTACGGGTGTAACAGAGAGATCAAGTCAACCAACCAGCCAACGTGCAATGGAAAAACGATCGTAAGATGAAAGATGAATAAGGAAAGACATAAAAGCATCGCATTTCATCGTATTTAATAACAAACGCGCATTCATTAAAAAAAAAAAAAACAAACCGAGACGATAAAAAAAAGACCAACAACACACAGAGCATTAAGTAAATATAAAATGTGTGCAGCAACGATTGACTTGCATTCTCTGCCGTACACATCGAATACACGTAATGTAGTACTCACATTGCCGCTAGTGGTAAGAGAAATATTGGCATAAAATCACGGCTGAAAAGCTAACTCCATGACGATGGAAAATACAACAAAAAATCTTGGTTGATCCGATTTAAAACATGGTCTGACGGCGGCAGAGTGTGATAGAGACAGAAAGCACCAAATTGTACCATAAGTGTGCTGTTGAACACGAAGAATGGTTTTTTTCTCTCTCACAAAATATTTTAATGTGTGAGAACCAATGATCCACATATCTCTGAATGACACTCACAAGATCATTCCATGGACGTACACCCATACATAATTAATGAACCAACACACATACACACGCACACTCATATTATGTGATTTTCATTGGTGTGAACCTGTACTAGAGACTACTAGACAGTGCGGGAATGACACTTAGAAAATGAAATGAAACGAAATGTATTACATGTACCACATCTAATATGCAATTATTTACCTTAAATTAGATCTTTTAAATGTTATGGCATGCAATGACATAAGAAAGAAATTCATAAATGTGTGTGTGTATGTTTGTGCTGAAATTGTGCATCGGCACACATGAATGTGTCCGAGTGAAAGAGAATGAGTCAGCATGGAGTCTGACGGGTGCGCGAACGTGCAGATTTATGCGACGAAAGGGGATAATAAACATCGTTATTAAGAATAAATGCTAATAATTTTTAGTGGGCATATTACAATTATTATTTTATTCCAATTTTTATCTGTTTCCCTATGTGTCGAACGTCCATCGATTTTCATTCGTAATTTTCATTGATTTTCGCGTTTTTGTTTTTCGTTCGAAATTGTATGGTGCGACCGATTTAAGTCCATGAATCATGCGAGCGTGCGCTTGTACGTGATCTCAGTGTGCTCGGTGTGTGATCTTCGTTAGAGCCGTTGTGCATTTTGTAAGATGTTTGTAATAATTAAAATTGCACAGTCAGCCAGCAATCAGCCAGCACATAGGCATATAGTATTTTCACCATGCTATAATTTTCCAGTGCACCACCATATGCAGATACATATTTATCGATCACAATCATGTATATATTCGTCGATCACCTATATTTTCCTATTTCATTCGAATGAAATCCAATTACGTACCGGCATTATATCAATCGAATCGCGATTGAATCACTTTATTTATAGTGGCAAAAATTGAAAAGCAAGAAAAAGGTGAGAAAATCGGTTTTTATTGACGATTATTATTGCATTTGAAATGTCTGTGTTAAATCTCGGTCTAGCGCATACACATACCAAATGTATGTTACTTTGTATCTTTGACTGGCAAACAGACGAAAGAAAACATACATAAAGACACACACGATCGATTACGTCGATTGTTGCACGTCATTTATCTCGAGCGTCGATAAGAGAACAATGCTCAATTGAATATTAATCCATTTCACATAAATTGCGGTATTTCAACTTGATGTTCAATGCATAAACTATTACCCGGTGTTAAATGTTGTCACCGTCACAATCTATACATAACGTTAATTTGTGTTTTGTGACTTGTTGGTTTTCATATTTCTACAGTGGCCGGCCGTACCGCCTGGCGTTCACATATATTTTATTATAGGTTTAATAAATTAGGTTTTTTTTTGCATAAAATGTTGCACATATGTTGAAGCCATGATATAGCAATTCCATGATTAGAACTGGTCGCATGTCTATACTTATTTCCAATTTTCTAATTACAATTAGCTGAGACACGCATTTATCATAAAGTGTCTGTATTACATTGGTTTATGTCAGCATTTTTCCCTGGCTGTCGTTGTTGTTGCTGTTATTGTATGGCTTCGACCGGCAGAAATTCGCGATAACTCATTCACTTTTATCATTTCCAAGAAGAAAAAAAAACAATTTAAATGCGTTCGTAACACTCTTGAAAAGTGTAAAGAATACGTTAACCGCGAATTTCTCGCAAAATTTCACCTCGTTGACATTTCTAATTTATTTCTCGTTCAATTCCATCTATTTCGGTGATATGTGAACAGATGTTTTGTGCTTCTTTCAAAATGAGAAAATAGAGAAAGAGAGAAAAAAAGAGTTGGGATCACATTTTGCAAATTGATGGACCTTGGCAACAGAGCATATTCATTCTGTGAGCCGCCCAAGTAGACGCGATGTAAGCATTTTAAAAATAATTCGATAGTGGTTTGTTCTCTTTGCTGTTTGCTGTGTGTGCCAAATCGCTAGACTTTTTGTCTGTCGCACGATTTGACGTTTTGAATTACGATGAAAGTGAGAACAAGAAAAAAAGCACACTTCATTTTGGCAGGTCATATTCATTTTGATGATGCGGTAAAATTCTAATTTTATTACCTCAGCTGTTAACGCAATTTTTCGTTGTTGTTGCGAGACACACAAAACGAGCGGTAATAAAGATGAGTGTGCCAAAAAAGCAAAAAAAAAAGCCTTACACGCCTTTTTGTGGTGACATCGAAGACAAAGTGACGGCGAACGAAAGACTATGCACAACCAAAGGTGACATTTCAGAAATTAAAGGAGATTAAAGGAAGAACAAACTTTGTGAGAGCGTTCGCTTTTTTTTATTTATTAAAACACATTCTGAGACACTTCAAAGCTCAAGTAAAAATGGATATATTGACATCGTTTCTTTCTCTGTGTGCATACTAACACTTTCATTTGACCGAAATGGTGCGTTTCTTCAATTTGGCACTTTGTCAAATGCGATCCACTGCCAAGTAATGCCAATCCGAGAAATGAAATTTGGCTTCATAGTGTCGATATTCTTCTCGTCTGATGATTAATGGCTGTCGTTTTTTTATCGTAGTATAACAAGATTTGTATGCGAAGCAGTAATTTCGAGAAATAGTCGCACTACTAAATTACAAGACGAATAATTATGTGAAAATTATATATGATTCACATTGGTTATGTGTGTTCTTTTGTAAACATTGACTGAGATGAGATATGGAATAGACAAATACACTGGCCTACTCATTGGCCACATTAGACCATATGCAGCTGCATGTTCTACATGTTTCATCTTGATATATTATTCGATTTGCAATTAATGTTTATCGTTGTTACGTGATCAGGATTTTGCTAATTTATACTTGCATACAATTCAAACTGAAGCAAAAATCACTCGGAATGCCACAATACGTAAACAACCTTGAGCACATGCAACTGACCACTTTGCAATTGCCCACTATTTTATCGGTCGCAAAGTCTTTTTTCTACACGTTCTTTTGTTGATTCATAACATTTTTTTTTCTCTTTTCGCCAAGATTTCATTCATAAAAAGTGTTTTTTTTTACATTTTGCTGTTGATTGATAGATATGGAATAAGCGTGCACCAGAGGCATTTGGATAAGATAACACAATATTTTGTGTAATTTTTCAATGAAAATTTCTTGTTTGCATTAAATGTCAAGCAATTTATCGATTTTAATGGGCAGCGAAAAAGAAAATTATATGGAATTGGTTCAAACAAAACGGGCTTGGGTGATAACAATTTCGGTACACCGTCAACTGCATTAAATAGTAGCATATAACATAGAGATCTGAGTAAATTATACTAATTGAATAAAATAAATCGCATGTTGATCAGTTTTTCTTTTGCGAACATTCGTTTCATTAATTAAATCGACGTTTTTTTATATATATACTAATACTCTGATTGGCAGAACCGAGTTGAACATGAATGAGCGAAGAAAAAAAGAGTTGAATATCTCTCATGCTGCTGATGAATTGAGAGTAACGAATGCTCCAGTTTTTGAATTAGTTATATAGTGATTGTCTTGTTTGAGTGCTGTGTTTTAACAACAATTCATTAATTCGAATTATAAACGGAATCATTCAGTCAGTCAGTGTGACAAAACCGCAAATTAAACGAACGAATCACAAAAGTGCATGTGTTCGTGCTGAGCTGGGGTCCATTTTAAGAATTCAATAATAATTGACAGAACAAAAAAACAACAAACGTGAATATTTTCGTAATGTTTCAAAATGCCAACGACCATTTGAGTACAGCAGCAACGACGACGACGTCGATAGCAACAAAAGTAGTAAAATTAGACATACAAGATCTGAACCAAAATAACGAAAGAAAAAAAACTACAGTATAAAACCGCTATATCCAATTCTGAATTTCGGCTTTGTTCTTGAAAATCTCATTAGGTGTTTTTGCCAAGAGTGCAAAAAATGCGGCGTGAATTTCATGCAATTATCAGATGCAAGGCTATTTCTTCTACCTAAGAAAGAAAAAAAACATAATATCTACGCAATAATCACAATTCAATTGTTTTAGTTTTTTTTCTATTTATGGTGTGTATTTGTGTGT